ATACTGGTGTTGGGGCGAGAGAGAGTGTTAGATTTTAACTGACTAAAAATCGCAAATCTTCAGTTCCGTATATCTGCGCTTACGATTTTGAGATCGGCTCGCGATCCCTAGCTCCGAGAGATCTTCAACAATACAGACATAATTTAAAACACCAACAATTACATAAGTACTTAAGTCCTTATTTTTCAGAAAATCATTCATGGAATCACAGGACCAATAGTATTCACATAATTATGCTGCATTCGAGAAGGCAAAAGTAATGCCCATCAAAGCTCAAATTCAGGGCTCCAAGGATCTTGAGATTCCTGAGCGTTCCGCGCATGCCTTAAAGAGCTCATTAATGGACCACCACAGATGAGGCCATACAGGGCCGATGTTCAACCGGGTACGGGCTAGCGAATATGGTACCGCGGGTCTAAAGTAGGAAAAGGAACAGGGAGGTTTAGTCAGTAAGAGTCTGACACTCCCCTTGACTTACCCAAGGTGATGATTTTGGCCTTACAAAAAAGGATCTTGAGACTTAACTAAAAATGGCGGGTTACTCACGTGTAAATATTGAGAAAAGCTCTACTAGTTTCGAACCACAGAGGGGTTCGGAACTAGCGACGTCGCGCAGCCTACTGTCGCCGCGTCCGCGCACGCTGCTCATGAGGAAGAACCCCTCTGTGGTTCGAAACTAGTAGAGCTTTTCTCAATATTTACACGTGAGTAAGCCGCGATTTTTAGTTTATTTAGTATGTCTCACGATAGTTATTATAAGATCTTGAGACTATTTAGTAAATGTCACCTCTTTTACTTCTCCATTTATGCTTATGGCGATCATAGAGTGCGTCGTGATGATAAAATTAAACACGAAAATAAATACCAGAATGATGATAGACGACCCACGCTACGTGAAGGAACAGCATCGCACCCTATATTTATCTAATTGACCAGCCATTATATCGTGGTTGTAGTGTTTAGTTCAGTTTTGCAATGTAAGTCAATAAAATGCCTTTTTATAAATGTCTTTACCTATATTTTTTTGCTAGTATCGGAGACGATCTTCGATATCTACGAGTGAATATTTAAACATGTCCATAACTGATGTCCCACATCTCTAATGGATAAGCATGTTCGGGTAAAATATATCTGCGGTTTTCTTACTTATACATACCTCCTATATACAGGGTGTGTCGTAAATAGAGGTCCATACTTAAGGCGTTTATATAACATGTATTCGTCTATACCTGACATACTAAAATAATGTCCCATTAAAGTCATAGTTCCTACAGAAAAACAAGGTTTTCCTATAACTTATAACTCTTTTCTGCTGGAAATGTGGTCTTTCCAAGTGGATATTTAAGGCTATTTGGAAATCCACAAAATTCATTCTTTCGAATTTGGGAGTTCTCAAAATATGTTAGCTTTGTTTTGGTATGAATTATACCTAAAGAATAATTAATCTTTCTACATAAACTGTATTTATTCACGTTAAGATGAGACATTTAGAGAAAACCTTTTGTTATTCGACACATTTTCTAATTTTACGGAATATAAGTATTCGGATAGGTATAATGTTGGTATTAAAAGCAAAAAATCCTTACAAAATCATTGAAAGAAAGTAATTTTGTCTCGTTTTATTTGAACGAAGTAAAGGACGTTTCCTATGCCGTCCACAATTATATACAAATTAAAATAACACCTGAATCCAGTGAAAAAATCCATGAGTACCTACATAAACATCTACATCAGACCCTAGTCCATATTCCTAGCAGCGTTTCTTTATCTTAATTTGAATTAATTTTCCGACTAGATCCAACATCCCAAATAGCCAGTAAATACTTGACTATCCTTGACTTGGCATTTTTATTTCTAGACGTTTGAACTAGCGAATTACATAAATAAATTGAGGACAGAGCGTTCGGGAGACTTTTTCGACTAAAAAAAATATTCACCTAACTTCCCTAGACACATGAATAACCTACTTTCTGGAAAACTATTAAAAAAGTATTAACATAATATTGTATAAAAAAGGCATGGAAGTATGTGTAGAGTATAAACATACAAATATTCATAATAATTTTCGTATCAACGTAACCACTAAAAATATACATAAGAAGAAAAATTGTGACATGTAAATTTTAAAAAAAAACGTTATTGCCCCACACTAGGATTTCCTCCTGTGTCGTAGGTGCGTTTACAAACATACAATTCCACATGCACATCACACCCAGACCCGAAACAACAGCAGCAGTCATTATAATCACCTCCAACACTTTCTGTCGTACTTCTTCGTCAAATATACCCTTCAGATTTTAGAATTTACTACACAAACACCTGAGTGTTTAAGATATTAAAGTTAAGTAGGTTAAGTGCATAGGCCTTTAAGAAACTCTACCGCCTTATTTAACTTATATTATCAATAACAGTGGAGATCAAGTTGTTGCCGATGTAGATAAACTAGTTCTATTGTTTTAATCAGGTGATAATGCAGAACTTAAAACTATAGGCCGGTCTCTATGTTGCCGGTACTCAGCAAAGAGTTTACAAGAATGATGCTGTGTTACTTTAAAATGAATTCGATCTTTCATGACCAAAAATAAGGGTTCACCGAGGGACAAAGCATTATGGACGTTGATATAGTTCTAATTAAGCAGATTTTTGCATCGTGGGAAAAATTCAGAACGCCATCGAAATATTTTGTGATCTTTCTAAGGCTTTTGACTGTTTTGAGCACCAGACACTAACGCTGCAGCTAGAAACTGCGGCATTCGAGGGTATCTCTAGATTTATTAAATACATTTATCATACTTTCAGGAAAGGTAACTCAAAATACAATTAAATTCACGTGGTGCTAGTGATAGTATATTTTGGGGGCATATAATCCCCAAACCCCAAACGAACGCCGGCGTTTAGGTGCGCGAAACCCAGCGTTCGCCTAACATTACGCAGATACAATATGTTCTTTTAATATGGCTCTAATTACGACAATTGAAATTGGTTTGGTACAGAGCTGCAATCATAGAGCCACGATACGGAATCAGCACCGTTTGGCCACCAACCAAGCGTTTATGTTAGTGGCATTGATTATTGGGTCTCGGCAATGTCATGTCACGCTTCTATGCAGTAGTAACAACAGTTGGCCGACAAATGCGAGGTCGATCCGCAAAGTTATCAACATCGTGTTTCTCCCGTAACATGTTTATGACACAGGATTGGGATACTGCTACTCTGTTTGGTATTCCTTAGTAGAATGTCCTTCTTCCTCAGAGTAACAAATGAAAAAAAGACTTTTGATTTTCTATTATAAAAGCGTTTTGTGGTGTGTGTACCTAGATAAAACTTTTTCAAATATTTTCCACTAACACATCGATAACGTCATATAAAATTCTTGTTTGTCAGAATTCGAGTAACTTGTCAAATGCTGTCAACAAGGTCGTTTCACAAGTTTCGTGGTAGTGTGTGTGTGTGTTTCAAACACATACATGTGAGGCTTAACACAGACAAACACCTGATCTTTGATAAATTATAGGATCGCAAAAAGTATTTATTTATTTAAATAAGGCGATCTGAAGTTCTTATTTGTAGGGAGAGGGAGTCAGTAGGTTATAATTATGCATATTATGTAAAAATATGTTTTCATGCGCATTATTAATTGAAGTTAGTGAAGCTACTAACATTATTTTCGTGTGCTTACTTAACTTTATTGATAGTAAGGACTACTAAGGGACTACTTTATTAAATAACTGTTACCAAGTTAATAATCATCACGTTACCTTTTTAATATTACCTTATCATAGAGTTTCCTTTTGTGTGAATACCAATTAATTTTGAAAAAATAGTTGTTTATAGTTTGAGGTACCTACATCACTGCACTTTGTACATAAAATAAAACTTATTTTTTGTAGTAAAATGTACAGATTTCTAGAAGTAAAGAATAGTATTGATACACAATAGTAAGACAGAGGCAAGTCTTTGTTTATTTGACGTCGTTACGGAGGTTATTGTATAGTTGATAGCTAGTGGTTGTGGGGGTGCATTGGTCGGTGGTCGGGTGCGAGTGTGCCGCGGTGGTGGACAGTGGTTGGCGGGCTAGGACGTGCCGCCCGCCGCCACCTCGCGCCGCTCGCCGGCCCGGCAGTCTGTCGAGCGCGGTCCCGCGATGCGGTCCATCTGCCGCCCAACAAATTCACTCACCCTACTCCAACAACAAAGTAAACTTGCACGCACTTAACATTTCATTAATCATCACATACGACATTACACATACACACATATATTTTAATCTCTACAAACAAATACTCCGTTAAATATGAATTATAAAAATGTATTAAAGTGTTACTTTGAAACTTAACGAATTTTGACTGTATTTAGTTAAACTGTGTTAAAACAATTTCTGTGTGCCGTTTTGCGAAATATAATTAATCAACTTTGGTTATTGATTAATTCTAAGTACATTTATTACTATTTCGATCGTTATTTTATAAAGTTCTCAAAATAATGTAACAAAAAAGCTACGTGAACGTATCGACAAAGAATATATTTTCTCAAACGTAGGTACATCGTGTTAAAAATGTTAGTATCTTGTTTTTTACGTAGGGGTGTCGCGTATATTTACTTTGAAGCTTTTAAGTAAATTAGCATCTAATTGAATATAACTAAATTACAGCGTCGCGAAACATGCGATCAAATGTGGGTTAATTTCATAATTATTTTGCATGTTCACAAGTGTAGAATTTGGGGAGAATAATTAGTAAAACTAATTTATGTGAATTAATTTGCCATTATAAAGTTAAAGGGTGTTTAAAATTATTTAAGATACAAACAGTACTATTGTTTTTATTGTGAACTCACCAGTAATTTTAAAACCATCACCGAATACTACTTACTTATCACTTAGTACTCGGTATCACACGAGCTTACTACCTCTATCAGTTACAGTTGAACAACCAAGTTACTATGACGACCGCAGAGCAATAAGCTTCTTAAATTCTAGTTAATTGTGAGAAATTTCAACGATGGCAGCTGTCAGCAGATATAGCTCATACAACTGCTTGACTGGTTGGGATAGCTATGATAAGATTCCGAGGTAATTATTCACACTTAATTAATGTTTGTGATTCGCTTTTATGAGATGAGATGTATTTAAAAATAAAGTGAATTTTATATATTTAAGAGTTATTTAAATAAATATATCAATATATATGTATAAGTAAGTAAGTCGACAAAGACAAATTTGCGATTTGAATACCTACTTGATATTATATGTGAGTGTGTCAATGTGCAAACTAAATCAATGACTCAGTGAAGCTAAATCAAATTATTAAAACAAAACTTTCATTAAACATTGATTGACCATAAATTGGTATCGAGATAATAAAACTTTAAGGGTGACCATGATTACACACATACCCTAATATTTAAATACATTTGCCATAGGTACATAAATCATTTTAAGAATAATAATAAACACCATATCAACTGTGAGGGAGCCATGCTTCGCAACGAATAGTCCAGCTCAACCATATTCGTACCACGGCCTATTAAAATTGTTTTTAATTAGAACTTTCTTTATTCTCTAGTGTTTAATAAACTGAATTGTAATTTGGCTTGTCACTTTTAATGTTTTCGTATTGTCGTTTTAATAAAAGGACCGTTAATAATTACGTGTTAAACTATAAGTATGTGTGCCTAAATCTTTTACAAGTTTTGGTCGGAGAGTATTCCTAGAATATGCTATCGTGACCTATATTTCTGTAAAAAGATAATACTTATTTAACGCATCTGTAAAATCAAAAAAATAAGAAATATCAAGTTTTCGACATAGCTATCGTTTTGAACGGTTTTGCAGTGTTTCCTTTTTTTTAATTTGGAAGACCTCCATTGGCCCTTTCGTACGTTATACCCATCATTTGCTCTAAGCAAAACAGAATCCATTCGTATTTGAACTTTAGTCCAACGTTTAACCTTTTTGAATCGTAACTTGGGAAGACTGTAACAGTGCAAGACTTTAAGTGTTTATGTAACTTTAAAACAAGAAGACACTTGTACATGAACTGACAATATTTGGCGTATCATGTACCTGAACTATGTACGGGAGAAATACGCCTCAACTTTATCGAATAAACTAAGACATGACGATATGGTTTATAATTCAAAGTACTGGTTAGGTACATTTTACCCGGACAAGATTTGTTTTTTACTTTTATTTTATCGTCTTCTAGCTAATCTCGCGCTGTTTCACCCGCTACTATGCTCCATTTAATCAGGAACATTGTAGCTATCTATCAGTATAAGAATTTTGGAAATCCAACCAATCCGACAGTTCCAAAGATTACCCCCTACATACAAACTTTACCTCTTTCTAATATTAGTATAGATATAGACTAGTATACATAGAAGTATAGATGATTTGATACCTACGTAAATCAACTCATTGAATAAGGAGAAAATGACGAACGTAGTATGAAAACCTAAACGAAAAGAGACAAAACAAAAAAATGTTATTTAAAATAAAGTACCCGCTTGACGTTCCGGTATATAATAGGTTTAAATAATGCAATTTATTTGTGTAACTGTCAAAGTAATTACATTTTTATGTAAATGCTGTTCCAATTAGCAGGTAATCTCGTGCGCTGGATAACCATATTTTATTAGAATTGTAATGTATAACTCATTTTCCGTCAACCTAAAATTTATGTAACTAGGTTTTTCCTAAAGCTTTGTTCTCTTTCTACCCTAATCTACCTTATTTAGCTTCACATCATCAACCTTTATTGCCCACTGCTGACCAGAGGCCTTTTCTCACATGGAAAAGGTTTGAGAACCACGCTTGCTCAACGTGGGTTAGCAATTTCAAACTTAACGACGTGCATTGATTATTTTTTTCAAAATCAGTCAACGTGATCTTGGCTGTATTTACCACTAGCTTCCAAATGCGGCTTCCCCCGGCGCAGTATGCTGATAAAAATCCAGGATATCTCAGATCTACATGCCAAATTTCAATCAAATCGGTCAAGTCGTTTTGCGTGAAAGAATAAAAAACTTACATCGATATATTCTCACAAACTTTCACATTTATAATATTAGTTGGATTCTACATCTGAAAGACAGTATTTATTTTCATTACTTACAGTTTACCTAAACTATTATAACGTTAAATTTCATTTCAGTAAGGGTTAAATCCAAAGAATATGATTTACATAACATCTTCTGATATTCATGCCAAGCTGAAAGGTTTCATGAATTATAAAATTTTGATGTATAAAATGGAATCGGTAATCACCAATCAACAAACAGCATATTTAACGCTGTTTTCGAATATTCTGAGTGCTTTATTAACATTATTCGTTCCAATACCGTAGTAAATTTATCAGTACGAACTCGCAATATCCTTATGGATTCGTTTAGTACCTATTTCGTTTGTCTATCCTGTCCTAATGCTACAGTCATTTTTTTCGAAACTATAAAAAAAATATATTTAAACTTGGTAAGTTTTTGCATTCTACTTAAATAGAAAAAGAAAACAATTTCGGGTTGCCTAATAACATACTTGGAACTGACAAACAAAAAACATTTTTTTCAACCCGGACCTAAGTACTGTTTCGAGGTTTCTAATACATACTTTTTCTGATCTGAAACGATTCCACGAGAATTACTTCTCGATGGGCAAAAGAGACACTTCTAAGTAGTAAAAAGAATTCGTCCGCGTCCTGTTACTAACATTATTTATCAGCACCCCTTTTAGATTTTGAGATTAATTATCATGTATGTAAACTTTCACTGAAAGTACATAGTTATCAATCGAGATCGAGTAAATAGTATTTATACGGCATTAATCGTTATGTAACCCGTTCCTACGAAACAATCGAACGAATCCAACTCGCTCTTACCCGCCTTTTATTTAATAACAGCCTTCTGGGCTACTGCTATCTAGATGATAACAGCATAGACAGTAACAAGTTATCATTTAATGATCATAGATAATAAAAAAGGCTGTCAAAGTTTTTTTTTCTACACTCCGTAGGAATGCATAAGGTCTATCTATTCTTTTTTCTATATAAGTGTCAAAAACATTCTGTGTTAAAGGATACAATTATAAAAACGGAAAATACGCATCGCCCTCTTGTGGCCATTCCTCTCTAAATTACTGAAATGAGGTCAGACTTGGTCTAAAAGTATGTACACATCGATCCTAACGAATTATTAAATACCCACCGTACACGACCCGTCTAGTTTGGATTTGCAAGTTACTACCTTAACTTTAGGTCGCCATTTTGGTGCGAATGTTCAACTGAACACGAGGTTTGTTGCTAGCCATCCTTGTTTTTCTCTTGTAATTAAATAGTATTTTGGCTACCTCAGTCATCACATATCATCATCATCAGCCTATAGGCGCCAACTGCCAAGACAAGGCCTCTTCTCACACGGAGAAGGTTAGAGCATTCATCACCACGCTTGCTCAAGGCGGATTGACGATTTCGAACTTATAATTAGAAATTATACTTAAGTTCTGGTTTCCTCACGATGATTCCCTTCGCCGTATACCAATGGCGTCTAAATAATTATTGAAAATGCGTATAACTCAGAGTACCTGCTACTTACCAGGTTTCGGAACCGCACCCTCTTGTATGTGAAACGAGTGCCTCAATCTCTGGGCAACCAAGACATATTAAACTATCTCAATAAAAGTACTCATATCTAAACGTTTTTGTGTTGTAGACAATGTTTTTTTTTACTTTTTATTTATACTTAGACTTGAGTGTATATCGCAGCCAATTAGCTTGGTGAGCCATTTAAGTAAAGACCTCAATGACTAGCCGTTAGTTGAAGGGTGAATGGATTTTCAAAAATCGAGCTGCCTACATAATATGTGTTTGGTTAGGCTAGGTAGGGTACGAACTGCGACCTGCGAATAAATGGAATCGCCATCAGAAATCAATAGCTTAACAGCAACCAATTGATTTTTCTGTTTTTCAATGGAGGGAAAACCATACAACGGGGTCTCTCCTCCAGATGTGGTGGCGAGAGGATGTGCGTACTTTATAGCTCTAAACCCGCGACACAAGCTAAGCATTGGCCATGTTGAGATACAAAATAAGCAGACCTCTTTTAATGAAGAGGTTACAGTTTTGACTACAGTTTCATTAGCCTCATTGCAGTTTACATATCTATACTTAGGTAAATTATAAAGATGTATTATATAGCTACAATGTTCCTGAGTGCCATAAATGCTGTCTTTTTTCAAATCCCCGTATACATTCGTGGGGTACATTCCTTTTATAGGAATGCGAAGTCCTAGGCGGTAATTAGTAAAATATATCACAATACATACCACACAATATTATTTAACTTATCGTTAATACAATGTTAATCTAAGTACCTGCATACTTAATTAAAGTTTTTTACCTCGTCGTTCAGGGGCGGACTCAACTGAGGGGTTTTTGGGCTGTAGCCCAAGGCCCATGAACAAAGGGCCCCCAGAACCCGCTAAAAACAATAGGCGATGCCTATTTACATTACACAAAGTTTCTACCATTTTAGCGAAAATAAGGATGGGAACGTTGATTTGTGAAAATACGCACGAAATTTATTCAACGAAATAGAGAAGTTTTACAATTGATTAATTATGGGAAGAATTTTTTTAAAGAAAAATAAATACAGAGTTCTTGTTTAGCTATTCGTGAAGGCAACAATTTCTAACTGTGTCATTAAAAGACATCGCAAATAACATTCGTTGACTAATTTTGTACGGCCCCAGTATAAGACCGTGGTCCAACAAAATTCACGTCCCATCCATGTTTGTCGTGGTAAAAGCCTTATGCATGTAGCTAGGTTGTAAATATCATCGAATCTGATTTTTTTCTTTACTTTTTGTTTCTAACGAAATCGGAAAGCAACTGGCGTAACATCCTCAATAAACCCGTAAGATAATATATTTGGAGAATCCTTCATCAAATATCTTCTTGTAAACTGAAGAGATATAGTAAACATAGTTTTTGACTGATTTCACTACGAGACCGCTTTTTTGTGGAGGAAAATCATCAAAGTACTTCTCTCGCCTAGGGTATGGCGAGAGGGAGTATCAGACTATTACTGGCTAAAGACCGCCCCGTTCCTTCTCCTGCTCTAGGCCTAGACCGCGGTACCTTATTGCGCTAGACCAGCAAGCCCGGCTGAACATCAGCGCATTAGCCATTACAACATGCTTTTATTTTTATTTCAGTTTTATTAAGTAATTATAGTTTTTTATAAAGCAAACATCTTTATACATAAAATAAAGTCGTGTTAATTAGACTATTTATAACTCAAGAACGGAAGAATGGCTGTACGGATTAAGCTGAAAATAGGCGAAGAGCTAGTTCAGGAATAGAAGACGATCATAAGATAAATAATGTGTACAGAACTTTTGTCTCTTTTAAACTACGTATCACTCCAAAATAGGGCTTGAAATTTTAAGGTCGAAAGTTAAAACTGGTATGTCAACTATTTATGAATAATAAAAGAAATCGTATAATTTTTATTTTTCTGATGCGCCTTAATACTTCATAAAAGAATAGAGGTCTTTTTCAGTTTTCTGTGCTGGAAGCCAATAATTGGCACATAGACCTTGTTCCCAGCAAAAAATTTCAAGTTATTGTTTTTTTTTTAATCTTCCTCTTTTATAATATCGATTTTTAATTCCATCCCCAAATGGTAACATATAATATCGTCTAGAGTAGCGTATTAAAATAATATTGTGTTTCGAGTTCCTTCTGGGACCGCATTAACCTGAACTTTATCGTGAGCGGAGCCGCTGGCAAAAGGTATACATATATATCCGGGACTGTTGCAGAAGTACCGCCAAAGTATAATTGACAGCCTAATCAAACGTCGCTAGGGATGGATTAGCCACACGCTCCGAAAGAATCCTAATTATACTTCCAAGCAAGTCTTAAACAGGAGCGAAGGAAGTCACAAAACTTTCTTTAATTCATCGTAAAACCCCAAGCTAGCGCCGGCGTTCGCGCACCTAAATTTAGTGAATAATGTGATGATGTGGAGCGTGGTGAACACCGATTTCGAGAATTAAGATAAAGATCGATCACGATGGATGGCATTTACATATATTATGTTCTTTCAACCAGAGGACAAAGGACTTCAGACTAAGTCAAGTGTACGTTGAAAAGGAAGCAAAACATATACAAATAGTAAAAAAGACGCAGAAGACCAGTAGCTTCTATTCTAATATATCGATAAGACTCATTTTTTATGCCTATTACGACTTGTATACTCAAAATTGTGTGGCAATTTTTATAATAAATAGATTTCTTCTTCTTCTTCTTTATAACCGAAGAAATTTCATCCTACTCTGACAGACTAGGATATCTGACAGATACAGACAAACTATAACTAAGTAGGCTAGCCTTTTTCTTTGCATAGCCTCCTGGAAAAATGGTGTAAACAGTTAAGTCAAAATACATCGATCAATTAACCTATGTAAACATATCCTGCTTTGATTGATGAAGCATACTACCACCGAGCTCAATTTTTAAGCAAAGACTTTAAAGAGAATGCAGTTTAAACGTGCTTTTTAGTATCAAACGAACTTCGAGTGTATGATTTTTTATTAAATTGGAATTCATGTGTGTATTGTACTACAGTAGAAATGTATGTGAGCATTATTGCGGGGCTGAAAAGGTAGGCATTTGACATTACTGTGAAGCAGTTTTAGGAGCTCCCAAAGTTGGCTAAATTGTCTCAATTTTGTCCAGTCATTCTTGGGTGAGTCGAGTATTGCTAGGAGTTTAACAAAAACTTCAGTAAAATATAACGAATATTTTTTTGACAAAAAAACTGCTACATAAAAATCCATTAAAACAGCCTTTGGTTACACTCCTTGACCACATCATTGATCCATCTATCTACCTTTAACTAATTTTCTAACCGTCACGAACAACTTCTGTAAAAATAGACGGTAATGATACAAGAAAGGAAAAGATTAGATTGTCATTGAGTGAATACATTATCGTAAATGCATATTGATTCAATTTTATTCACACAGTTCCACTCACATGCAAAGTATTGGTTAACATTGACTAGAAGAACATCTCTATGTGTGATCCACAAATTATTGTTCCTGTAATGTGACTGAAATAATATGTTTGTAATCGCACTTATGACACAGGAGAAAGTTCTAGTGTGGATAAAGTTTTTATCCATAAAAAAATATCAATATTATATGTATTAGGTATACCTACTACCAACTTTCTCAAGTCTTCTTGAGGTAACGAAGTAACTCGACAAGTTTCAAGCCAGGCCACGGGTTCGTAATAGCATTGACTGACTAATGAGACTTATTGAAAAGTTAAGAATCAGTTATAGTATATTCCTAGGCAATAAAAAAACTGTTATTTCATTCTTCTCCTGGATATAGAACGCTGCGAATAGAACCGACAAAATAAATAAGAATAAGATTAAGATAATGTATTTATTTTATATATTAATAAGGCACTTAATTGTTAAGATATAAACTTACATTTGTAACTGACCGATTGAGGCGTGTGAAGTTAAAATCGATTGCAGCCAAATCTTTTGATCACGGTAGATTTTGATGTAGTATGCAATGAGTACATTTCGTTGTAAAAATTTTGATAAGAGGAACAGGCCCCTAGTATTAAGATTTATTATGTTAAAATATCTTATTAAAATAACATATTTTAATTAGAATATTTATTTAACAAAGAATCATGTAATCTGTTATAAATAATATTATGTTGAAGCCAAGATACAAATTAGTAAATAAATTGTAATGTTGTTACAATTGTAACACTGATATTGCATGCAGGACATTTATTAAGTATTAGTAAAAACATGTTTTTATTTTTGTTTCAGAGTCCGAGTGGAGTATTACGTAAACGAGAACACTTTCAAAGAAAGACTGCAACTATATTTTATAAAAAATCAACGATCGAGTAAGTATGTCAAGGCGTTAATAAATTGCTGTCATTATAGTGAGGTTTCTTCGAAAAGACACAGACAAGTAGGCATTCGTTCCTACAATAAACATGAATATTAAAAACTACAAACTACTTATGTTCGACATTGTGATTGCTCGTCATTGAGTTATAAATTTAGCATTAGGTACTTAGTTTTGTCGGTCTTCTTACTCACATTATCACGTCTAACCTAACCTTACATTGGTTTTTTTTAATAAATTCAGCTTCCTGTTCCATTTGCATTCATAAATTATATTATCTATATTTTATCAAAATGAAGAAAAAAGTCGAATTAAATAACGCACCTATCCGAATATTTATTGTTTAAAAAATATATCAGATATTGCTTTTCAGCAATATAAAAATTAATTTAAGCATTCAATATAACAGGATTTCTCAGTTAACTCAACTGGAATCGATTGATATTTATATGCACAAAGAAATGATACTGTTTGAATACGATATATCTTTTAAATTTATTTTTTATTTGTTATTGAAAAATATCTTGAATCTCGCTCACCAACGTGCGACACTTGGAATGAAATGGCGAGACTCTTCACATCCTTGAGATGTGTATTGTGAGAAAATATTTCCACAAAATGAAATGAGAATGAACTGGAATTCGTACAAAGGACTCGGCTGTTCTCGTTCTTGGTGGCCAAATAATACTTATGCTGTAAAGTCGATACTAATGACCATAAGTCCTTCACATCAAGAAAAAAAACATTTTTAAACTCTAGTATATTATAGTGTTTGCGGTTAAATTAAAAGCCGTTCACATGGAGTTTCATTTTAGTTGCACGAGGCAAACTATTATAATATCATCAACGACAGTTACATTGACAAAGAAAATTATTATTTACTACTTATTTGTTCTGTAATAAACGTAAATGCAGGCACTTTTATTGGAAAATAATGAAACATGTGAAAGTGAACATGTGGCTGCAGATTTATATTCTGCAATTACAAGCGAACTATTATTAAATACATTGTTAACCGATTTTTAAATGAGTAGTTTCTCGGAAATTGTCTGAAGCTATTAAGGATGGCGGAGTAATCGGGGTAGCAATGCTATTTCTATTTCTCTAACCCTGAACATATGTATTTACCTAGTCACAATTCTAGAAACAGGTTTTGAAATGGCATGTCTTACTTTAGACATTTTAGGCTTCATTATCGCGTATTCGGTCGCCATTTACGCATGGTTTTAAATAGTAATATTGTATTAACTATATTTTCTTAAATATATTTGTATAAATATATATAAATAAAGATTGAATTAGAAGAATTTGATTGATTTGATTTAGAAGTGAAGACAATTGACTGAATTATCCTTTAACAAACGCCTGGGGAGGAACTTTTAACTAAATAGCAATGTGGAAATCTTAATCAGTTTTTTTTAAAAAAAACCTCGCTATTTTATTGGAAACTACAGCAGTAGTCAAATTTCCTTGCTGCTGCGTACAGAGTAAGGTCCTACCCGCACAGCGATATTACAACGCAAGAGTTTTTTTCGTAATTGTACACGCATTGAATTTTCGAGTATCGCGCTAGCGATAATAATCGAGCGAAAACAACAAAATTGTAATTCCATGCAGATTAAATGCGACACGGTGCGGAAATAAATGTGCGCAGGTTTAACTTAGCTACAGAGCCATAACTTCAAAACCTAAAATTACGAAGATAGAATACTCAAGATTATGAAACACCCAATTCAGTAAAAATTCCTTTAATAGAACAAAATATGCCTGACTGTAGGATTTGGAGCCCCATCCCTTGAGGTGATCTCACTCTAAGTAATCTAAACTAAAACCGAAATTTATGTTTAGGAATTGGCTTAGTCTCAGTATTGTTATTTTCCAAAGTGTTACATTTTACAAACTAAACCAGTTCGTTCCTCGGATGACATTTCTATATCTGGATTTTAAAATAAACTACTACAGACGAAACGGTAGCCGAGCGCCGGTAATTGAATTTAAAAAATAGTTATTTTAAAGTCTCCATTTCGGACAAGTTGACAAGATTGTCGATCCGACTCGATTTTATTTTAGTATTTTAATAACAAATGTATTTGAAGATTTTATTTTTAACATAATCATATTAGCGTCTGTTTTCTCCATACAACATGTTTCATCCTTATAACATGGATAGTCATACTAACGTTACCTACAACTTAGGGCTGATTTTTCAATGGTTAGATAAAAGTTATCTGTGGAATAATTATGATGCTGTCGCGTCTGGACGTTTGTATAAGACAGTGACAGCAACAATTTTATTCCTCAGAAAACATTTATCTGACTATTGAAAAATCAGACCTAAATCAATTAAATTAGGTAATATCATGAAAAATCTTAGCTCTTTGCCTGGGAAATTGACGTTTTCAAAACGTGACCCTTTTTTCTTTGGATATTTTTGGATTGACTTCGAATCTACTGAATTAAGGATAGGTAAATAACTATTATATATATACATATATGTATATGGTTGGTAAAACACAAAAGGATATATTATTTCAATAATAGGATAGGAATTGATTAATCGGACATTAAGTTTGTTCATAGATTTAACATAATAAAATAGTTAGATACAGCTTATTTTCATCACGTTTTCTTACTCTATAAGAGCAATGTTGTTATGTATTTTTGTTTCAGGTTTACGCATTAGAATAGCTAACTTATTTTTCAAACTTTTGACCTGCGTGTTATATATATGCCGAGTTTGCGCTGATGGGGATCCTATTACCGCTTCCTGGTAAGTGCATTTCATATGTAAGTGTAGTTGAAAACTTACTGTGGTACATTAAATCTATTTTGAAAGTAATTTGCCGATATTTATACGAGGATAAAGATGTCTTTCGCCAATTTATCGGACCTCTTTTATTTGTTTGTAAGTTCAGAATTTGTTTATTACTAGGTCAGTAATATATTTGAGGATGTGGTTACTCGGTTTAGCTTTTGCTAGCTGTTAAGAATGACAATTTTCCAAAAATGAATTAATATCATTACTAGTCTGACACTACAGTTGGGGGCACTATAGTTCTACAGATTAAAACTGTCCATATGATATATTGTTTTAGAGAGATTAATCTTTTCAGTACAATAATATACATTCACAGTGAAAAAAGCAAATAAAGTATACTTACATAATAATATGCACACAAATCTTTTAAGCGTTTTCAATGCAAATAATGTAATCGGATTGCATGTGCATATTTTACACCGGTAAACCTCATGGAGGTTCATTGAAAATTTACGATCATTTATTATTCATACTCAGGGTGCCCGCTGAGGATATATTGCCAGTTAAAAAAAACACTAAATGATTCATTGATCGACTTAGTACTTATAAGTGTCTTATATACATGTACTATTTACAAAGTTAATAGCATCATAGAGGTATTCTAAAAGAGGTTCTATTGTAGTGGCATGGCATTAAAAATGACTTAACAGCCGACTTCTAACCTAATCTAATAGAAACGCCACTCACGTGTTCGCGTTCGTGCTCTGTGTAGGCATTTAATATAATTATCATCTTTACAGTTACGGCTGCAGGCCTGGGAATAAGACTGAATTCGAATATTCGGCTAACTTGACGGAAGAGGAATTTCAGGAGCACCCGATTATTAATTGGGACGGAATAATATGGGTCAATAGGCCCCTGTATTTGTGGGTTGTGCAAGTCATATTAGCTATGATATCTTTTACCGAAGCCATACTACTCGCTTATTTAGGCTACAAGGTAAATTAATTGTGTCATCAACTAAATTGAAATTACCTTATGGGACCATTTATCAATGACGTCACACTTTTAGGGAGACTTGATAGAAAAGTGGACGCGGGTTGGGTCGTACTTTTACTTCCGTCTCCTGTAAACAACAAATACCTAATTCTGGATTACTTCGGGTTTAAATGATGTACAATATTGTAACATATGTCTTTAACAGATTGAGCTGAAATGATGTATACACCGTCATCTTTATTTGCAGGAGCATAAATGCTAAATTCATAGAAAGATCACAAATGTGTATACCCATTTTTGTTTTTAGTTAAATTTTCTCCTTTGTTGTTCCCTCGATTTACTGTTCTTAATTTAAATCTCTTCTTCTGTTTTCAGGGTAATATTTGGCAACAAGTTTTATCGTTTCACTTCATCTTAGAAATGGTGAATACAATACCATTTGCATTAACGGTAAGTTGTGTATTTAGTTGCTTTCTTATAAGAATACTGGGCACACCGCGCTATATAAGTAAAGGTGGCTAAATAAAATAACATGCTAAAACATCCATTCAGAGACATACAAAGGCTATAATAGTTATTATTTATGTACTAGCTAGTCAAATGACGGGAGCGGGAACGGGGTCATTTGACTACCTACCATACTCTACCTACTCTACCTACTCACCTTAGGGTAGGTGAGTAGGTAGAGTAGGTAGAGTATGGTAGGTAGTCAAATGACCCCGTTCTCTACCTACTCTACTCTACCTACCCTACTCTATCTACTCTACTCTACCTACCCTACTCTACCTACCCTACTCTACCTAACCTACTCTACCTACCCTACTCTATCTACCCTACTCTACCTAACCTACTCTACCTACCCTACTCTACCTAACCCGCACTATCTACTCTATGCCAATTTTCAGCTAAATCGGTTCAGCAGTTCTTAAGTTATAAGCGACGCCACTAACTAACACGACTTTCTTTAATATATATAGATGTAACATTTTGCCATCGGATTCTACTGAAAAGTAGTAAATTAATCAAAGTAACTGAAAATAGTGCGTAAACACATCTCTTCGGGAAGTACTAGCGGTCCTACTAAGGTTAATTAGTATTTGCATATTGAATGTAACACCTTTAAAAATATGTTTAGTTGTTACCATAAACTAAGCGGACATTTTAATAGTGCAGTAAAATAATGCACAATAACTTTAGTTGGAAACTGTTGCATGTTACGGCTTTATCTGTTATGCATCTTTTACCACATCATTTTTTAAAACTTTAGTGCTATTTTAATTTTTTTGCTATAATTATAAACGTAGTGACCGCGATCAATTAGGTCAGAGACTTTAAGTTATTGTTTACATCACAATTACATAAATTTAACAGCTCCTTTACACAGTCCTCGAAAGAAAATCAAATGGCAAATTATTTCCAGACACACTGGTTCTAATTAATTTAATATTGTGGTAAAGTTATTGATACCAGTGAAGCAAACACGTAACGTAATCATTAACGCTGCTGGCACGTTGCATAACTTACCCAGGGGTTCAAGTCGAGTATTTTCAGAATATTGTCATCCCACACGATTCCATTGTCATTTTCCTGAAACTTCGTAATCTGTTAATTCATAATGACTGATCATTGAAAAAATGAAACAGTGAATTCATTTTTGTAAATAGGCCATAACACAGCACTTTTACATGTCAAAAGGGCGACAATGGGCGGTCACGGGTAATAGAATTGTGGTACGAGCTGTCTTGTAACCATTTATAAACAATAACTGCACAAAAATATTGTAAAAGTAAATCACAGATTAAAGGTACTCTCAACATTTTATTAACTAAACGCATTAAGGTCTGATTTTTCAAGTTAAATAAAATTATATTGTTGCTGTCACTCTCTTACACAAACATTCTGACGCGACAGTATCTGCACTGCCGCTGCCAACCAATGACACTTCATGGAAATATTATTTTTGGAAAGTTTATTGACGCTATCACGTTAGTAGATTACTAAACTTGTCAAAATCATGTCAATTTTGAAATCAATGATCCACTATCGTAATTAGCACATAGGCCTTGCGGCCCAGGTGTAGCTAGGGCACTCCAAATCTCTTCAACGTAATTTATATATCTTAAAACAATCTGCTGTTCTGATTTTGAACAAATTATTGTTACAATCAAGAATGAGATTAGAACAGCGACGACAGGGAATATTTATGTTTGCCAAACAACACGTAACCTGCGGATAAACTTAGAGTTGAAAATATAAAATGAAAATATTTTTTGTGAAATTGTTTAAATGTGAAATTTCTAACTACTCGATCAACTCTGGAACATGCCCAATTCACAGATCAACGAATAATCTTCTCAGTATGCGTAATCGTGGAGTAAGGCAATTCAATATTTCATTTCTGAAGGTCGTCGAAGAAATTTTCTTTTTCGTGTGCCTCATAGTATAGGTTATCATGAAAAAGGTCTTTCGTTAATTACGCCACCTTCATGTCGGCACGTAGGTGTTAGAGTTAATGATAAAAACTCGAATCTTTTTTAGACGTACGATGTAAATGTATGATAGCTATACTTGTGAGGTTCGATCCGTTTTGCCGTCATGCACTATATCGATTGTGTTACCCCGTGATAAAAATAAACAAATCTGATTTCAGTTGCCGTTTCCACCGCTCAGAAATCTCTTCATACCAGTATTTTTAAACTGCTGGCTGGCGAAGAGGTCTCTGGAAAACATGTTTGTAAGTACATTATTGTTTAATTAATTTGTCATTATTTTGTTGCTATCAGTGTTTATTGCTATTGTTTATTACTGATTGATCAAAAACACGAGGTACCTACTTGTGTTCATTTTCAGTTGTTTGGCTTTGTCAAAGAGTTAATTACAACTATTCGTTGTTAGGATATGTATTGTGCAATCGGGATGCATGGTATTGAATCTAATTTCATTTGCAATAGCGTTCATCTGATTTTCAACATTAATAGCCTATTTTTTTATTTGTTTCTAGGTTGAAGTGTCAAGTCAAGTCAATCAACCAGGTTCCAAAGCGATTTTTTTATAGGCAGCTTGAATGATGTAGTGCTTGGCACCGTTCCTGCGAAACGTTGGAAACGTTCGCTCGTTTTGTGCATTTAGGTTCACAGTCTAACATAAACCTAACTTTTCTAGTTAGGGTATAGGTAGAACGTTAAAGAGTAAAGTTAAAAATTAATAGTTTTCGTGACCGTCCCGTATACATATACGTACAAACTGTTTTAGAAACCAGTTGTAAACTTCTTTTGGAAAAAAAACATAAATAAATTGAATTATGTAAATGGGCCTTATAGAAAATGTTCTTTGTCATCGTAGGAAATTAGGGAAAATGAAGTTACATCATTCGCTATACCAAATGATAATTTATTAAAAGATTATTGATGGAATTAAAGTCAAATGAACGTTTTTTTTTAAATTATGTCAAACGGCAATGTCCTTAGCAGAGTGACAGTGACACTGAGACCTCTAGCTCGATAGTGGTACTTGCAAACACTCGGCAATGTATCCTTCTATTTAATAATTAAAACCAACCTAAAAATGTCATCGTTTCTTACAGAACGACCTCCACAGAGCTATGCAAAAGTCCCAGTCTGCCTTATCACAGCAATTAATGATATTATGCGTCACATTATTGTGTCTCGTCTTTACAAGGTAAGTAAAAAAAGGTTAGCATTATTTTAATACGGTAGTTTCCAACTAGTCAAATTCAATACTTTTATCCAAACATCAAAAACGATACTTCTCTATGAAATTTGTACGAAAAACTGAGCTATGACGTCAAACTTTTTTGCGTCAAAAAGCTTACTTATTTCTTAATAATTAGCTAATAGGACAAATCCTTGACACACTTCCTACCTAATAGGGTGGTCACGGAATGGAATAAACTCCCAGAAAATGTGATAAAAGCACCCACAGTTAATTCTTTTAAAAACAGACTCGACAAAATCTCCAAATCCATTAATACGCACGCATCAGCTTTCTAAGCTGCTAGTGTGTTCAAGTATATAATAATAATAATAATAATAAGCCCTCTAAACAACCACACGTCCCGATCGACCATCTGATCACGTGGGGGGCGGACACACGAAAATTAAATTACTGGCGTGGCTAACGTGCCTCTGGAAACCCATTCAAAATGGAGACTCGTTTAAAAAGGAAATTGAGAGGGCCGCTTCCCGGGGATCGCCGGGGCACACCTGGAGCTGACGCTGGGTGTTTCAGCATGCAAACCGTCAGTGGTGAGGAGCTGAGCAGGCGGGCTCCCACCGGGTCACCCGAAGTTACTACAGCCGAACAAGATACTTCTGATAGTCTTAATGACTATGTTACCAATCACATTGTTGAACCATATAGCCCTAGCACCGTTTCATATACCCCTTCATTGCAATCGTTACCTTCGTCAACTAACTCATCACCTCCTCCAGTAAGATTTAGAACTTCACCCACTCCAGTCTTGGATGTTGCGCGGGAGGTGAATACCTTTTTACCTGCGTCCACCAAGGCTGGCAAACCAAGATTGCGCATGTCTTGGAGTAAAGATGTGAATATATTCATCATGCGCACTTATTATTATATAACAAAGTTAGAAACGGATAAGACAACATATAGGAAACGATTGCACGAACTATTCTCGCGACAGTACCCACAAATAACAGTCTCGGAACAACGTGTATCGGATCAGATGAGGACAATAATAAAAAATAAGCGACTCTCACAGGAAACATTAGACCATATAAAAGAAGAAGTACGTAAAACTTTAGAAGAAGGAGGAAGTGAGAATTTCAATATCGCAAACACATCAGATGTCATTCCTACAACATCATCCTTATCTTTCCAACCTAGAGAACAATTGCTTAACTTTGAAAACGTCGCGTCCATCGATTCAAACATCACCCCAAATACAAATTTATCATGTAATCAACACGCAACATTCACTCAACACGCAACATTCACTCAACACGCATCCACTCAAACACACTTCTCTCAGGATCTTTTATCGCAGCAGATACTAATCTCACAACCTAGTCAAACGTCGGAGGTGGATGTATCTGCACAGACATTAATTAACCAACTGGAAACTGTTCTTATTAAATATACTGGCACAGATCCTACAGCTCGCCCTAAGCTACCAAAATTAAGAGAAAATAAAAAACTTTACGCGTTGGTTGATATTTTTAACAAACAAATATTGAACCGATTTTACTCTGTAGATTCCGATTTAGTATGTATACATACACTTATATATTGCTGTGCACACGTAATAAGTCAAAACTTAGGATATAAAATAAAAACATGTAAACCAACCACTAAATACAATAAAAACCTTGATAAAACCTTCCTGGCAAACAAGACTAGAATTAGATATAAAAAACTTACGAGTAGATATTGGTAGATTAACACAGTATATAAAAAATAATAGATCTAGAAAAATTATGAAAACGGTAGAAAGCATATTCAGACAAACAAAAGTACATACTATACATGAACCAAACAATGTTAGGCCCGAGGAATACTTAGACACATTAAAGCAGAAATTAACCTTAAATCACAACGATTAGCAAGATATTTAAAAGCTCTCCAAAGAAAGGAACACAATAAACTCTTTACGGTAAATGAGAAAAATTTCTATAGGGCGTGTAGAGACAGTAAATTCAAAATAATAGTAACAATATATCCCCCGAACCCAATGAACTTAAACACTTCTGGGCTAATTTATGGGAAAAACAAACACATCATAACGACACTGCCACATGGATTGATGAAGAAAGAAGTAGAATGGCTGACATTGATGAGATGGAATTCGCGGATATCACACCAGAAGACATAACAATAGTCACTTCAAGAATGAAAAATTGGAAAGCAGCTGGCGTTGACAACATACATAATTTTTGGTACAAAAAGTTTTTCACATTACATGCAATTTAGCTAAAAACGTCACAGAATTAATTAGGGGTGAGCAATTGATGCCCAAATTCATCACAAAAGGAGTTACTTACATGCTTCCCAAAAGTAATGACACATCGAATCCCTCACAATATCGTCCCATTACATGCCTACCAACAATTTACAAACTTATCACTTCACTCATCACACGAAATATCAACAGTCATCTTCATCGAAACAATATACTGTCAGAAGAACAGAAAGGATGTAGGCAGAACCACAGAGGATGTAAAGAACAGCTCGTAATAGACTCAACAATTTTAAAATGCGCACATACTCAAAATAGAAATTTGAGCATAGCCTATATTGATTATCAAAAGGCATTCGATAGTGTCCCCCACTCCTGGCTAATTAAAATCTTACAAATATATAAAATAAGCCCGATTATAATTAACTTTTTGAGAATTGCTATGACTGATTGGAGAACAACCTTATACCTCAATAATGGTGTAAGCTTCATCACAACAGATGAAATTTACATAAGAACTGGCATTTTTCAGGGCGATTCTCTCAGTCCTCTTTGGTTCTGCCTTGCTTTGAACCCACTATCTCACCTTCTCAACAATTCAGCGCACGGTTATAAATTAAACTCAGAGACAGCCATAACTCATCTCATGTATATGGATGATATTAAGTTATTTGGAAAATCCAAGAAGTGCCTACAATCACTAATAGATTTAACAGCCAAATATAGTAGCGATATACAAATGACATTTGGTTTAGATAAGTGCCGCACACTTCACATATATAAAGGCAAAATAATTAGTACGCTTAGCAATACGACCGAACCTGATACATTCGAATCGATGGGATCGACAGATACTTACAAATATCTAGGTATTCATCAGTCCAACACCATCGATCACATTAATATTAAGAAGCATCTAACTACAGAGTTCTCAAAACGGCTGAATTTACTATGTAAAAAACAACTTTACTCAAAACATCTATTCAAAGCTATCAACACTTTCGCAATACCCATTCTTACATTTTCATTTGGTGTAGTTAAATGGACACGCACAGACATTCGCAACTTAGAAATAAAAATCAGGACCACTCTAACAAAATACAACTACCTACACCCCAAGTCAGCTATAGAGCGTATTTCAGTTAAAAGAGAAAAAGGAGGAAGAGGCCTCATAGATTTGAATGTACTGTGGGAAGGTCAACTTAAAAATCTACGAAATTTCTTTTATAGTAAAATCACAACTAGCCATATTCATTCAGCCATAGTTAATCTCGATAAAAATTACACTCCGTTAAATTTGTCTAATAGGGATATTATTTATAAAACCCCACAAACCCATGTCACTGACAAGTTGAATAGGTGGCGCTCCAAAGAACTACACGGAAGACATTTACATGATTTAGAGCAACCACACATAGACATAGACGCCTCAAATAAATGGCTAAAATTAGGATCGCTTTTTCCAGAAACCGAAGGGTTTATGATCGCGATACAAGATCAGGTCATAAACACCAAAAATTACAAGAAACATATACTTAAGGATCCCACCGCACAGAACGACAAATGCAGGAAATGTTACCGCGCCGCTGAAACCATTCAACATATAACCAGTGCATGTCCAAATCTAGCTCAAACCGATTACACACATAGACACAATCAGGTCACCTACATCATTCATCAGAAATTAGCCATAAAATGTAATCTTTTACCACCTAAAGTTGTACCGTATTACCAATATGTTCCTAAACCAGTGTTGGAGAATCAGAGTCACAAGATATACTACGACAGAGCAATATTAACTGACAAGACAATTCATAATAATAGACCGGATATAACAATGATTGATAAACAGAATAAATACACATATATTATAGACATTGCAGTTCCAAATACGCACAACCTACAAAAGACAATTTCCGAAAAAATTAGTAAATACACAGAGCTAAAAGAAGAAATAATTAGAATATGGAAGATGAATCGTGTGTATATTGTGCCTCTGGTGCTCTCCAGCACTGGCATAATACCTAAGCACCTACAACATTACCTACAACAAATTGAATTACCTATAAATACATATATAACCATGCAAAAAGCTGCTATATTGAACACGTGTAGAATAGTTCGTAAATTTCTACAAGACGACGCAAATATTGAACCTATTCCCCCCAATGAAGCTCACTTGGCTTAGGCCCGTGGTTTCATTAATTTACCGGCATTCTTAAAATGCCGAGGAAAGCAAAACTTAATTGATGGATAATAATAAAAATCTAAAAATTAGTGTATCGATCGATCGATGACTAAAAGTATAGTTATTTTTCAGTATTTTATTGTATTGAAACGTCGAAATAATTTATTTTTGACCTAGGAAACTACCCAATTATACTTAAAGAAAGGGCGATGCCAGCGTTTCCTTAAAATCTGGTCCCACTTTCAATTAGCTATGTCTGTTACATCATTGGATGGGTAATTTTGAGCTGAATAAAAGTTACTACCGCGCTAATTTTCAAATTTCAATCCATTCATAGTAATTCTTTAATAAACATGTTAGTTTTATCATTAGCCAAGTAAGCTTAGAATCAAGTGATGTTGATTTTCCGAAATTCAGTGAAGAACAAATCATTTTGTCAGTTTTGGGAACCTACCAATTGAAATTAGTGAAATCTTGTTGCAGCGAATATCTAAAAAATGGAATCTCGAATTGTACATGCGATTTATTTCAAAGGACAATATTTTTAGGAACTCGGAATAGTATAGATAAATACGGTTTGGGTCGAATGCTATCGCGCAAGTGATACCAGTAGATTTACACGCATTTTAAAATTATATTTTTAAATTTTAATTCATTTTTTTTTCAGACGTGAGCTCTATTTCCAATAAAAACCTTTTTGATATCACATAAAAGATCCGAATGCGCTCAAAAACAAGAGACCGATCCGATTCAAATCGGATTCCATCTGAGTACAGTTGGATTACATGTTACACGATTCATAAAACGAATCGGTTCCGAGTAGACATCCGATTAGTTTTGGTTCAAACCAATTCGTTGTAAAAAATATCAGGCCTGTTATAAAAAGACAAAAATATCAGCACTATTCAAATTTCGAATTGAACTGAATTGCGTTAACATATTTCTTCGGCAAGTACTTACTAGGTTTACCGTACAATTGGCTAAAAATAAGTAAAAATGATGCTATACTTATCGGAAAATCACACTCATATTATACTTCTCCCAAGCCGTTAGGTGACTGGGCTTTTCACAGTACAGTCTCTTTTGTGCCTTTAAATCATTTACCGAGGGAAATGAAAACTGTTTAGTTTTTACTTGTCCTCAAGTAATAATCTATAGATATACTAATTGATATTCTGATTTATTCCGTTGCGGGATCCAAGACAGTCATCCATGTCCTTGGGACGCGCCGGACTTCAGTGTTCCGGTGTCTTCATGGTTGTATCTACTGTAGATCCTGGCTAACTGGAGTTGCGGCGATTTTGAAAGGTTGCGGCGGGCTTGCCCGGCTTTGCATAAAAACATTTTTCTACCTTTTTATTTTAATATAATTATACTTTTGTTTATTTAAGTATGAATATTGATTTGCCAAAAAAGGAACTTTATTTTTGTACTTACAAAATTCAATGTTCCTTACCACAGAACAGATAAAAAAGTTATCTGTTCTGTTTTCCTTACGGATAAGGCCCAATATGCTCTTTCACGGACATAATATTCGTAAAGTACAAATTCCTATGTTATTGAACATTTAAATGAACTATCCTTCGAATAATTAATACCCACAATAGTCCATTTGTTTCATTTTAATTAAAGGACCAAATAGAAAAAAGTAATGTAGGTATTACAAGTGGCTGTGACGGGTTTTAAACTACGATATTGTAGAAACAAAATCCCTAAAGGGTACAAAGGAAACGCGCAATCTAATTTCATGCGTATTGTTAAATTCCTGAGATTTTCTTCGATTTCATCTGGCTACGTCCTTTCTTGTAAGGTTAAACCGTTTTGCACAGTTTTAATCAATGCAAACAGAACATAACTTTTGAACATGATTATTTCATTCGGCAAACGTGCAGACGGATTAGCTGATGGTAGACAATCGACGCCGGCCATAGATAACCACAACGCCAAAGTAGTTACCTACTAGTACGTTGCCGGTCTTTTTGGGATTAGGGTTTTGGATATTTAAGGATAGGGAAGGGATGGCGGTAAGGGAAGGATTGGGCCTTAGGTAACCTCACTGACACGGCGAAACAGCGCTGTGATTGTTTCTCGCCGGTTTTCTGTGAAGCGGAGTATTACTTTGGTCGAGCCAACACACTCGTTCCAAAGCTTCGTTCTTCTCATAAATATCAATGGTAATGCTATCGGTTCACCCATATATTGGCAGTAGTCCTTAAGATTTATCTTACTGAATTAAATTAGACACATATTGATATATGTGTTCAGATATATGTTGTAGGCATTTTGTGGTATTCCGTCGTCTACATATGTCGTCCTCAGTTAGAAACAATTAATGTTAAGTAATATGCCGAAGGCTAAATGGTTAATGAACTCAAAGCTTAGGAAGGAGAGCCCGACACATTTTGTTTGAACTGAGTTTGTGATACCGTGGTGGCCCGGAGGTTAAGGAGCCTTATCCATGAGGTTTCGAAACCTAGCAAGTACTTTTACGCGACTTTTTTCAAGTTATATGTACTTTCTACGATTTTGTAGACACCACTGACATACGATAAAGGAACACATCGTGAGGAAACCTGGACTTATAATTTTTAATTATAAGTTTGATCCTCAATCCGCCTTGAGCAATCGTGGGGATTAATGCTCAAACCTTCTCCGTGTGAGAAGAGGCCTTTGCTCAGCAGTGGGCACTTATAGGCTTTTTGTGAGGGGCAAATCACCAAATTACTTCTTCCTAACTCTTAATAAATAAAAACCAGTTCCAGTTCCAGTTTTGGGCCAAGGCCGCGGTGCCTTGTGCCCTTACCCCGAAATCCCGGCTGGGCACATATAGGCTAATGATGTGATGATGTGTGTGTGTGTATGATAAGTTGACTGTACTAAGAGTCGCTGAGAGTCTGCGGGTCACCTCATGATTGAGTCTACAACTCATGTTGTTAAGACGCATTACATAAATCTAAACCACCACACAATGCTTAGTGGAAATTTTCGATTACTTAAGTACTAATAAATCGATTGTCGTCTGGCTAGTGTGTCTTTAAAACAAAATTAACAGAATCCGAACAATGCGTGTTATGTGGAAAATTTTCCATGGCATGTTTAAAAGTGGCAATTTCGTATATTTTGACGTGAACGTTCCGAATTTCCATTTTGCTTATTCGTAGGTACATACAGGCGGCTAATTTCAGAAAATGGCTGCCAAAAATGAATTTTTATTTCAAAACCTCTTCTTTTTTTTTCAATTTTACCTAGTCAAATACTAAATATAGTGATTAGAAAAAAAATGATAATTAGTTAGCGCCATACGATGTAGTTATTTAATTTTTTTCGTAATGTGTAAATACTTGGCCACCTGGTAGTAAGCAGCCTATTCAGGCGGGCCTTGAAGACAACTAGGTTATAATATAAAATCCCTTCCGGGGACAGACAGATAGGCTCCGGCAAAGAATTCAACTCCTTAACGAAATTATTACTGCATTGCGTCAACACATCGTATTACTTACGTTTTCTTTGTTGCGATCTCCAAATACATTGTGGCCATTTTATAAGAGGCATTACCTACTGAATTATTTAGTTTTTCCACCATATTAATTTTTATTTTTTTATATTTTTCAGTGTCTGTGGAATTCAACACTTTCAACGAGCTGGACATCGTCATCTCAATCTGTTTCAAGCCACATATTTCGTAGTGGTTACCTTTTCGACGGTGGGCTACGGTGACTTCGTGCCCGATATTTGGCCATCGCAACTTTTTATGGTTATTATGATCGGAGTGGCGCTTGTTGTGCTACCTACACAGGTAATAAAACATTACTGAAACACTTCTCGATTTTTTAACACTGACTGAATTAACATGGCAGTTATACTAATAAAGTACAAACACTTTTTTAAATAACGATGCCTGGATTAGAAAACCATCCAACTTTACATTACCCGGAAAAAGAGATAACTCCTAAAAACCACTGAAAAAGAATATGAATTGAGGTTAATATCTCCCAACGATAATTTAGATTTAATTCCAAAAAAATTTTGTCTCCTGAAAAATTTGTTCATATGTAAGGAGTAAGCTTAATTGCCAAATAAGGGATTTAGAGTAACTCAAATAGTTTTTTATTATTGGTAGATTTTGAACTTTCAATGATGCCGAAGTCGATTCTTAATATCGTAGTAATTATATTATATTAATATTTTTTGCATGAAATGTTTAAGCAAGTTATTGCGTAGCCCATTATTAGATTTTCAAAAAAAATACTATGTTACATAAATAATTTGCCTTATTCGTTTTCTCATTTCAGTTTGAGCAGCTCGCATTCACATGGATGGAAAGGCAAAAACTTGGCGGTTCATACTCATCACACCGTGCGCAATCGGAGAAACACGTCGTCGTTTGCTCTACTACATTACACGCTGATACCATTATGGATTTCCTAAACGAATTCTACGCTCATCCTTTATTACAAGACTACTATGTAGTACTGTTATCTCCTATGGAGTTAGACACTACTATGCGAATGATATTACAGGTAAAATCGACATTCACTTTTTTATGTGATAGAGCTACCTGATGGGTAAGCAATCAGCGCCGCCCATGGACATCCGCAACAACAGAGGAGTTACAAGTGTGTTGCCGACCTTTTGGGGACTAGACATTTGGAGATTTAGGGATTGGGGAGGGCTTGGATGAGCCTCACTGTCACGGCGAATTACGATGCTGTAGTTGTTTTACGCCGGTTTTCTATGAGGCCGTGGTATCACTCCGGTCGAGCCGACCCATTCGTGCATGACTCTCCCACATTTAATACCTTTTACCAGACTAGTTAAATTATCACGTTCGTGCCAATTTGAACTGCTTTCTCAAATCAGAACCAAACAAATTAGACTAGTCAAGGTAGAAGCAGGTCTCTCAAGGCACACAAAACTCGCCACCTGAATCCGTTGACTCCCCACTACTCTGATGATATCTCAGTTCACTCCGCGGGAGGCCTGTCCACATTAGGTCTTCCGGTCCGTTGTCGCTTCTCGAGCACTTTTCTTGCCGCCATTTTATCAGCCGTCATTTCTTTAAGCGATATCGGCCCATGGCCTTTAGCTTGCAGATTTTACGTCAAATTTCCACAATTTGGTCTTTGTCGCGAAAAGACACCCCGAGCTTAGATCGTCTCTCTAGATTGCCATTCATCAAATATGGTTAGTTTTTATTCATCAACCACGCTTTCGCAACCGGCACATGGATTTTATAAATTGATCACAGTATCTGACACGCTCGAGGACTAAAATTTAAGTAACGCTTATATATATATAAAGCGATACTTAAATTTTAGTCCTGAAAAACTGTTGAGTTGCATTCATAAGTTGTTATTAGGTATTTCATTACTTTTTTTCTACAAGTGGTAGAAAACTTCATCTATTACGTTTTTTTTTTCTCTCTCTCTCTCTGAGTTGCGAGTTTTGTGGCCTATTGCCTATTACTGTTTACAGGAATTTGTTTTCTTCGCCTGAAGATAAAGAATTAACAAATTAGTTTCAGCCTCAGTCGCGTGATGCAACTGGCTGCCGTGCAACGTGTCGCGGGTTCGATTCCCGCACGGAACAACTCTTTGTGTGATCCACGAATTGTTGTTCCGGGTCTGGGTGTGATGTGTATGTGAATTTGTATGTTTGTAAACGCACCCACGACACAGGAGAAAATCCTACTGTGGGGCAACGTTAAAAAAACGTCCTTCTATTGTTTTAAGAAATTTGCAAAAATAAATTCATTGTTTCATTGTTTATAATATTGTATTAAAATGCGTTTTATATCTCGAGACATAGAGATACTCTCCGTATTAACTATTACGATTTTCTTTTTTCAATTAACCTAGATAAAAAATCACAATCAAACATTTGAGAGAGGCTTAACTAAGAGATTTATTTTTTGACATTTCAGGTACCAATTTGGGCACAGAGAGTGATTTATATCCAGGGATCGTGTTTAAAAGACACAGATTTAATAAGAGCTCGTATGAACGAGGCTGAAGCGTGTTTTATTCTCGCTGCAAGAAATTACGCAGACAAAACGGCAGCAGATGAACATACTATTTTAAGGTACGCCAATATTATTTAATATTACATTAATACTCCTTTTTTAATATGCTTTTATATTATGTCAACTCGAAACCTTGCCTTTTGGGGATTAAGAATTTGGAAATTTAGAGATTGGGGAGGGATTGGGGGAGGGCAAGGATTCGGCCTCTGTAATGTAATCTCACTCACACGGCGAAACACAACTCTGTGGTTGTTTCACGCTGGTTTTCTGCGAGGCTCCGGTCGAACCGACCCATTCGTGCCGAAGCAAGGCTCTCCCACACTTAAGTTAAAAAGTTATTTCCAAAAACAAGCACGGTTTATTGTAGGTAAAATATAACAATTTAAAAATAAAGGGATAATGTTGGAATGTGTTGTACAATAACGAGCTAAGCTTTACTGTAAATGAAAACATACAACATATTCGCATAACGGCATAAGCAGATACATATGTTCAATTGAGGTCGCGATATAATTTTTTACTGTTCTTTTGTTGAAAAAGAAATCCAGATCTCCTGTAACTTTGTTTAATAAAATTTTAACCTTATTTACCGTGTGTTAATTAGTTTTGGTCGTTTCATCCTAATGGTTGAGGCGCTCCTGCTTATGCCCTCTATGCTCTTCGAGTGTGCGGTTTGACAACCTGGCAAGCACAAATGTGACATTTTCTGAGTTACATTTATAACTTTGTAAATAATTTTTCCGACCGCTGAAATACGGTGAAGGAAAATAACCTAATCTTATAATTTCTTATTACTCAGTAAGCTTAGCAGTGGACTGTCTGTGTCTTAAAATTGTTTTCGCAATCTGTTTACACCAAGTTTCAGAGAATATACAAATGGTTTCAGATCCTGGGCTGTTAAAGATTTTGCACCGGCTGTGCCGCAATACGTGCAGATCTTCAGACCTGAGAATAAGTTGCACGTGAAGTTCGCTGAGTTTGTAGTTTGTGAAGATGAATTTAAGTATGCTCTGTTAGCGAACAATTGCACGTGTCCAGGAGCTTCTACACTAGTGACGCTATTACTTCATACCAGTCGGGGGCAGTAAGTGTTGTCCACATCTTATCACATTCAAATAAAAAACGAAACGAAACATAATCATAATGAAAACCCAAATCAGTTCTAGTTCAAACGATATTTTATCTCATACGTACATAACTTAAATTGCAGGGAAGGTCAGCAGTCGCCTGAAGAATGGCATCGACTATATGGAAAATGCTCCGGAAACGAAATTTACCATATAGTCTTGGGTGATAGTCGGTTTTTTGGCGAATACGAAGGGAAAAGCTTTACCTACGCTAGTTTCCACTCGCACAGAAAGTAAGTTCAAACTGTTACTTAAAGCATTTACATTTCCCAAGATTCACCAGTATTTATACAGTTTCTGTTTGTGCAGGTATGGAGTTGCTCTAGTTGGAGTACGCCCAGCAGAACTACCTGAATTCTATGAGGAAACGATTCTATTGAATCCTGGCCCTCGTCATATAATGAAGAGTAGTGACACCTGCTATTACATGAGCATCACAAAAGAAGAAAATTCAGCTTTTGTCGTTGCTGAAAAACAAACAGAACAGAAACCGTCAATACCAAAAGACCAAACCGCGTGTAGTCTACTTTCTAATGAGAAGAAACCAGGTGATGCAGAGGAGGTTTCTGACCAGCAGAAGAAACCAGACGGTAGTAGCGTCGCTCAATACGACCTTCCACAAGTGATTCTCCAAGCTCCCGCGAGTTCCACACCAAAAGCATCGCCATCACGCATCAACCAAGCTAATACTGTATCATCCGCTAATTTTACTGTCACTGGCTGTGAGTGTCACAGTTGGTAAAACACACAAGTAGGTCGAATGCATACATGCCTTTGCCATCGAACACTAAATGCATTCGTCCTACTTAATTGTTTGATTTGCTTATTGCTCGTTGTCTTTATCAATATGTTATTCGTTCAGATAAATATACCTAATTGTTTCGTTAAAGACAAATAGCAAACTCACTCATTCCAAAAGTACTATGATAACGAGGCAAATAAATAGCTTTCTGATTTAATTTAAATTTTACTAAAATTATAGATACTAAAATGCATTTCTTCCTTGTTATCGTGTACGGATTCACAAAATTTACAATGTAGGATATCCACAAAAGATTCTGTGGCTTGAGTGTGCTTCATGTAAATTCAAAATATTTCGTGAATACAATAAGTAGTCTCGAATTGAAATGTATCCAATTGATAAACCTATTTTAAAATGCATGTTTGTTTGTGTGGTAATATTATGTTGAGTAGTTGGGTTTATTAGTGGGTGTTGGGGTTTATTCAACTACTACACTGTCACCGGGTGCATGTTTGTTGATTTCAATTACACATTAAACGCGGTATCTAAAACGAGAGTTCTTGCGATTTCATTTCGCGAATAATCAATCAACAATAGAAATGTAATTAACATAAGTGCACTATACTATACCTATCGGAAGGATCTTAAGATGTTTCGTCATTTTTCTATTATACCATCTTTCTCTAGTGAATCTATCCCTTGTTGATCTCTTCTTCTCAATAGAAGAAACCACAATGCAATGCAAGGCAATGGTTCATACTATTAAGTCAACTGACTTCAATAGCCAGTTCTTCTAAGATTTGTTCTTCATCTTCCTGTCCTCTTCGCTCGATGTCCAGAAATGGTTGGAATAAAGACGACCTGCATTCTCATCTCAAAAGCAAGACTGACCTTGGCAATTGGCACACGCTAGAGAACAAGATTTTTGCAACTGCAATAAATTGTATTTAGATTTTTTCTAGGGCTAGTACCTAATGTTTTTTCAACCCAACTCACTCCGTTCAGTTGATAACCTAGCCATGTTTGGGCTTGACATAGGTATTTGAAAGAGCATGTCAATGTTTACTCACGTTTTTACATTTTATGAAGATTCTGCATTGGACATGTCATTCATTCATTTATGTCTCCGTAAATGAGGCTTAAGATAGCCTGGTCTAGGAATGCTTGATGCTATAGGTACTTAACTACCGTTCATTAAGTGTTACTCTGTTTCTGTCTATGAATCTAAATGTTCAATGGCAAACTTGGGAGTTTTTTCTCATGTATTTTATTACATACAACGGTTTTAAAGTCCGCTGAAATAATCGTGCACTTTCACTCCAGTCCACAGTCCACAACGAACATTCATGCATCTGGTATTTTTATTTATTTTTTATTTATTTATTTATCAATTAAATGTTTAATATTTACGATGTACACAAATTGTAGATTAAATTAATTGGTCATAAATGTTAAAGAATAATTAATATACGGGAGCTTCATTAAGCTTCTCAGCTAAAATAGCCTCTTTTGAATTAAGTTGTAAATATTTTTTTATTTTAAATTTAAACTAACATTATACATGTTGATTGTTATTTATGTGTACAGCTAAGTATGGAGAAGGCACATCAGCTGCAGATTCTAGAACTTGCTCAAAAGATTCTCCCGGTACGGACAGTGCCACAGATAGTCACCTGTTGTTGCCTAAGCCTGACAACAACTTTTTGAGTCCCGACGCCTTAAATTATCGTAGAGGTGAGTAGACAAAACGATCGTTTGCCACAAAAAATAAATAGTATTACTTAAAATAAATAATATTTATTTTTTAAATAGAATTCCAGTTCTGCAATATAAATGTTCTTCTTATATATAAAAATGAATTGCTGTTCATTACTCTCACAAAAACTCGAAAACGGCTGGACTGAAGTAGCTTTTTGTGGTTTTGAAATATTCGTAGATACACAGGAAGGTTTAAAAGGTTAAAAAAAAACTAAAAACAATTTTATTAAATATTTGTTATATTTGAGGCGAGACAGGGTTCGCACGGTACGGTCAGTTACTATAAAATCATAATAATTAATAGGTAGCTTTTAAACGAGATGGATTATAAGCAATCAGAGCCGCTCACGGACGGCCGCAATACCAAAAGAGTTACGAGTGCGTTGTCGGTCTTTTAGGGATAAGGGTTTCAAATATACTTAGTCGGGTCATAAGTTCTGTCACAAACTTTTGATGTAATAACTTATACGCCTTTTGACAATTATTTAAAAATTATATATGAAATGAAAGGTCATTAAATGTACAATATAATTTTATTTACATTATTCGAAATGCCCTCCCCCATTTTGAACACATGCCCTTAATCTACGCGGCCAGTCATCGATCGCTGCACGCACCACATTCATATCTATGTCTGCCGCTGCTTTAACCAGAGATGCTCGGAGAGACTCCAAATTCGGGTGAGGTTTAGCACAGACTTTTTCCTCCAAATATTGCCATATCTTGTAGTCCAGTGGGTTTAAATCTGGACTAGAAGAGGGCCAGTCTTCATGCCGGATGAAGTCAATTCCACGAGCGATCAACCAGTCTTGCGTACTTCGTGCCTTATGAGCCGGTGCAGAGTCCTGTTGGAATATCCAATGCCTGTTCCTGAACATTGTCTGAGAAAGAGGTTCCACTATGTTTGTTAGGACAGTATTTTGATAAACTTCGGCACTAGTTCTCACACCTTTTTCACAGAAAAACACCTCAGTTACGCCTGAATATGAGACTCCAAGCCAAACCATGAATGAGGAAGGGTAATGCCCACGCTGGACCCTCGCAATACGCGCGCTTGCTTCTTCACTGCTGTGGGCATACACCTTATCATTTTGTTTGTTAAAACTTTCTTCAATAGTAAAAATTTTTTCATCCGAAAAAAGAATTTCGCGGTATTTTTTTCCCGCGTACCGTTGTAGCAAAGCGCGGGATCTGTCTAGCCTAATTTTTTTTAAACGCTCGTTCAAAAAATGTCCTGTCTTTTTACGATAAGCTCGTAGTCCCAGGTCTTCATTTAGTACTCTTTTAACAGTGGTTCTGCTTAGCCCCATCTGCAGAGCTAGGATTTTTTGTTTACGTACGGGATTTCGTTCGATTCGCGCCTTCACTGCTTTGATGACCTTATGTGTCCGAACTGTGCGAGGTCGGCCGCTTCTCTTACGATCTTCGAAGCTTGACTCTTCGGTGTATCGTTTGATAGTACGATAAACAAACCGTAACGTTATTTTCAAATTTTGAAGAATATTGAAAATGTCTTTTGGCGCGTAACCACAGCGGTGCAACGCGATAACCGCGATTCTGTCTTCTTTATTCGACCACTCCATATTTAAAAATGAATAAAAAATAATTTCTTTTTTATTTTCTACAAGCGCGAAAGTTCTATTTTTAAAATAAGTCGAAGAATTTCTGGCCAGTAATCGAAAATTAAAAATATAAGGTTTTGACAGAACTTATGACCCGACTAAGTATAAGGATTGGGAAGGCATAGAGTGAGATGGAGTGATTAAGCCTTTAAAATAATTATGTTTATTAATATTCCAGGAAGTCGAAGGCCGTCTATATTGCCCGTACCTGACATGGTAACCAGTAACTTAAATATCGCCTCCGATAACCAAGACGATGAAGTCGAGGCTGACGAAAGTGAAGATGAACTAGAGGATGATGTACCGTGGCGCTCGCCGTCAGAAAAGATAGCGTACGCATACAAAATTATTAATCGCCATAATTTGCATCCACATGCACGCAAGATTCTTAATTATATTCAGTTTAACTAAAATCACAGTTTAATTACGATTAAGATTGTTTTTTAATTAACAAATTTTTTACTTATTTTTTATTACATTTAAATTGTATTTTTAAGTTTTTTTTAATGGCGTTGACTGGTTTCTTTACCTGTTAACGACGACATTGTATTATTTCTCCATTGTTTTAGCGTTTACATTCACTCCTGTAGATAGCCGATCTGGATCACTCAAGCTGCATGAGTACTTACTGCACAGTACGTACCCTCATAGTTTCATACACATTCACGTCAGCTTTGATTTTTTTAAATATCCTTAATAGATTTGTCTTTTAAACAAATTACGCTTATCAGCAGCTTCATTAATGATAACAGATAAACGATGCAAATAAAAAACATTAAATGTGATATAAATACTTCAACAGCTCATCTTATGCCTTTAAGAAAAAAAAAATAAAAAAGTGATGGGAACCATCGATATTGTAGCCACACATTTTTGAATGAAAAAACATAATATTTTATGAGCACCCTATAGTTTACAATAAATTTTAATTTGAATTAAGAACATAAAACTGACAAAGTGGCTTCCAAAAAAAGTGTTTATTTATTTGCATCACTATGAGAATGAACTAGTGACACCATATTTTATTTTCTTTGTTATTATCTGCTGTACCACAAGCACCATCAGCCTTAAAAATAAAATGAATAAATTAGTTTATTTGTCTTTAAAATACAGAATTTTTAAACTATCCTTGTTGCAATTGTGTGCATTGTGTATCTGTATAATCCCCTGAGCGTAAAAACCCAACCGCACGGCCCGTACCCCTGTCTCCAGTGATGACGTGACCACCAGCAGCTTCTCTTCATTGGCAGCCAGTGACATCGGGCACAGCGCCTGGCGAAACGACTATATGAGGTAAGTTTATAGCATAAGTAATGGTTAATCAGTCGCAAAACAGAACAAAATTATTATCGAACAATGGTCAAATCTTCTGTCTCAGAGTGCGAGCCCCATTATCAGCTTGACGACATCTAACAAATGATTTTTTTTCAAATCAAAATCACTTATTCCCACTTCACCATCAATAAGTACTTTTGAAACGTCAAAATAGAATCGTAGTCTGTCAGTCGATTCGTCACTGAAGCTAGGTGCTATTTTAATTCACTGTCAAAATATAACTTTTACATTTGCTGCAACAGTACCTACAGTGTACATTTTCATCATCATGTTTGTCGCGAACATCGTCATAATCTTAATGTGGACACAATAATATGGTTTCTACATCTTATGAATATACTGGTATAACAATACGAAATCGGTTATAACTTGCAAACCGTTAAATTTTAACTTATTTTCCAGACAAAAGGTTCTTTATAGAATCCTCACGATATACTGAAAGAAAGCATCTTGAATACTGAAAATAGACCATTTCACGAAATAAAATAACATTTTATTTTATTTTCAAAATAATTTTGGCATTTAAAATAATGGCCTAGATAATTCAACTTACATCGCAAAGATAATAAAACTTTAATATACAGGATAGCATTAAAATACCAACGATAAATTTAATAACAAATAATAATAGGTACAGTTAAAAAAACTCAGTCAAATTAAAAAAAAACTCAGTTTATCTATAAACTAGTTGTTATCTTAAAACCTTTACATAATTTCTAAATATATAACACAACATTTTGCCACACAATAGTAACAAAAACCTACTCATGTTCGATTAGTCCTTAGTCAATCGCATTTTATAAAAGGTGACCTATAAGGTGTTCGTCTAAAGGTAGGTAAAATTAATAAGAAATGTGCCGATTACCAATTTATAATTAAATAATGCTTCTAAGGCTTTCGAAAGACTTTCTACAAAACATAATAGTTCAATAATCTGTCATTTGGGAACGAACCAATAGATATTTTGCGCTTAATTTTTATTAAAATTATAAAAGCAACTTATCCAATATTGTTTACCGCCTTGTTGTAAAAGAAAATAATCGGCACGTGTCTGATAAATATATTCATCAAATTATTTACCTCTCCATTAGATCTTTTTAAATTTCTTCGTCCTTATTATATCACATACTAATTATCACATTTTGAATGTTCTTATAGAGTTTGTTTTCAAAGAAATATTTGTAAAGCCAAAAATGAATATTGACTACATATTTTGTATTATACCTACTCATAACAGCAGAAAAAGTTTGGTCACAGAACAGAGAAAATACTAGAAATTTTAATCCTCTAGTAGCAGTATCGAGTTCGAAATAAAGTAAAATCTTAATATGTAAGTAGCATTATTGTTTTGATAAAAAAGCCGCAACTTATTCTTTCAAACGAAAATTGATTAATACTAAATGATATACGGCTTGTTGATAATACGATACCATAAACTATATTTATTGTATAATTTCGCCATGTAACACATATAGTACCTACATATGTACAATATTGGGTCAATACAACGTTTTTAATATTTATCCAGAGAATACTGCGTATTGCCCGCAGGGTAGCAAATGTTAAAACCCGGTACTGCTATATCTCTGTTCTGTATGCTTTCCTATTAAAAATGGAGCTCAAACTGTAAACTTCAATGTCTCCAAAATGAGAAAGAATCGTCTGATTCTATAGAACCTTTTTATATTCATATAAAAGTGAATGACGCAGTCTTGTATAGTCATTGATTATAAAGTAAAAAATGTGATATCATAAGAACGAAGCTGGTTTAGATGTCATCACACTTGCATTTTGTGTTGCACTAAGACGCTGCCATACGCCGCTGGGTTGAGCGATCTTATAAAACCAGGTTTTTTCCTATAATACTTAGGGGCAAATAAAGTAAATGTTTTGTAAATTACAAAAGTGTTAAAAGACCGCAATGCACGTGTGATGTGAAGACCTAGATATTTTCCAATTGTCCAGAGAATAAGAAATTAGTAAATTTCGGCACATGCCCCTATATTATATCTCCAAGCATGTTAATTTCGTGAATTTGATGTTCAATGTTAGATTTAAATAACACCTAAATATAGAACTAAACACAGTCCAGTTATGTCTATCGTATAATATGTACAATATTTTTATTAGATGTGATGTACTTTTAATTTGTAAGTATAAAACAACTTTGACATTCACAACTTTTGAATCTTTTTTAATTAATTACTTATATTTCTTAAAAGCTTTGCTTCGCCTGAATAAACGATGAGATGTGTGATATTCAAATTAAAATACATGCTAATGTTAGCGCAAATAACCACAATGTTATGAGATATTTCAGAATTGTGAAAGGATTCCCGCCAGTGTCGCCATTCATAGGAGTGAGCCCAACCTTATGTTATTTACTGAAGGAAAAGAAGTCACTATGCTGTTTGCAGTTAGCACAAGTCTGTGAACACTGCGCTTACAGAAATGCTAAAGAGTACCAATGGCAGAATAAAACTATCATCCTGGCTGCTGATTACGCGTCCAATGGGATATACAACTTTATCATACCTTTGCGGGCCCACTTTAGGTCTAAGACCTCACTAAACCCTATTATTTTACTGTTGGAACGCAGACCAGACATAGCGTTCTTAGATGCAATATCCTACTTTCCGTTAGTATACTGGATGTTGGGTAGCATTGATTGGTAAGTATGTGAAATATATAAATTACACTATAATGTATTCAATAATTCTATCAGCTACTTACTTAATATCTCCGATTTCAGCTTGGATGACCTGCTCCGTGCTGGCATCACATTGGCTGAAAACGTCGTCGTGGTCAACAAAGAATTATCCAATTCTGCAGAAGAAGATAGCCTGGCAGACTGTAATACAATAGTCGCTGTACAAACTATGTTCAAGTAATGGTTTTCACTAATATAATTTTATATGCTGAGCCCTTTGCGAATTATTTCTGAACAATATTTATGTCTGTAATGGCCATTAGCTAAATTGAACTTTTTGCGCTGCGAATTTATTCACTAATTTTGTGTCTCTTTGATAGAAAGTTTGCAATGTTACGCTTTCTTTTTTTCAGATTTTTTCCATCGATAAAGTCGATTACAGAGCTATCACAATCATCAAATATGCGATTTATGCAATTCCGTGCACATGATAAATATGCATTACATCTTTCGAAAATGGAAAAGGTAACACACTAGTGTATTTTTATCGGAACAACGTAACCCTGACGATTCTTGTTTTGGCAAAGTTGAACTTTTGTCCCATTTTGTTACTCACAAAAATGCTTGTATTTTGTGGTTACTATATTCATTGTAGCCAAATTATATTCCTGGTGCAAAATATCTTACAATTTATTGTTAAACATTAGGTAAACTCCAATATAATAAAAAAAGAAACAAAAACACAGCTTTGCTAGAATAAAATCTAAGTCTGGGGGCGCCATCTTTAACCAGACGTCAAATATTGACCATTAATATTATTTTCAGCGAGAAAAGGAGCGTGGTTCACATATTTCTTACATGTTCCGGCTGCCGTTTGCCGCTGGCTCCGTGTTCTCGGCATCAATGCTAGACACATTACTATATCAAGCATTCGTAAAGGATTATGTGATTACTTTTGTGCGATTATTATTGGGAGTTGATCAGGCTCCGGGATCAGGATTTCTCACTTCAGTAAGTCTTTAATAACTCTTTAGTACATTGATATATGGCTGTGCTCCATATACCTACAGGCTTGCGAATTTCTCAGATTTTGATACCCTAACTTCTGTGTAACTTCACTGAAACGGCGAATATTGCGACAAGCACTTTAATTGATACGAATTTATTACTTAAAAAAATGCTCAGGCTTTTATATGTTTAACTTGGACTTCTAACAGATGAAAATCTCAAAAGAAGACATGTGGATACGAACATATGGTCGGTTATATCAAAAATTATGTTCAACTACATGCGAAATTCCGATCGGAATATATCGCACTCAGGATACGACACTAGCCGATGCATCTCACCACGTGAGTATGTCGCCAAGGACCCCATCAAAGTGGTTTTGGTCACGCCTCGCGAGAATGCGACCATCGCGTGCATCGGTGAGTCGGTTAACTCCCTACTCTCAAATATTTATCTCCTTAAATACAGTCCTTTACTGCAGTTTTCGCCTGAACGCTATTAATCCATCACACACCATTTCAAAACTTACAAATATCTAATAATAATAATAGTACATCACAAAGTTGCATCTCAGTAGTCCGACTCTTTGGACTGTATTTCGGGTACATTTTTTAAATCTTATTTTTCTTTTTAACGCGTCAGCGCTACACTTTTTTCCATTATTGTAACCTATCTACATATACATTCTGAGCCTTACACTTGTGGAGTGTCTGTAATTAGTAGCAATTTTTATGACTTGTACCTTTCACGCGATACTTGTACTGTCTAATGGACTACACGTGCTTCAACTTATGATTTATTCGCAAACTGCTGCCGGATGGGTTAGGTTGTCTAAGTTTGGCTTATTGCGGACACGATATAATGAAATGCATCATGTGTCAAGTGACAAGATACCTCAAGGGTACTAGCTGACCAGAACAATATATCACTGTGGAACTCGATGATCGCAATCCCGCCTATATGTTATACTTGTAGTTTGTGTTTGCATGATACTATAGAATTCTAGAAGTTGCGACAAAGATAAGTAATACAACATAGTTTTACTAGACTGGTACAAATTAAATATAGCTAATATTGGTGTAACTTTATTCAATAGTACATATTCTAAGCAACTAATTGATCGCTGCATGTCCTCACTAACAGTACCAGTAATTAGGCTCTAATCCATAATTATCTTCCCAAAGCAGTGATGATGAAGGAAACACTAGCGCAATTGCTTAGCTTAATGCATGCTTCTAGTATAAAGAAGTAGATCCCATAATATAGGCAACTCATGTCTCATTACTTCAAAATACTAGGTAGGACAGTAAAAAGCGCATTCTCAATGTAAATTATCAATATTTGGTTTGTGTACCTATTTGTAACAAAAAACATAAAAGAGCTAATCAAAATTATTTAAAAAAGTTGTTGTGGATTGGAAAAATGACCGATGTGTTGTTAAGGTAGAAAAAGTATTGGAAAACAGTGACACGATAGTTGCAGCAGGAGGAGGGCGAGGGCGGAGGATTTTCTGCTTGCGGGCGCCGGGAGGCGGCAAGCTGCCTCAGTGGCTGCTACGGAGAACGCACGCCGGCGGTAAGGTCAATACCAGAGACCTTTCACATGGACCTTTTCAATGAATATCCTAACTAGCAAGTTGAGCCGGCATCATTATACAATACAACAAAAGATTTAGCAACGGCTCTATGTATATCGTAAATAAGTAATAATTTAAATAAATTAAATCCAGTAATATACGTTATAACATCAATGAAGGTATAACTGCAAGAAATGTTAAATCATTTCATTTCTTTTACTTTAAAATATATAAATTTATATTTAGAAAACTATGCATAGAAGTTAAGATGTAACGGTTTTCAATCGTTTTAGAACTGCATATGTTACATTGAATGAGGTAATTAATATATACCGCAGTGTTACATGGACTATACCCTCACTCATATTATTTAATTCCTTTTTAAGGACGTGAAACAAATTATATTTACGAAACTAATACTTTCAGTATTGGTAGGACTCGAGTCATCTTGGGTGATCAAGAGTTTATCAAATCTAAATTCTATGTGAAAGGACTCTGTTCATAATTGGTTTATTGATATTAAATTCTATAAAGAATCGTAATACTTCAAGGGACGCGGATTTGGTCCAAATGACGTCATTAATCATCAGTTGGGACATTGCTTTATTAAAATCGTAATAATATTATTTGAAAATAATTTACCTGCCATAAAATGTGTATATTATATTAATATAAAGTGAAATTATGTGACAATAAGAATCCACAATATTACAATATTTCTAACTAAAATATCTTGATATTGGGATCACTCAAAGACATTAAAATTATATTCTCTTTGTGCCGATTTATTTTAAATTTTGGTAAGTGTGACAAAATTTAATTATCTAATAAATAAAGCAGGTCTCTTCATTCGACGTCATTTGGACCAAAGTCTAAATTAAAATGTCCGACCTTTCCCAACGCGCTTCTTTTAGGTCGACCTATAACGAAATTTGTAACAAAAACTAAAAATCTGAATTGGGTAGGTACACTCAATACCAACTAGCTTGGTCAACACTTTAATTAACTGCCTAGTCTGTTTAAATAATAAAATTGTACTGGGAATTTGATTAGGCTTATTAATTACGGCGTTTTGATATCTGTGTCGGATCGCAGTTATAACGTAACCTCACTTATCTACCATTTTGGTCAAGCAGAATAATTTGTAAATGACCTGTAACTTGGCTAAAAGAGTCTGTCACTATCGCTCGCCCCACCCCAAAAATAACCTACCATTGTGGTAGTCATGACAATTTGTTCACATTATCTATACTAATATTATAAAGAGGTAAAATTTGTAAGTTTGTATGTAGGTGGTCCGTTGGTCGAATTTCCAAAATTCTTTCACTGATAGATAGCTACAATGTTCCTGAGTGCTACAGGCTATAAAACATCACGCTACGATTAAATGGAGCTGAGTAGCGGGTGATACCGCGCCAGAGTAGATAGTAACTAATATTTCGGTTGAGAAATTCATCCATTCCATCAAAAGGATAGTCATTCGGGCCGTTAAAAGACTTACTTTCAATATACGTGGATTACCATGAACGCTAACCTAGCTAACTAAAACAACGAAAACATTTTTGGAACTTGCCTTTAATTTTTAGGGCTTAAATTTTTTTAAACACATTCTCATAAATATATTTTTCTTAGTAGATCCAACCTTTCAGGGTCATTATGTAGGTATACTTTAGGTTATTTAAGTATGAGTATTGAGTTAAATCTTCCGTATAAAAAACATTGCTAAATAATCAAATAGCTCTGTCAAAGCATGCTAAGTAATAAAGTTTCACCGTCATAGATAGTATAGACTTTTAGTTAAATCATCTAGGTACCATGACCCGCATAGCCAAACCGCTTGCATTTATAAAAATAATTATTATTTATACATTTAATTTCGCTAAACTGCTAACTAGTTTAAATACAAATAGTCTAAGAAGTACTATCTTCTGCAATTTGCAAAGTCACTCATTACAGTTTATCTTCATATTCATATCAGTAATTAAACATGTCAAATAAAAGGGAGCGAGTGAAATTTTTCAAACATTAAATCCTAATTATTGTAATATAGGTAGACATAATAATCTTTCGAGTCATCACCTGATATCAATAGCAATATGATGATGATGCTTATAATATTTATTTATAGTTACAAACAAATAAAAGAAAAGTAATGTATTTTTCATAACTAAAAAGAATTTTTTTTATAAAAATAAGAATAATAATGACGAAATTTCTTTGTTGATATTAATAAAATAGTACATACTTAGGTCATAATGATAAATGAAAATCAAAAATGATGTTCCAGTACGTTAGTAAATTCTTAAGAGAATAGCATCCATAATTAACCAAACCAATAAACCAAACCGAATTTGTTTATGTCTAGATTCTCTAGTGACTAGTGTATTAATTGATTATTGAATCATAATAGATAGTGCATCAAAATTAGTGCTTGCTACTTTTACGTGATTTTAATATATATGTGTTATTGTAATGGGCAGACTCAACCACAGAACAATAATAACATTTCATTTTAAAAAGTTTTTGGCTAACACCATAGAGATTAAATCAAAATCGCGAAAAAGTTTTTGTCAAAAATTTAAAATAATAAGCATCTTCAATAACATTAAAATTGGATGCCCTTAGCTTAAGGTGCCTTTAAAATTCTATTTTATAGTTTTTATTATATCTCCAAAAGTCTAAAAAGGCTTTTAAATAGTTTGGGATTCTTACCTGTGTAAAATCAGCTCACTCCGGGGCCCTAACGCCTGTAACGGCACATCCCTAGAGATACTTGTCTCTCATGTGCCTCTGTCGGCACGTCTTGACTATCTTTCTAAGGATAACTTAGCGCCTACTAAAGAATCTACTTCATGTTCCCGTATCCTCAAGGCTTAAGATTTCTTCTTGCTTTAGTGTTCTAGAGCATAAAGTGTTTTCGACACTTTGTATATACAACTTGATGTTTTTCCGAGTTGTACAACGTAAGATAATGTAATAAATGGTTCCCCATTTTAGAATTCTTGTTGAATGCGTCAATTTAGAGTAAGTTAGTGGCATTCGCTCTAAACTAGCTTAGTACAATCAGTTAAAATAAGGTGACGAATTTACATAAAATATTTGGTTCGCCTCAAAATGACATTGCTCATACATTCTCCGTGTGAAAAGATAAACTTTCTCAACAGAAGGCTAGTTATGGGCGGATAAAGGAATAATAAAAATAATTGCCTTCCCTTTGGCTATTTACACATACGAGTCTGCGTATACACATAGGTATTGGTGGATCTAAATAGTTTATCATTAAAAGAAAAACAATTAAACATAATATGCCTTGCTCCAAACAGTTGGAGTACCAACTTATTATGCATCAATCAAATCGATTTCAAACGTATTCTTTTCACTGTACTCGAAATATAATTTCACCCATAGAGCGTGCAAAACAAAAGCAGTCATGCATGTTTGTCTTAATGCACAGGCACCAACAATAATGTGTATGTTATTGTATATAAACCAAATGACATTCTCCATTAACATAGAATGTGTGAGTTTCCCACTGAAACCATATAATATTATTGTTGATGACAATTTATTGAGAAAACACAAAAAAAGAATTAATGAACCCGGTATAATTATGTTTTGCTTTCACAGTATTCTACAAGCCTAGCGGACGAAGCGCGAGACAATCATGCACAACAAATTGAACGGGCTGAAATAGCCAATCTAGTAAGATCTAGAATGGAATCATTGAACTTAACAGGTATCGACTATGATGACGTTAGCGAAAAAAGGAACAGTCTATCCTACGTTATCATAAACCCTAGCTGTGATCTCAACTTGCAGGAAGGCGACATCATGTACGTAAACACATATTTGAAACACACGTTTTTTACAAATCATATTTATAATAAAGATGTTTCTTTTCTTTCAGATACTTAGTCCGCCCGTCGCCGTTCTCTGCACAAAAAACGTTTGAGCGCCACAATAGCCGCCGCAAATCAAACATAAGTTTTTGTTCACAAGCATTAATTCAAGCTCAAGGAGTTTCGAGCAGAAGAGGATCCACCATCGGAGCAAGTTTTGTGCCGCCACGAGCGCCTCCGCTTTCAACTACTAAAGCTAATTCATTATCCCTACCCGACAGCCCCACCATAATCACAGATTTTCGAGGTAGATCTAACTCACTTCGGGTCGTGGACGATATACTATTAAGAAGATCTAATTCTCTACGGCAAGGGTTGAGTGGTGTTGGTTCTCGCCGCCGCAAGAGTAGTCTCGAAGAAATTGGCATATCTCATTTCAATTCATTATTGCAACACCAACAGCAGCAGCAGCAACAGAACGCCTTCAAAATAGCTTTAAACGGCAGTATTGGTCTAGAAGTGACGCCACCGGAAGAACACCCGCTAGAGCGCTTGCCTGGCCCCAGTATACCACTCGGTGGGTACCAAGAGGTGGCAGCTGCTTTGCCGTCTTCGTCTCTGGGTCCCTCGCTCCCAAGTATCACTCCAACCCCAGATCCCCAACATTTGCAAGGGACTATTGTATGATACCACCTCATGTGGGGACGACGACTGAGTTCCGTAATTAGAAACAAGTGGACGTAGATATATTAGCCCGGTAAAAATGGTATTTCTCCTGTAGTTGATACCGGCTTAGTAATAAAGTTCACTGTGCGGGACTAAACTCATTTCGTAGCGTCCCTACCTTCTAAATAATTATCACTTACGTACAAGTTTAAGTACAGACTTAGTGATCTAGACTGGTGGTGAAAGAGCTGTGTAATTTAAGCGGGATCAATTAGTTACTAGGTAATGGGGATTTATAAAGTCAGCACGTCGCTGCCGGTGTATATCAGAAGTTGTAGTGTTTTATTTGAAATTGTAAATTAAACGTAAAATTTACAAAATGTTAATTATTGTAAATATATTTACATAGATATCGATTAAACTTAAATAATAAATATAATCACTTAGGGTTCATTTTTCTAGAGTTACTGACCAAATAAAAAATAATGGATCTGAAAATGGATTCCATCTATTAATTATGCAGATTAGATTTATCTAACTAGATTACAAATATCACCCTAAACAGAATCAGATAATAAAGAAATTACATGTATTCACATGGAATGCTGTTTTTATTTATCTCCACCATAGTATAATTAATATCAATTACAAGCTTTGACTGCACGGTTGGCACAGCGACTGGACAACTAACTGCTGTGCGACATGTCGCGGGTTCAATTCCCGCACGAAACAACACTGTGTGATCTACTACACAGTAAGGAGCTACTGCCATGTTTAATTACTCGCGACCTGCGGTCTACAAAAAGATGGGTGAATGTGAATGATTTAAGTACAACAGATACAGTACAACGGATTTCCACGAAAAAAACAATAAACTAACTATAGGTATTCATGTCTACCACATGACTGCACGAATGGCGCGGTGGCTGGGCAATCAGCTGCCACGCGACGTTGCGAAGGTTCGATTCCCGCGCACAACTATTTAGTGGGTTACGCTAATTCTGGGTATCAATGTTGTGTGTATGTGAATTTGTACGTTTGTAAACGCACTCACTACGCAGGAAAAAAAAAACATTTCTCGACAGTAACGCTTGCGACCACATGACCCACGAAGAAGCAACCTTCTTATCAAAAATCTTACAGTGTAAAGTTGCCACTTGGTGTTGCCACTATTTATATAATCTTCGGCACCTTTATGTAACGCCCGCTATACTCCAGTTATTTTACAAATCACATCATAATAGGCGATTTTACCTTAATATTACCGTACCTTGTCTTCTTAGAAAAAAGTTAAGAATAAGAAAATATTTTGATGAATACATAGTTAAAGGACATCATCATCATCAGCCTGTTGTCGTCCACTGCTGGACATAGGCCTCCCCAATTGCACGCCACTGAGCTCGATGTTCAGCTCTTCTCATCCAACCACTGCCAGCCACCCTGCGGATGTCGTCAGTCCACCTAGCTGGAGGGCGCCCTACACTACGTTTGCCTAGACGTGGTCTCCACTCTAGAACACGTTTACTCCAGCGGTCATCGGTTCTTCGACAGATGTGACCTGCCCACTGCCACGTCAGTTTGCTAATCCTTTGGCCTATGTCGATAACTTTAGTTCTCTGTCGGATCACCTCCATCCAGTTAAATGACACTATTGAATAATTCTATAACATTTCAACACGTTCCCTTCTACCAACGATTCAGTCTTAGTAAAAATGATGAATGAAAACGGTGAATTGGCCTAGTTTGATTACTGATTCGTAAATTCTTCAGGTACCAAACTACTAAAGAATCTATAACTAATATGTACGTGTTGAATGTGTTTTCAAAACAATTTCCTACGGACGGAATTTGTTGCCATCATAACAATTTTGGTTAGATCAAGCTAAAATTTCATTATTGAAACAGATTTAGGATTGGTATCATCTAACTAAACCGAAAATGGATTTTTCGTTTACCAAGAAGAACAAAGTGAAAATAATGTTCATTTACGTAACGTTCATAAATATACCAATAACACAAGTAAGTATTTTTACGACAGTAATATTACAGACCTTCTTTTTCGAATCTTTTTCGATTCTCCTTTTTGTATATTATTCCTATATGTCATCAGCTTTTGGTTAATAAAATAATACGTTTTTAAACTTTGACACCCTTGTTATCAGTTTCAATTTGCACGAATTTCACCTGTTTGTTCCGAAGTCTTTTTTAGGAACCTGTGTGTCTGATCTTGCAGACAGAGGGGAGATTGTTAGATATTATATTATGTAGGTATGAGACTAAGGTTTTATATTCGGAATGATTCTTCGGCTACTCATCTACTAACAATTATTCGGCTAGTTGGCAAGACAAATAAAAATTTCTAATTCTTTTTTCCGACAGGCGCTTCGTTAATTTCACCACTTATAACCAACATAACAATAAACCGATATTGTTCGCGAGCAATCAGCAAAACAACATTAAATTTCCAAGCAACTCTTCTGATTCATGCGAGAGCAAACTGTATAGGTAATGTGGTAGCTCAGAGGTTAAGGCACCCTTGGCTTCTTGTGCATGAGGGTGCGGTGTCGAAACCTGTCAACCGCCAATGTGACTTTTTCCGAGTTATATGTACTTTCTGTGATTATTTCGACACCACCGATGTACGGCGAAGGAAAACGTCATGAAAAAACTTGGGCTTATAATTTCTAATTACATTTTGAAATCGCCAATCCACCTTGAGCAAGCGTGGTGATTAATGTTCAAAGTTTCTTCGTGTAAGAAAAGGCTTTTTCTCAGCAGTGAGCAGTTATAGGCTGTTGGTAATGAGGATGTACTATAAACTGTATACTAAGATAACTATTTTGTGTGGCCCTTCTAGTGTTCCAATTATAGCACGCATTGTCGCAACCTGGAGACTGTCCAATATTGTGTAATTTTTAAGTTAAATTACTTAAATAATTACAGGCTGTTGCTTTTGTCTAGACTTAGACGATGGTAGCACAGTAATACCTTGATCACACGTACCGAGCAAACCAGCGAGGCAGCGATAAACATGTTTGCACTGTTGCACTGTCTCGTCGGTTTGGTCGGTACGTGTGATCAAGGCATAAGCGTCAAACATATGTAAAAATAGGTGCATTAGGAAAACAACAAAATGTCGGTATAAACAAGGTTAAGGAACGAGGTGGTAAGTCAGTAAGAGTCTGACACTTCCTCTCGCCTTAACCCTTGGCCAAAAGAAAGTAAGACGTTGGTGATTTCCCTCTCAAACAAAGTGTCAGAGTCTATTTGAGTACTTACAACATAAATTACGCGGGTATTAACGCGGAAAATAATTATTTCAAAACCTTGGTAGGCTTGACGTTTTGACCTGGTTGTACAGATCGTGGTAAATAGGTACCCGCGTAATTTATGTTGAAAATATGAAACGCGAAAGTTTAAAAGTTAGTATCTATTTGAGTATGTCAAAAGAATACATTAGGCCATTAACCAACCATTACCGATAAACCAACCTTCAAAGAAGTTTCCAGTTCCATTTTTTTTGTATGTCGTAGGCCGGCAAACGAACCGACGGATTACGTGATGGTAAGCAATCAGCGCCGCCTATGGACACTCGTAGTACCAAAGGAGTTACCAGAAGTGCGTAACCGAGCTCTTGTAGGTTATTAACGATTTAAGGATAGAAGGAAGCAAAGCAGTGGGGATAAAGGATGGGTGGGAGGAATTGGGCCCCCGGTAACCTCACTTACACGGCGGAAGACAACGTAAGTTTTGCTTCACGCCGATTTCCTGTACCTAAAGCCGTGGTATCTCTCCGTTCAAGCTGACCCATTCGTACCGAAGCATGGCTTTTCCACGCTTGAACTTATTTAGACGCTCGAAGAAGCGTTACTGTAATGATGGCTTTATGTCCGTTAAATTAATGCCATTCCTTTTAACTCACGCCGGAAATTGTTTGTACCATTTGAGGAGATCAGGTTTGTGTAATTTGTATATTCCAATCGGATGAAAGTACTGAATTTTTCAGTTATTTTTATTAGTTTAATCATAAAGGCAAATTTTTCACAAGATGTGGTCAAATTCGTCAGATCAAATGCCTTTAATCTAATTTTTGGTTTAATACCTTAGACCCCAATTCCGATCGATCGCCAATTTTACAAGTTTGTTATGAATAAGTTACAAATCATTGCAAATGATTAAACCTTTACTAATGTATTATTTTAGTGCACAATTCCTGGCACGTTCTTTTGGAAGCCGAGGTTGGGGCTCGACTTGGCTATCCCTACAACTGGTAAGATAATAATTAATCAAAACTAATATTATAAATGCGAAAGTAACTCTGTCTGTCTTTTCTTCACGCCTAAGCTACTGAGCCTATTGGTGTGTAATTTGGTACAGACATCGTTTGGAACTCGAGAAAGGACATATAGGATAGTTTTAAACCAAAAATCTGCAGGAAGTCACTATTCCACTCGAACAAAGTCGCGGACAAAAGCTAGTTACTAATATATAAACAAATTTGCTGTTGTACACAGCATCAACTAGTATCAGTACGCAATCAGCGCCACCCATAGACAAGTGTGTTGCCGGCCTCTTATGGGTTATTGGAGATTAAAAGAAAATCTCAATTATTTTTTAATCAGATTGCAAAAAGGTTCTTATCTACATATTTTTGCGACGAGCATTTGGCTACTCTTTCCAGCATTATTGCTATAAAAATAATAAATTATAAATTTTATCATAATTCTATACTATTTGTATTATTTATTCGTGTGTAATGTTTTGTGTAAACATTTATGTTTTTAAGGAATTTTGATGAACTAGTTAAATAAGTATTTTTTATCCTTTTCAGAAAGCGAAATGCCAGTTAATGTGCCAAATAAAGAAAATGTAGAAAAAGGTCTTGTAACGCTAGTTGACGGGTACCAAGCTGGGCTTTCTGTTATAAGTGTAGCCGCTGGTGCATCTAGTGCGAGTTCAGATTCACAAATGGATATGTCGTCTTCTTATTTCCATACAAATGTATACAGATGGGCGCTAAGATACATCAGTTTGTAAGTAAATACTAATATCAAATACGTACCATGAAGACATATTATACAAGACAATTGTTCGGCATATGGTTTTACAATAACATTATGCCCTTTAGAATTTAAAATGAAAGAGTATCTACTGATAAAGTTTATTACCTATATGAAGTTTCTAAACGCAAGATGCATTTTTGCAAAACCTGATACACTTTTTTATGTATAAATATATTTAATCATGCAAAAAGTTTGCCCTCCTGGCGTCTTTTTTAACTCATAAAATCCTGTCCTCCTGTTCTTAACTTGGTTCGCTAAAAATAAATATATTTAGAGAGCGCAGTAAATAAAAATATAATCGCGACTGTACAACCCATTGTTCCAGATTCAGATGTAGATTCCTCATAATAGACAGCGTTGAACGAGTATTATGGTGGCAACTATGCAAATCGTGAAATCTTTTATCTACTTTCTAAGAATTTGATACAAACAAATCAAAATTGTTTACACCACCAACTACTATTTTCACTTTTTTTCCCATGCGTGCTCTGTGGCGAATTTCAGAAGAGAATTAGACGATTCTCAAATAACTTGGCTACATCATAACATATTTGTTTCTTTTCACTCCAGTGATTTTTACAATTATAGAGTCAGGATGTTTAAAATAATAATTTTCTTTCCTATTTTTTTCTCAGAATTCCTTTTTGGCTTGGGGGCAACGAGGAAAACTTCGTTAAGACTCACCAAGTTTGGCATCGGCGATTTCACTTTATGGACGAATTTATCCCTACTTGGTTAAAAGCCTTTTTGTTCTACGTTAAACCAGAAGATTGGAAACAAGAAGAGATTGATTACAAAAGATTCAAAAAATACGCAGAACCTGCTTTCGGAAAACATTATCGATTTCCATCAAAAACTTTTAGAGACTTCAAATCACAATACACCGTTGAAACTGTCGACCAAGGTGTTTCTAGGTCGGCCTCGGTGTAATGTTTCTATTCTCTCTGTAAACGAATTTCATAAGAGTTAAAATAAATTTTAACTATTTTTAAAACCACTTAAAAATATACCTTACAACCACAAACGATGTTTTTATAAGACGTCTTATAGTTTAAGGGACATAAAATTTTACGAAGTGGTTTTTCACCCTTATTTGAATTATTTAAATGTAATTTTTATGCCATTTGTGTTTTTTATTATAGGTTTTTTTTAATAAAAAAAACTTTGCTCCCTTTGCTTATTATTATTGCTTTCGTCTGAAGTTCTAGGATTAGTATTTTATTTCGCTTTCATGTGGGGTGAACTTCATAAATTGATATCTGCTTTACCATCACATCCACACCAGTCTGCAGTTACATCAGCGACGTTGCTTAATTTGTAAGACCCCGTTGTTGCAATAAACAACGGATAGAATTTGTATATTCATATCATTTTATAAAAAAAAGTTACTGCATAAATTGTGTATTTGCAGGACCACCTGTGCGTTTACACATAATTTAGAGTGCTATAAAAATAGCTTACTTAATCCAGATCTACGTCTCGTTTGAATTTCAAATTAAATTTCAAATTTCGAATTTTGCCCAGCTACATCGTGTCAATCTTGATAGCGTTGTGATCATCGTTAATGTAACGAATCGGGTTTATTATTCGCTGTACCTTCTATGGGACGAAAATACTGATATGACCAACAAACATTATTCACATTCGAATAGAAAGCATCAAAACTAATGAATTTGTCTTGGTGAACAGACGGATAATTTTTAATTACAAAGCCATCGCATTCATTGTTTTTTCGTAAAACGTATCTTCCAAAAAGTGTGGTCGTGTTCAAAAATGAATTATTATGTTTGTTACATATTGACATTACAATACGTATATTTGGTAAAGAATATTATTCACAAACAAATCAAAAACATGAACTTGTGTTTTAAAACTAGTAACAATGATTTTATAAGTTTCTAAATTTTATTATAGATCAGTGTTCTCATTGGTGAAAATAGCATCCCTAGTGATGCGATACGAAGAGTGAGTTTTATGGATTTAATATTATATTTTAATACGTAATCTGAGGCTTCAATTCCACTTCAGTAGTGTTTTTTTCGAGTGATGATAATCATTGATTTACTTCTCTGGGCGGGGCGAAAGGGACAAACTCTTGCTGACTAATCCACCCCGTTCTTCAATGCGCTTGTAGCCGCAACCTGGGCTACAAGCGTAAGCGTAACGTAAAGAGACTTCTTTGACGCACACGCAGAATGCAACGTGCCCCACTTATGAGTCTCAGTCGAGTGGCGAGCTACCCTTTGCGCAGACGAGCGCTCACGATTGCCGGAGATTGTCGCGCCCCTAACGCCTGGATTGTCTCCTGTGGCAAATGGGGCGTGAGGACGATAGTTATAATTAGGGTATCGTGCCATTAGAGCACCAGAGATGGGTTCCAATAGGGCCAACGTTTAGATGAGGATGCAAGCGCATTAATATAAACCAGCTCCAATCCGGAACAGGAAAAGGAACGGAATAGTTTTTACTTAGCAAGAATCTGACACTTCTTATTGCTCCACTTAAGACGGCATAGACAATATCGTGATTTCCCCCTCAAAAAAATGAGTTACCTACTTATGTACTTGTCCGTTAACAGAGTGGCAAGCGCGACTGGCGAGCCAGGGACCTTGGGGTCGTTACTGGATTATGACAAATTAAGTGCTATTCAACTTTTTCTTGTTTAACATACTAGCAAGAAGTTCTTAAGTTTAAATTGCATTGCTGCCTCCAATCTCTAGTAGAACTTTCAGAATTGTCTTTCTCAACCAATAAAACAAACTTAATACACGAATAACTTATATGTTTCAGCAAGGAAGCGCTAACTGTACGGCAAAGGTACTTAGTATTTTCAAATGTTTCATTAAAATTATTTGAAAGTGAGTGCTAGATCATTAAATCTATTTATATTTGTTCAAGTGCAAAGGAACAAACTGTCACGCAAATGTAAGTCCTAAGATCCTTGCTATAAGAGTAGTATTGTAAACCTTAAAGTGTTATTGACGTAACTTAATAAGAAAAATCCTTAATAGTACCTATAGAAACTGAGAGGCAGATTAAATGTGTACTGTGTTTGATTTCGTCATCATCATTAGCCTGATTCCGTCCACTGCTGGACATATGCCTCCCCAGTTGCTCCTAGTTTCCAACTAGTCAAATTCAATACTTTTATCCAAATGTCAAAAACGATACTTTTCTATGAAATTTGTATGAAAAACTGAGTTATGACGTCATTTTTGCGTCAAATAGCTTACTTATTTCTTAATAATTAGCTAAAAAATATCTAAAACTTAGTGTATCGATCGATCTATGAATAAAACTACCTTATTTTTATTTTTCTATATTTAATTGTATTGAAACGTTAAATTAATTTATTTTTGACCTAAGAAACTGCCCAATTGCTTGATGTACTATCGCATTAAAATCCCTTGTATGAATAAATTAAATGTAAATATCAGAATGACTTAGATTTGTTTCATTAACTAGTTGATGTTAAAACTTGTTGTTATATAATATCTTCATTTATTATGATTTCGTTGCGCACGGCGCTTCGTTTCTTCGTACATTGCAGCAGCGGGCCTCGTCATCGACCGCACACACTCTAACATTACGAGCAATGTATATCAAGCACACTATACGCCATCTTAGTTAGCAAGGTCTTGTGAGTTCTCGCCCTATTATAAGTAAAAAGCTGATTTTAAAACCAACATCGTATTTTTTCTAGTGTTCGGGTATGATGGCGTCGGCTGCGGTAAGAAACACTTAAGTATTGATACCTACTTCTACGATACATCATCATGGGACATAACGTCATAAATAGTCCCAAAAACCTGTTAATTTTTTTTTATGTAAATTAATGTAATTGGGAGCGTAATTTCTCCAATGTATAGTTTTGAAATAACGATGCATTTATAGTTAAATATTAAATTAAAAAATCGGCTCACAATTAAATATCTGAAAGGGTAAGAAGTAAGTATTTAAACAATCCATGTATTTTATCAAACAAGTTTAAACGGACTGGGAATGCGCTCAAGGAGGCCGAGTGTGTGTGGGAGCTTCACGCCCCCGGCCGCCGCAGTACGACGGAGACGCTCCAAAAATGACTCCGTAATAAATTCATTGTCTTTTAAGTCTCTATTTCTGAGAAATTTCACACAACTGCACTGCTTACGCGTTTCAGGCCGTTGGCTTCAATGCTACTTCAATTGTAAGTACAAATCACGTCATCATCATAACCCTATCTACCTATGTATAAGTGTTCACTACTGAGCAAAGACGTCTTCTGACATGGAGAAGGCTTGAGCATTAATCACCAAGCTTGCCCACGATGGATTGGCGATTTCAAACTTATAGTTAGAAATTATAGGTCCAGATTTCCTCACGATGTTTCCTTCACTGTCTGTCAGTGGTACCTAAATACAATTTGGTACTTGCCAGGTTTCGAACCCACACCCTTATGCATAAGAAGCCGACGACTTAATCTCTAGGTATTCACTATTGTGTTAAACACCTTTTAAATCAAAATTACATAACAATGACAAACCTTACAAAACTTGAATCATTCCGATCCGAAAAAAAGCAATTTGTCCTTTTTAGTTTATTTCGTTCTTCTGAGAAGCTAAAGCACGCAGCATCACTCGCGCCCAGCCTTAGTTGTGGCCATGGTGCGGAACAAGAGGAACAGGGAAGCCGACTCCTCCTTAAGCACCAGCCGCCGAGCAGATGCTCCCGGCGTCAGGGTTCCGTAGATTTTAACCCAATCAGAACCAGAGCCAAATGAGTGGCACATAGCGTTTCGAGCGTGCCTCTTAGAGCTATCACTTCAGACTACCACAGGGGCCCTGTAGGGCAGCTGTCCAGCCAGGGTTGCGGGTGAAAGCACAGTAAATAACCGCGGCGAGCGACGGTCCGAACCAATAAAATTTTACAATTCCCTATCAAATCAAACCGCGGAATACCTAGCATGTGCCGCCATGGTTTCGGGCACCATAGTGCTGGCGACACTGATTTAAAGAAGTCAGCATTTAACCGGGGCAGTCTTGAAAAATACATAGGTAACAGAAGACTCGATTTAACCACATAGACAGAAAAGAGAATTTCAGGGTAGGCTTTTTCAGCCAGCGAACTTCTATCATCCTTCACTTCTACCACTGCTGAGGTCTGCCAGGATGCTGGTGTACACCAGAGAAAGATAGACACTCGCAACCGTCAGAGGGAGGTACATAAGACATTTTCGAGGGATCTGAACGTATAAAAGTCTGTGGGGGTAACGAAATTGTAGCGGTGTTACAAAAAAATGTGCTCCTGATCTGACTCCGATCCTGATACTGTTATTTCGCCTCTTCTTTGAGGGTGGTAAAGTGCCAAAACACCTTAAAATCACATAGGAACTGGGTTTCATAAAGTTTGATTGCTAATTTAGTTTTGGCACTCAGTGTATACGTTAAATACGGTAATCTGTCTGACAGCATACCTCGAGTTAAACAGAATATTAAGTAGACTAAGCAATTAAAATAAAAAGAGGAGTTCGGCATGATGGACACCTAGTCTCGCCGAAAGTATTCATAGCGGTCTTTACGATACGTAATGGGACCTTTACCTTTTTTTTTGTTTTATCGCCCTCGGGGAAGGGCGAAGGGTACTGTCAGACTCTTACTGACTAAAAACCAACCCGGTGTTCCTCCACTTACCCATGTGTCGGAGGGGCGGGTATCGCCGAAGCATTCGTCGCAACCCTCCGACGGGTATTGGCCCGCCAGATGGTAAGGCGGGCCCCGTCACCCACTGCGGCCGTCACCCCGACCGCAGGACTCCACTGTGAGGCGCGCGCGGAACACGGCGCCGCCGCCTCGAGGCCTGCTGCTGGTCGGACGACAAGATGCCCCGAGTCTGTCGTCCACAGGCCGCGCCCTACGGTGGCCGCAGATCGGCCACCCTACGACGTCTAGTGCGTCTGCTGCGGGAGGGGAGAGAGGAGGCAGCCTCTCTCTCCCTTTCCGCCGCCTCCTTTGCGAGCATCACGGCCTCGCAGAAGGTAACGACGGTACTCCACCCTGACTCGCTCCCGACCATAATAGACACTACAGCCGGAAGCGAGAGATTACCCGCAGCACCTACGGCCGCGACCAGGTCACGGCGCTGCTCGGCCCAAGCTGGGCATTCCGCCAACGTATGCAGCGCCGTATCGTCGCGGCAATCACCACAATGGTGGCACTGAGACGTCGGCTCCCGACCTATGCGACACAGGTACTTCCCGAAACACCCGTGTCCGGTAAGCACCTGCGTCAGCCGGAAGCTGAGGGCGCCGTGGCTCCTATTGAGCCACTCCTCTAGAACGGGCCTTACCGCCTCTATAGCGGCGTGCCCTGCCGTGGGTTGCGCTAAACGCGTCTGCCACTCCGCCATTAAGGCCTGGCGGAGTTCTGCCCTGCGTGCCTCAACCTGTCGAGGCACCAGGCGCTCACCCCGCTTGACTGCCTCCGCGCGCCACCAATAGAGCGACGCGAGGAGTTTTGCGTCGAGGTCCCAGGGCGGAGATCCGGCTAGGAGGCTCGCTGCCTCAAAGGATATCGTACGGTATCCCCTTATTATCCTGACGGCCATCGCGCGCTGTGGCCTTCGCAGTGCGGCGATGTTGCGGGCCGTCAGGGCGTCCGCCCATACTGGCGCAGCGTATAACGCCATCGACCGTACGACCCCCATGTAGAGCCTCCGACAGGAGGAGATCGGCCCCCCCTGGTTGGGAAGCAAGCGCGACAGCGCAGCAGCGGCGCCCATCAACCGGGGGGCGAGCCGTGTAAAGTGCGGCCCGAAATTCCACCGACTGTCGAGAACGAGTCCGAGGTACTTCATCGTGGACTCAACAGCGATGGAAACCCCTCCTACTATAATGCTGGATCCTTGAGGCGGCCTCATCCTCGGCCCATGAAAACACAGGGCCTCCGATTTGTGCAATGCCACCTCTAAGCCCAGCCGCCGGATCCTACCCACGACGTGCGCGACACCAGCCGTCGCGCGTATGGCCGCCTGCCGGTACGACTTTCCACGCGCTGTAACTAGCGTATCGTCGGCGTAACAAATGACGCCGACGCCGTGGAGTAGCGCACCGCGCAGAGCCCAGTCGTAGCCAACGTTCCACAAGAGCGGACCCAACACCGACCCCTGCGGAACGCCGCACGACGTCTCTCGCCGACCCCATCCTTCTCGACCCGGGTACACCACCGACCTGTCCGATAAATAGGCCCCGACAATGCGTTGGAGGTAGCGCGGCACCCCGTGATACCGGAGCGCTTCTCGGATGGTAGGCCAGGGCAAGGTGTTGAAAGCGTTGGCGATGTCGAGCGACACCGCCAAGACCACCTCGCCCCGGGCGACTGCCTCCTCCGCCAGGACCTTTACGCGCATGATCGCGTCGACCGTGGAGCGCCCCTGGCGGAAACCATATTGGTTGTCCGCCAAATCCGGCCCCACCCTGGTCATGTGCTGGACGAGGCGGCCGGCGATGATTCGCTCGAAGATCTTACACACCTCGTCCAGCAACACGATCGGCCTGTACGCAGACGGGGAGTCTGCGGGGCGCCCCGCCTTCTTGAGCAGGACCAGCTTTCCGGTCTTCCACCGGCTTGGAAACTGGCCCCACTCCAAACATGCGCTTAAGAGCCCCGCTAGTCGGGGCCAGAGAGCTCTCATAGCCAGGACCCATGCACGGCCTGGAATGCCGTCGGGCCCTGGGGCGGTGTTCTTGATGCGAGCCACCGCCACTCTCAACTCTACCCGGGTCACTTCGGGCACGTTTTCGTCAGTCTCGTCTTCCGCGTTGGGCGAACTACGAGGCGGAACCATAGCCGGTGGAGTGTGCTCCGGTCTCGACGGAAACAACGCACACACCACCTCCTCCAGCAGCTGTGGCTGGAGACTCCGGGATAATGGGGGAGCCCATTGGCGCAATTTGCGCCGTACCATGAGGTAGGGGCGTCCCCACGGATCTCGGTCCAGAGTCCTCAACAGCTCTACGTTGGCCTGGGCCTTTGCCCGGACAATGGCCAGCTGGAGGGCGCTTTTCGCCTCTCTGTAGCGGTTGTATAGTTCCGCCTCTTCCTGTTCGGCCGCAGCTGTAAAGGGGCTGCGGCGTCTTCTTCGGTACCTTGCGTACTGGCGCCGCACCCGTACACAAGTGGTGCGTAATTGCGCAATTGAGTGCGACCACCAGTACACTTGGCGCCTGGATGGTAGCGGCCGGACTCGGGGCATGCCAGCGTCGCAGATGTGCGACATGCTCTCCCGGAACCACTCCGCCTCCTCGTCGATGTTGGTTGGCCTGTCTGGAGAGTCCAACCAGGCCTTGACGATAGAGGCCTCCAAGAGAGCCTCCCTGTCCAACCGCTTTAACGCCCAACGCGGACCGTCTCCAACGCCCACCGGGGTCGCATGGATCGGCCCAACCGAGGTCTGAGCAGAGACGCTGAATCGAATATATCGGTGGTCAGACAGCGTCTCTACCTCCTCCAACACGTGCCAGTCCTGGACAGTGCGTGCGAGAGCGGGGCTAGCGAAAGATAAGTCCACTATAGACCCACCTCGCTGCCGCACGCACGTCTGCACGGAACCCCGGTTTAGGAGAAGTAGGCCCTGCTCGACCGCCCACTCCTCCACTAACTCGCCCCGCGCATTCGTACACGGGGAACCCCAAGCCGTAGATTTGGCATTGAAGTCCCCAAGGACTATCACGGGACGAGGATGACTACGACTGACAATCGTGCCCAACTCCAATATCAAATCCTCCATATCGGCGAGAGAAAGACTGGGGGGGAAATACACCCCCGCGACCATGATATTTCCCCAAACTGCCGCAACATAGCCCCGCCCTCGGGTGACGGCCTCGAAGGGAAGGGTGTCGCCGGAAGACCTCAAAATAAGTGCTACCGAGCGGTTTGTGTCGCACACCCAGTCATCCCTGGGTGGCACAAAATACGGCTCGGAGACAACTGCCACATCGATCGACCACTGCGCCACGCTCTGAAGCAAGAGATCCTGAGCCCTGGCGCAGTGGTTTATGTTGGCTTGAAGGAGACGACGTAGGGCCATTATTGGGTTTCCATTGCCGTTGCCTCCTTCCCAGCCCTCGGCGGATATTCTGCCGCAGCTGGCGGGTGAACCGGCTGCGAGGAGCTGGTTGCCTGCTGTGCCATACTAGCTGGCGGATGAGCCAGCGGTCTCCTGGCATTCTTCTTGGGCCTTGCGCAGGCCTTAGACCCAGTGTGATGATTGGCTGGCTTGCCAGATGCCGCACAGATAACGCAGTGCGGCGGGGCATTGCAAGTGCCAGCCTTGTGACCGGGCTGACCGCAGCGGAAACACATTTGGCTGCGGTCTACTCCCGCGGTGCACCGTGCTCCCGCATGTCCTCCTTCTAAGCAGCGGTAGCACCGATAGGGCTTGGGCTCTAGGAGCACGACCTGCGCCGAGACCCACCCAACCAGAAGCCGCTTGTCTGTCATTTTTTTAGCCGCCGCTACGGGACAGCTGACCAGAACCGTCCCGAGACCGGAGACACCCCGGCGTATCGTACCCGCCTTGACTTGCTCCGGCGGGCATCCTCCGGCCTTAGAGATGGCAGCGGCGACCTCCTCCTGTGTGACGGAATCGTCCAGGCCCGATATACGACCTTTACCTTAATCCTCTAATCTTTTGTTACCTTAATCCACAAACTAATCGAGCTACCCATTTAAAAAAGAAAAATGTGTAGGTTAATTTGTATAAACCCCTCATATAATATTTAGATAACTTAATTAATAATATTTTCAGACGGTGGGCGATTTGTCTACAGTTGAGGTAAGCATAAACAATGCCAAATAAGTAATTCGAATAAAAAGAAAACAAGAAATACCTGGAAATGTTGCGAAATGAAAGAGGCGCTACAGACATAAGAAAACACAAACTTCTTTTTCCGGTATAGACGGATTACATGATGGTAAGCAATGAAACTATCGCAAAAAAGGTTTTATTATTCAGACCATAGGTACATTACTAAGTTTAGAATTATTTCTTCTCAGCAGGATTGCGATAAAACGTAATAAGTATAACAATGATCAACAATTTTTATTATGTGACATGAGTGATTTTTACTGCATAAGAGCCTACGGAATACCTGATGGTAAGCAAACAACGTCGCCCGTATCCACCCGCAACAACGGAACAGATACGAGTGCGTTGTCAACCTTTTGAGGATTAGGGTTTTGGACATTCAGGGATTGGGGGAGGCGAAGGATTGCCCTGAATACTACAAATTTTTGTCCTTTTTTACAGTGCTATGGACCATTCTGCGCAGCCGCTGTATGTAATTTCATTGTGTTTTCATTTCATGTCATTTTAGCCTTATTTAAAATATCTGGGCTTAGCTAAATAGTACAAAACTTTCTCAATATTAAATTGATTGTTTTAGGTATAAAATAGAAAATGGTTTCATGTGGATTGTGAGATGTCTATCTCAATGTCTGATTTTATCGATGCATACAATTATGCTATTTAACCAAACTATAAAGAAATTTTCACTAATACTAACGAAAATTATTTATAGTGCGACGGTGTGGTCAACGTTTGCATGTCAAAAGTAAGTTATAATCATTATGAATGAGTAATCCATTAGTTTTTTTTTTATAAATCGTATCAATAATAGCTCAAATATTTTTAGTGCATCGGACGTAGTTGTGAAGCTCTCGTAAGTAAAAACTTACTCTCAGATTTGAGACTCTAGTTTTTCATAGAAAAGAACGTTTACAAATATTCAAATTTTATTTGCAGTGTCGTTCTTCTGCTTGTCTTACATTTGTGAGTACCTCTAAATGTATTACTATATAAATACAGACATAAAAGCCAGGACATATGCAATATATGCACACATGTACAAATAAAAACACGATTTTTTTGTTAAAACTTCATCCTTATTTATGAGCTTCATTCGATCAACACAACATACCTACTATTAGTTTATTAGATAAATTAGTGTCCAATTTTTGAAACTTCGTCCAACCAAGATAACTTGGTGTGAAAGAGACTTCTCAGAATACTTTTTGGTATATTTTACTCTGTGCTTCCTAGCTAGCTGCTAGCCCAGGACGTTCATTTGTTTCTTCCTATCCTTACTTTTTCCATAAATTTTCTATAAAAAACCTTTTTTCAAAACTTTTACAACTTTTTGATAAATTGATGTTCGTTTGTCTCGTGACAACGGCTGAACCAATTTGTCTTGTTTTGATTTTGTTTCACGAACTTTATTAGCACACACGAGTTCAAAAAACTTTTAAAGAGTCATAAAATACGTATTTTTTTATTTCATTGTAACATAATGCTATCGTTTTAGAGTATGGGGACCGTTTCAACCTCAAGTGTAAGTATTAACTTAAATTTGATTCAAAATTGCAAGAAATCTTTTGTGGCAGATGTACCTAATTTTAGCATTAAAACCCTAAGAGCTACCCCTTAACCAAATAGATCAGAGGTTCTCGTGTTTCCTTACACAGAACACACTTAAAGAGGCTAATGTCGAACTGGAATAGGTATAAATCCTTACACTTTATAATAATATAGTAGTGTCAAGCCTATTAATAAAAGTGTGACGATCACCAAAACCCCTAAAAGACCGGCCCTGATTGCTTGTCATCAGGTCGACTCATTCATTCGTACCTAACCGCATTGTCAATTTTTAACTTTTATTAAAGAACAAAGTTATGGCGTTCAGGAGCTCTTGAATATAAGGAAGAAAATACTAGATACATAAGACTTTTCTTATCGATTGTCGCTGTGTTGCTGCCATTTGACTTTTTTTATGTGATAGGTTGGCAATCGAGCACACGGATTACCTGTTGATAAGCAATCGGTGCCGCCCATAGACACCAGTACCATCAGAGGAAATACGAGAGCGTTCCTAGCCTTTTGGGGATTAGGGTTGGAGGGAAAGATTTAAGGTTTGTGGAGGGGAAGAATTGGGCCTCTAGCAACCTCACTCACACGACAATACACAACGCTGTGGTCGCACTATGGTCGAGTCGATTCATTCATGCCGAAGCTTGGCGTTTCCACACTTACTACCTTTACCTACATTTACTTAATTCTTTTGAACTCTGGTTTCAGTGTTTAGGTCATAGATGTTTTTCGAATGTAAGTACCTATTATTATTTTTCTAAGACGCAAAACAATATGCAATTAAAATCAAGGAAATTATTTTAAAACAAATATTATTATTCACTTTACTCATGAACTGGGACTGTACCTATTTGCACAAAAGCTAACAGCTAGTGCCAATGAAAATGTAAGTACCTACTTAATGTGTTAAGTTAAGATAAAATAATGTAGGTACGTGTTACAGTGTACTGGTGAAGGATGCATATCGCTGGTAAGTATAACTATTACAGTATCGTGTAGAACCTATGTTAGCATTAATTGTCTATAAAGAATAAAAGTCACTAAACAACATGAAATTTCGGTATTTCCTTTTGACGCCATACAATCGGGAACAGGAGTATTTACCAAAACACGAGTCATTGACTAGATTTAAGACTCCAGATTACATAAACCTTGTGGACGAGAGATGGCGATCAGAAAGAGACAGAGAGAAAATATTGAAGAAAGTAAGGGGAGCCGCTCTGTGTAGTCGGTACAGCATCCAACGAGTAGCATTCTCTCTACCGACGGCCACACATATAACTTTAAAACCAATCAACTGCCGTTGGGTATTACTGAAAACAGTGAAAACACACAAACTATACAAACAAGAACGTCGAAATCGACAGTTGTAAAGGCGTTGCCAAAATCGAATATATTCTCCATCCATACCCTGTCTTACTTATGTCGTCCGCCATAGAGGCCTAGGTATGTAGGCACAAGATCCGCAGTGGGGGACGAACAACGCACAAATATGGATTAACAAGAGTTAAGCTGAATATGTATCTATAGTTCCAGAAAAAAAAAGAAAAAGAAATAATATGAAAAAGAACTGTTTACTTAGTAGTTGACCGTTTAGGTTTAGATTGATTTGAGCATATTCGCATATAGACGGAGAATCCTGTAAAATAAAAAGGGCCATCTTCCGCACTAAGTACCTATATCAAGAACAAAAAGGCGTTTTGCGTTGCGCATCTTCTGATTACACCGGTTAATCGCTATTTTGAGGACCATCCGATTCTCCTCATTGCGTCCCTCTTGTGTTTTTTATAACAAACATTTCGTTTCATATAAATTTTATGCTACCTGTAGAGTTTTTAAATCTTTACAACTTTAATCAAACTGTCTGTTTTTATTACCTATTTTTATATAAAGTTTTGAATTCGATACAAATACCGAACATAAAATTTAGAGGAAACGGAATATGTATATTTAATCAAACACCAAAAATAACGAATTTAATGCTAATTTGTTTTTTTTTTCTAGTGTGAAGGGACAGGTTGTACAGCTGAGGTAAATACTAAATTCTTTAAGTAGGTAATCTTACCGATTCGAAGAGGTCGCTGTCTCTGGCAGTCTTAACTCTTAACCCTTTTCGTGTACGAGAAATATATGAAATAATATCTAAGTATTTGCTGCATATTATAGTAGATTTGACTATTTGTCACACTAAACGTCAGAAGTAGGTACCTGGGTAGAAGCAGACATGACTCCCTGAATGGATCTGACGATCAGACGTTTCAATTCCATGTTATTGAAAATTATAATGTGTAAATTAGTTTAAATACCTAACTGACTAACTATCTTACAGTGTCGTGCAAGAAGCTGCCAAGCTCATGTAAGTGGTTAAAATTTTAGTGGGTAGGTAACATTTGACTGGGCGTTATGTGTAGGTATGTGGAATTGTATGTTTGTAAACGCACCCACGACACAGGAGACAATCCTAGTGTGCGGCAACTTTTTTTTTATGTAATAAGTCGACAAACGAGCAGACGGATTACCTGATGGTACGCAATCAACGCCGCCCATGGACACCCGCAACGGAGGAGTTACGAGTGCGTTGCCGACCTTTTAGGGATTAGGGATTGGGGAAGGGTCCGGGAAGGGGAAGGATTACCAGTACTTTTAGTTGCTACTTCACACTATAAAAGTTGTTAGTTCACATAGTACCTATAGTAGACGGTATACTTATTTACCTTTCCATGGCAACGTGGCCTCGGCCTAGAGCAGGAGACGGAACGTAGGATTTCTAGTCAGTATGAGTCTAACACTCTCGCAGCGAGAGAAGCCACGTGATGATTTTCCCATCACAAAAAAGTACCTAGACGGTATATTACGCGCGTTCAATCTACACCTGTCATTATTTTATTTTCAAGTGTGCTGGTGCTGCTTGCATTTCAACGGTAAGTAGGTACATTTCTAATTATACGGCTAAGCTCAAATTGGAAACATATCGATTTTTACCTGACCCCTTCATCAAATCCCAGAGGAAAGTTGAAACAATTGGCAAACATAAAACCAGGAACGTTAGATATGGAGATCTAAACCTTTTCAGTTTCACAAGTTTATTACAGTCTCGAATAAGGGTGGAGTCTAAATATGTGGTCTAAAAATGCTCTTTTAATTTTAATTTAATTAATCTTAGATATATATATTCTGAGCCGAAAGTATCCGAAATAATTATACATACACCCATAACCGTATCCAAAACATAGTTTTACAAATATAGTTGTACTCCACCTTAAATATAAAGCATTATGTATTGGAGATTGAATAGAACACTTTAATATTTGGCAGTGTTATGGTGGACTTTGCAAACGGTCCTCGTCTTCAGCGACACAGATATAAAAATATGGATACAACCATGCTTTTTTGTATTACCAATGTCCAAGGTTTGTAATAAAATTTATACGACATTATATGAGGGATTTAAACTACATGAAACCAAATTAGTATGTATTAAGCCCACTAATTCTATAATGTTATTATGTGCAATAGAGTTTAAATTAATAAAAATAAAACAATCAACATTTAGTACGATGCATGCGATGCATTGTTTTCAACACTTGCTTGCATACAACATCTCTACATGGATAGACTGCATTTGAGGCGTGCCTGTAAAAACCAGCACTATTACCTATTTTACTGCATGAGAATATATTAATTAAACAATTTTATTAATAACCCACAACGCGACGGTGGCGCCGCGTAGCGTTTACAACATTTGAGGAAGCCGCCAAATAATAACAATGTAAATTATTAATAATTATAATCTTTACATGTGGTAAAGATTATAATTTTCTTTGCAAATATAAATAAAACCAAAGATTAGTATAGTATTGTTGATATTATTTAAATGCAATTTATTCATTGGGATGAAAACTCAATTAGTTATAAGTTCTATTATCAAAAAAAAACTAGGCTTTCTGTTTACATCGCTTACTTGCATTACAACAACTTGCATTGCAACTTACGCAGATTACTTGCATTACAGACCTTTTTGTCAATTTCGTAGTTGCTTTCTGATTTAGTGATTTGTAAAATGCATAGAAATGAAATACTGAATGGTTTTTATGAAATATTTAATTTCACTACTATTAATTATACAGATAATAGGTACCTACTTTAAAGATAGATAACATATATGTAGCGTACTTGTTACACAATATAAGAATTTCATTTCAGATTAAAGAAGGTGTGTTGTAAACAAAATTTATTTCGGGTAACATACAAACAAAAATATAGTACCTAATTCCCTGTTCCAAAATATTGACCCATTGTAAACAAATGAGATACCTACATATAAAAGCCTCGGCCAAAAAATGAGCGATATACTCATATAAAGGATGACAAAATTAAAAAATAGTAAAGCAGTAAGTATAATTAACAAAAAATTCATTCATAATGATGACTGATCTAACACTTCAATTTTATCATAAATAAAAAATATGTAAATACTACAACGAAAATATTTAAAATTGATTCCGATTTTTTCGAATAAGTTAGGTAGATATAACAGTTGCAGCTAGAATAATATCTAATGACCTTTTTGACATCGATTTTCTTTAAACAGCTACTATATACCATATCAATTTGTATAAAGTATACGCCAGAATTTAAAAGGGCACGTGCGTGATAAAAAATCTAAGGATCTCTTAAAACTGAAGACTCGCGTCAGCGGTATACACCTGAACATTGTTAAAATTTATATCATTGACAAAAGTAATCCTGCATTAATTTACAATAACAAATTTCATGAGAAATAAAGTTGTGAACGTTGTGAGTATGCAATTTTACGAAGTACATAACATTATTTCTACTTTACACCAGTATTGATACATCGTAAAAGACACACAAATGGATATAAAACCTAATTTACACTGATTTAATAAGACAAAGGTGCACTTACATTTTACATAAAATGTTTTCTTCACCAATTAATTGTGGATATGAATCCAGTGTTACAAGGTGTGATGCAGTGCCACGTGCCAACTTTTAATTACCATTCAGCGGGGAAGATCGCTGGTTTCACAATAGGAATTTCAAACACAGAATAGCTCAAATAACTACTATTTGGTGCATGGTTGACATAAATTCCATCACATACATACATACGTCTGGACATAGCAACAAGACAAATGTTAGTAGATCGGCCCTTTTCCCAAAAATATTAAAAATTTTGTCAGCATAATGTTCTCTTTGTGCCTTCCTGCTTTACTTTATTACAGACTATAAACTTTTCAACAAAACACTTCATTTTCATTGCGTTTCGTTCTTAATAAGTCCTTTAAACAAAGTTATCACCTTGTGGCACCCCCAGCACATACTTCTCAAAGAACGCACTAATATACAAATAAGTGTTGGCACTACAATATCATCCTCAACAAACAAGTTACAGACACATCTTGACCGCTTTAGAAAACCAATATCTTCATTACTTGTATAATCCATTCACAACAGAAACCATATCTTACAGCTGTTAATTCGATGGAGCGAGTAAATCTTGATCATATGCATACAGAATACTCTTGGACTCACGTAGGAAACCTATTTATCATCAGTCTACCTTCATTCTCTTTAATATCTGTACAATGTTGGTGACAATTATGATTATAATACAGCTGGTGTCAGAACTACATTTAGTTACTACTGGGATTTATACTCTGTACTGTGTAAGTCAGAGTCTGTACATTGGATGGTGCTTCAGGAGGTGAAGTAGGAAAGTGACCATGAGCTCTTCTGTGATTTTGCAACGCTGTACCCTGTAAAATATAAATTATATACTTACTTACTTAATTTAAAAAAGTTCATCTTTATGTTTTCTAATATTTTTGGCATAAAAATAAATAAATTATATGTATAAGCAATAAATAATATAGAAAGTAGTAAACTTGAAGCAATTTCCAGTTGTTCTAGTGGAATTTTTTCCTTGATTTAGACAAAGGATGATTGAACCAATTGGGTTTCTAATATCAGAGTGGCATAGTTTAACCATAGACTAATAATAGTGTATTATTAGTCTATGGTTTAACCTTTCAGTCTTGGTATTTTTAGACACAATAGGTGCGCGAACGCCGGTGTTCGCTTGGGGTTTGATGAATTAAATTGATATTACGATACATTAAATATTCTTTCTTGGCAAGCGAACTTTAAAGTGATAAGTAGGTACTTATTCTATACGTTCGACGAAGGAACTATGACGTAACAACACACAATCCAGTAACTAAAATCACAGAAACCTGTCGATTTCGACGATTCTATAAAGGCAACGAATGTGACTAAGTACCGAAATACCCAATTATTAGTAACTGTAATAGAATAAAGTAATAATAATATGATACCTGAATGAATCTGTCACCGCAGACTTCGCAAATGTATGGCCGATCTCCCGTGTGTCGCCGTATGTGCAAGTTGAGGTCGTTGCTCTGTGAGAATGCCTTTTCGCAATAGGTGCATTTGTATGGCCTCTGGCCAGTGTGTACACGCATATGACGGGACAACTTGTTGCTTCGCGAAAATCCTTAAAACATAATTAAACATTCATTAACCTATGAATAGGTGAAGATATAGGTACTGATTATTATCAAATATTATTATAAAGCTTAAGAGGCTGTTTATATAGTTGAGCGTGGTAATTTTCGCAACTGCTCGTATTGTTTTGAATTAAAAACTGCTTCTACGTTGGAGAACGGTTATTATATTCAATAAAATAAAAATCAATGTCACTTTTCCTTGTAATGTGACATTCAACAACGACAACTCAACCATGCCTTTACTAATTTGGCTAATTTTGGTCTTGAATGGAATTCCAGAAAAGGTTTGTGCGTATAGTAAATTTACAAAAAAATCGACATCCACGCCGGTGGATCCGCGGGCAACCGCTAGTATGCAATAAAACAATTCGGAGTAACAAAATGCATGATTGTTTGTTTGCTTTATACTAGCTGAGTATTGAACTTTCAACGAGACATTAATAAAGTAACGATTATAAAGCACGTCAAATCAAAATATTTACCTTTGCCACAAACACGACATATGCACGGTTTCTCCCCTGTGTGAGATCTTCTATGGCATTGGAGATCAGAAGACCTCGGAAATCCTGTAAGTAAGTCACTTAATACTTAACATAAGATGATAAACTTGTATTAAATTGTATTTGACACCTACACACAAGTAAGTATGCAGTTACTTTGTAAGGACTACTAACCTTTGCCACAGAAATCGCATTTGTAGGGTTTCTCTCCAGTATGTCGTCGCATATGCACAATTAAGTTTGAAGAATTTGAGAAACTGCGGCCACAGTATAGACATAAACAGTTACTTGTTGATTTCTTATCACGATGCATTTCATGCACTCGTTTGTGAGAGCTGTGAATAACCAAAATAGTTGTATCAAAACTAAAATCACATCAAAATTATCTTTTTATAGTCAGTATAGGGCGCTAGCGAGGACTTTTAAGTTTATAATTGGCTCGTACATCTTGGCAGACTATAAGCTAGTTGGGATCATTGCAACACAGCGATACCATGGCGGGAGACTGGGTCTTTTGTACTATTTTAATAAAGTGCCATTTGAGCAAATCATATAATTTTTTTATTCGCCACCACACATCCTATTTCAGGCCAAATTGCGCGAGCAAGCGCAATTATGTACTGCGGCTTCGGCCTTGAACTTGAACTTGAAGGACGGGAAGAGAAAATGATAGTATTCCACAATCAAAAAAAATAAACACTCTTTCATACTACATCTCATTCATAACGTATATGTACAATACAAGTATTTATCAACGGACTTACCGTAAGTTATCCCTTCTGTGAAACTTCTTTTGGCAGACATCACATTCAAAATAGTTTTCAATTGGCATATGTATTTTAGTATGCTTTACTAGTAATTCTCGTCTGAAACAAACATAATTAAAATCAATATTTTCAATATCTACCATTCCCACTACCCACTCTTGTGTTGGAATTATAGTGATAAAACTTTACTTACTTGCTAAAGGTTCTTTTACAGGTATCACATTGAAACTGACTTTCTTCTCGTTTGGTTTTAGAGTCTATAAACTTCACGGACACGCTTTGTCCCTCATGGTACCTCAGTATATGTTTATTTAAAGATATTTGATAAGCAAACTTTAAGCCACAAGTGGTACACTTATATTTTCTTTCAATTTGTTTACAAATGCTTCTATGACGCGCGGCAGACCGTAAAGTTGCAAATACCTGCAAAAGTAAAATGGAATATTTATTTGCTTAAAAATTCGAATTGATTGTGCTTATAATGATTCACTGTTAAAAATCTAATGTAAATAGACATTGATCATATTTTTTAAGTCTGTTGGTGAAGATCATAGGCGAGTGAAAATAACTTTAAAAGAGGTACAAAGGTTGAGAAAATAGAGGATGTAAACAAAGTGAAAAGAGAAGTAAAGGACAAAAATATGAAACAAAATATAAAAGTAAAACTTATGGGTATGGGTAAGACTAGAAATTGGAAAAAAAATACATTACCTTGGTACAGAGATTGCAGCGATGTGACAGTTCAGGGTGCTCAGCGTCGCGATGGTTAATGAGATCCGCTTCTGATGGCAGTATGCAGTTGCACGCACTGCATACTAGGAGTAAGTTGAAGTTTTCCTGAAATAAACTCGCTCATTAGTCCAATGACAAGTGAACAGGACAGTCTTTAGTGAATATAATCGGAGTGAACAATCACAATCCTAATTACGTTAACCGTAAAATAAATAATTACATATTTGGTAACGAAGTCGATTCTGCTGGTAGAAGCCAGTAATCTTATATATAAAAATGGATCGCAAAATGTGTTGGTAAGCGCATAACTCAACAACGCCTGGACCAATTTTGCTAATTCTTTTTTTGTTGTGTTTGTTATTGCCAGGAGAAGGTTCTTATCAAAGAAAATATTAGAAAAGTAGAGGGGAAGATTAGGAAAAGGTGACGCTTTGATAGCGAGATAGTTGGACCCGTGCGAAGCGGGGGCGGGCCGCTAGTAATAAATAAATAAAGAGGAATATTTTGAACTCAACTATTCAAAGATTGTTGTAAACCATTTATCGCAAATTATTATATTCCATGCAATTAAAAGCGTTCATTGTCATATAGAGACCATGGAAAATTGGGGTGAAACAACGCGTTGTGTTTCGCCGTGTGAGTGAGGCTACAGGAGATCCAATCCTTCCCCATACCTCCCCAATCCTAACACCCGGTTTCCGAAAGGCCGATCAATATTAAAATCTATTTAATCTCTTGTCATGTTATCTGATTGGTTGACTGAATTATCAACAACCAATCAGATGACTTGACAAGAGATTTAACAGGAGATTAGTTAATTTTAGCGTTGACAAGCCTTTCAGAAACCGGGTGTAAATCTCTGAAACCCACACCCCAAAAAGGCTGGCAGCGCACTCGTAACTCCTACCCGTGTTACGGGTGTCCATGGGCGAGTCCGATAGTCCATAGTAGCGAATGACTATAAATAATAATTTTAGCCTCGATTCATGCAGAAGATTATGCGTATAAAATCAGTAATACATACCACATCGTCATTTGGATCTAATATTTGCCGTAGTGTCATTTCTAATGGTATTTTTTCATTCTGTTCGCCTTTGTTAGTTTCCTGAAAAATAATAATAAATATTACTCTACTTGCATAGACACAACCTCGTGGCCAGGATTATCCACCAGCAACTTGCTTTAAAATACAAACTTGTTGAATCTGAAGTGCCGTACTATAAGTATCTGCCTGACCCAGTTCTCGAGAAAGGAGATGTCACACTGTATTGGGATCGAACTATCATCACTGATAGGACAATTGTAGCCAACAAACCTGACATTGTGATGATAGATCGATCTAGCCGTCGCACAATGATAATTGATATAACAATCCCACATGACGAGAATCTTGTAAAAGCTGAAAAAGATAAAGCAAGTAAATATCTTGATTTAGCTCATGAGATTGTCGACATGTGGGATGTAGACTCAGCAATCATTGTGCCGATAGTCGTGTCTGCCAATGGTCTCATGGCTAAAAGCCTTAATAAACACCTAAGCAGGCTTACGTTAGATGGTTGGGTCAAGAATTTGATCCAGAAAGCGGTACTTCTAGACACGGCGCGCATTGTCCGGAGATTCCTTTCTCTGGAACCCTGACCACCGGTTGCTTGGAACCCTCCCGTAACCGGTGGGATACTGCTTTTTATATTTTTAAGTGTTTTTTTTTTTTTTTTTTGTTTTATGAAATTATTTAAAAATGTAAAAATCAAGTTTTAAAATAAATAAAAAATCATAATATTACTCTCATCCAAATCTCGTCAAATTTTAATTATTATTTTTCCAAACTTATTTCCTCTTCTTATGATTTTAAAAAAGACTGGCAATAGTGCTTGTGGTACATCTTGAATATCTGCTTATAAAAATCGAATAAGTTACTTACATTTTCACTGTCTTCTTTATCATCAGCACAAACATGTAAATCAAAATGTTTCTTATCTAGATACGTTTTCTTGCATAATCCACAACGCAAAACTTTTTTATCTAAAACAATAAAAATAGAATACATTGTAAGGGTTCAAGTGAATCAGTCTGTTAAAGCACTATTAGTACATTTATTATACTAGAAGCCTAGTCATAGGGATTGGACCACATTCCGTACATTGTTATTTTTTATGATCGATTTTATTAAATTGGACACCCGTTGTCAATACAAATACGTAGATTTTCACACTGGGTGCAGAAAGAGAGTCTCGCAAAATACAAATACATACGGAGTGCTTAGAAAGTCATTGAAAGAAGGTCGATGCTGAGCGACCATTTTCGCTTGTTTACTAAAATAAGGTTCACGAGTCTGACCCAAACTTAACGTATAGCACACGTGACAAATGTACGACAGATAAAACAAACTAACTGTCTTACTAATAAAGTTCGGTTACACACTTGTTTAACATTTTGATAGCTATTCATTGAATAGGGAGTTAGTACTACTTTATACAAGTCATTACCAATAAACAATGGTTATACCTTGAATAACTATTTATTCCTTATACTGCTGATTGCTAGCAACATTGATGAAAGCGTTCCGAAACTTCTGAACAGAAACACTTCTTCACAATATTTTTGTATTTTTTGATTATTTGATTAGAATAATCAATAACATAAATGATTTTTTAAAACAAAAAGAAGGTTTAAGGTATTTAATTTAGTTTTAAAATATTAATTTATCACTTATTTGCGAAAAAAAAATTATAAAAATTTCGATATTTCGAATGTACCTAATCAATGTCAAATACATATTTGACACAAATTAGAGTCGTGGCATTAGAATTATACTTCGATAATCCAATTAGGTACTGAAAATATTCGTAACAGCTTATTATAATAGGTGTTATACCTATTACTGAATATCAGGCTTATATTTAGACAGCTGATCTTAAATTCCTTTAGCTATAATTGGTCTAAAATAATGTTATATGTATTAAGACACATTATCACCACGTCAACCAATTTTCAAACTTCACAATCTCCTTCAAAATTACGGTTATAAACCGTAATTTTTCGCCATCATACCCCATCTTCTGGTTAGTCAACTGCCAGTCAGCTGGTTATGACGAGTAGATATTTGAAATTAGTTTATGTATTTATAGTAATATATTAATGAACGTACAAATAACTGTTATAAATATTGTATTTGTAATACGTATCTGTATCTATTACGGATATTTCGTTACACTTCTATGCCACATATAAATTTTTATCCTATGTTTGATGTTGCGAATAAAAATATGTTCTTGAAAAAAAAAAGATTATGTTTATTTGGAAACAGTAATGCGATAGTTGTTTTGCCTTTTTAGGCATAACACCCTGGTTGTACCTAAGTCAAGCAATTATTGGGTATCGACGAAAATAAAAATAGGTACTGACTCCGGATGTTTGATTGTATTAAATATTTATGCCTTACGTATTCAAGCAATCACATTTCTAAAGTAGGTAACAAATTCTGCGAAATGCGACTCGTCTTGCTAATACGATAGATACTCTGCGACACAGGTCTGTGATAGGTTACTGACTCATTCCATGGATATCAGCTGCATCGGCTGGATCTTTTTGTCGTGTCAAGGCATGGCTCCTATAGCTATACAGACATGGATTCCTGCTGGGAGACCGTCACCCTTAGTCCTATGCTGTAAATAGCAAATCCACTTACTTACTTCAATAATACGTTTCTTTGAAAATCTATATTTTCTTATAAACTCTGCACCTTCTAATGAAGGATCTCTAAGGAAGAGAATTCATAAGGATCGTTGATAATTCCTTTTCTTTCTCTTTTGTTGATTTTTCGGAATTCATGATCATCAAACACATTTTATCAAAATAATGTAAAAATCAATTTTATGCGTCTGACAGTTAAAACACGAAAATGATCGCTTATTCACACGTTATACAAGGTCCACAGGCTGAATAAGTCTTGTCTAACATTTCATACAATTTTCACAATAGTTATAACAGCTGTATACGCGAGAAATGTCAAAAGTTGATTATTAGTAATGAGTGTGATATACCTCTGTTATAAGATGTGTGTAAATTTTTATTAGTAAGAGGGTAAATCTTTTGCCCAAGTAATCATACATTATGTAGAGTTGGTACTAACCTTTATGAGATATTACGTGAGATCCTAATTCTTCTTTGGTTTCGAAATGCTCGTTGCAGAATGCACACTCTATCTTTTTCGCAGGCATAGATGTTATACAAAATCCATTTTCAGATAATTTGTTGAGAATGGTCTAAAATATGAATAAAATTACATTGATTACATATTTATGGCTTATATTATATTATGTATTAACTACAGCATAAATAACATTTAAAAACTTAAAGTAACATTACGACGTTGACTGCCCTCTTAGGTTGATGAAAACTTTTTTTGCTTATTTATTTTTTTGTAATTTAAATATTTCGACCTTCAAGTAAATCTGTAAGGTTTAAGAATAGTGCACTTGTTCTAAACTAGTATTTGCCCTTTTGATGCTCTTGCAAAAGAATTATTTTCAAAAATACCAATTTTAAGTACAGTAGAATGCCGATTACAGGAATCAGTCCTGAGCGTAGCATAAAAATTAAAAGCAAGATTAACATTGCAACTTGTTAATGTCTATAAAGTTTATTCTATTCTTTTCTATTTCGTTTTTCTTTATAACTAGTACCCACTTTGTAGTCTACATCGAAGCTGTCACAATTATTTTGGATAATCGGCTTTCTACAGTGTAACATGTAAAGTGGAGATAAAAATTGATTACATATTTGAATACTTAAGTTATCTGTTCTGCGATCACAGAAAGAAACACAGAAGGTTCATAAGTTGCTGTGGTAGGCTAAATACATTGAAAAATATTTATAGAAACTTAAATAATAATACTAGTACGGTACAGGCGCGATTATGTGTAAGTAAACGAACGTAAAATATTCAAAGATGTGTGTAAGTTTCGTATGAGCTGTAGTATCTGCCTAGCACTATATGAAAAGTTTAGTTACGTACGCATAAACTTGAATAGAATTGTGATAATTACTTTTCTGCTTAATTCAAAGGTGAGGTCACCTACGAAAGCAGTCAAACAATCAATTTTATGCACGAAACTATTTTAAGAAAACAGTTACTGAGTTTCATTAAACGATAAAGGCACTAGGAAATAAAAAGCAAATACGAACTTACACTAGTTAATACCTTCTTTGGTCGGCCTCTCTTTTTCGGTCCCATCAGATCGGCATGACTTTCCCACATGTGTTTAGTTAAGTTTCCAGCACCGTTATAACATGTACCGCAGAGAGGGCAGTAAGTGCGATTAGTCTCATCACACTCCACTAAAAAAAAACAGAGGTGTTTCAAAATTAGTGGATGGAAGTGGTGTATATTTTGGATGCTTCCCGGCTGACGATGTTGGTGTGAATTGAGGTAATATTTGAGATTTAGATTACTAAAAGAAAAATTAAAGTAGTTGCGCTGTGCGTATACAAATGAGAATTTTTTTTCTTAATATGATTCGTTTATTCGTATATCCATACTTCTGTTATCCGTAAAAACTATAAATCCCAGCTCGCCGCACGCCCAGAACCAGGTCTGAGACCCTAGAGCGCCTGTCTGACCCTAATAGGGCTCAGCCGGGGTTGCGGGGCAAGCGCAATAGGTAAGGCACCAGCCTCGGCCTAGAGCGGTAGAAGTGACGGGAGGTTTTCAGTCATTTTAGTCAGTAAGAGTCTGACACTTCCTCTCGCCTCACCCTGGGCGAAAGGAGTTACAATGATTTTCCATACCTAAGAAAACGGGTTTTGGACTAAATTCCCATAATTATCTACATTCTCATGCTAAATTGGTAAAAAGTCCCCAGAGGGGCGAACGAACCTCCTTTTTCCACTCACCCAATTTTTATATGTTTATGTTTTTTTAGGAAACTGCCTGACTCTTCATAATTGAATTAAAACATTTGTATATGTTTCGTATAATTTGTTTGGTATCGGTGTATTTGTCTAGTAACTTCATTACTAATACATGCATAAAAATATTCACCTTTGATGCATATCTTTTCATGATCTTTTAATTTTTCAGGTGAGTCGAAATCAGCAAGGCAACTTTTGCAAACAAAGCATATTTTTCGTTCGAGCCCTTCAATCTCAATTTTAACAGAATCTGAAACAAAATATTAATCTTGACAAAATATTTTGATAACTGGAACTTAATTCCATTTTATTGAATTTTTCACTTCTCCTTGTAATGTTATAACTCAACAATGTCTTTATCGAATTGGCTAATTTTGGTCTCGAATTATTCGTGGAAGTCTAAAAAAGGTTTGTACATAGAGAAAATTTTATAAAAATAATAGACCGCTAGTATTAAATAAAATTAACGTTTAGGTACCTGTATATAAAAATATTGATAATATTGATACTATTTTTATAACAGTCTAAAATAAATACATACTCAATTAACCCGGAATAAAATTATAGGGAATAGCATTTCCACCAGTCAATATTGCATATTTTGTCTGTCAGTTATGATTGCATACTGAATTACATAATTCACTTGGTGTTGAATTTTTTGACAACAAGAGACTAGATAATTATTTAATTTGATGCAGTAATTTTCAAGTTAAGGTTTGAAATTAGGGGTAACTAATTTATGTATAGAGAACTATTATAAACAGTATTAGTAACAGCTATTATAAACAGTAGACAGCAATGCCATACCTAGCTCAGATAAGTCTGGCCCACTGTCGAGTGTGTCATAATTATTATCAGCAAAATCATCATCTTCATGTAGTGGTAAATCTTCAGTTTTCACTCCTGACATATCAGTCTGTAAGCAAAGAAAAGCATTTTCCATTAAGAATGATAAAATTATTCTTTATAATTAGATATTTATAAAAGAAACGGCCCTTAAGACAGAAGGGGTCACTTTAAATTGACATATGTGCAGACTTCATTGGAGGATTGTAGAAATCTAGCATTTTCAACCAAATCAAGTATGTGACTAGTAATATGAATAATTTCTTATACTTCTAATTGGTCAAGTAGAAAATTCTAATAAACATACTTACATGGCTTAATTTTTTGGTATTTGTGTAGGTTTCTTTCTCTTTCTTAATAAATCCTCTAAGAGATAAATTGGCCTCTTCTGACTTTCTTCTAAAATCAAATGCATTTGTAGCCTTTTCCTTGCACTCGCAGCAAATTGTTGAAGGTAACCCATCATTTCTGCTTATCTGGTTGTTTTAAATGAAAATAAATGAACAATTAAAATTGAAACTTGCCTTAGCCTTTTCAATGTAATGCAAGCTACTAAGAATCAGATTACATTCAATACATAGTACATAATATTCCTTGAACTTGTATATACTTTCAATTGTATTTTCAGTTCTTATTTTTCTGTTTAATTTTTATAATCAATTGCTAATATTACAAAACCCTTCACAAACTTTAGCTGTATCATTTGCAATGCTATCAAATATTTTGAAGAAACCAAATTGGATCTTAGGATGACATGGTTGTTGGAAGTTAACATTCAATTACAGATCCAAAAGAAAGTTGTAAATATACACATCTTTAAAAAATGTGTACAATCATCAATAGTTTTTATTAAACTAATATTTTTTTTTTAATGTCAGCATATTAAGTTTATAAATAATAAAGTATCAGTATATTATGCTCAAGTATTTTGTGATAAACGCTAGCGCATGAACTCAGATCATTAAAGCAGTTTTTAAATTGATGTGGTCGGGCTAAAGTACATCAAGATGGATATGGTTGTGTGTTGATAAATTTCACAATTTCGAAAAAATTAGCTTGCTTCAGCCTCAGTGTTAGTACGACAAGTGCAAATCTAAGCAGTTTAGGGATATCAAGTATACTTAACAATTAGATACCTACGGATTAATCATTGAACACATAAATTTTAACCTAAACACAGAAGTTTATTAAACTTAATTTGATAATTATAGATCAAGACATCAATTGGCAAGCACAAGTAGAACAATTGTAAAAGGGTAAACCAATTGGCATATGCACTTCATTAACAAAGTGCCAGTAAGACTAGCCCATGAAAGTTTTTATACCAACGAGTAACATTATTTTTGTTATTTCATTCTATTTTTGTGCAAAATTTTAATGTGGCTCACAAAATACTTCGCATGTTTCAATATTATACTTCTTTACAGAAAAAATGGCTGTAATATGAAGACAGAGTAGACTGTAGCGGACAGACAGACATTGTATATTGTAGGGTTCCATTTTTAACAGACACATTCCGCAATATCTCATACCTTTTGAAAGTTAATAGCGAAACTCGGTTAAGGACTCGAACCCAACTTTTAGAGTCAGTTGAACATTTATAATCTAAATGTGATAGCACATCAGCCAGCAATTATGTTTAGTATGTATTTACTATGGAAATGCACCCTGCCTGTATATAAAACTGCCTGTTTGATGGCTATGGATTAGTAGACATGGTAACTATACAATGTTATTGCTCCTGGAACTAACCATTATTGTTACATACAGGAAAACATTCAGGGGGTGACTGGCAAACTCAATAATAATCAGAGGTCCCATCAGTTACGCTCGCAAGTATTATCATTAAAATTTCTTTAAAGGTATGTTAGTAACAGAGCACAGCAGAACATTTAATATAAGTATCGATTTATCAACAATTTGCATTTGCAGTGTTTTTATGAGTCAATTTACCTTCAGGCCAGTTGTTGCAGCGACTATGTAATCTAAAGTTGTTGTAGTTCCACTAAGTTCATCAAATATCGACAATAATTGATTATCTTTAGACAAACAAGTTCTACACAATTCTTCTTGTTTAATTTCTGTTCTATGATTTATAAAGGAAGCCATTTTCAAAGAACTACAAACAGTAGGTAACAATAAAAAGACATCTAGCAAAATGCTTTTTTTTTGGAGTTTATGGCCTGGATACACGTCCTTTAAGCCAATCTAGCAAATAGCAATTTTATTATAGTCTTGCCAACTGAAATTTCTGATAATTAGTAGATTTTGAACTAAAATAAGTATTAGTTGCGGTTGATAGAAATTGGAAAGCAAAGTTCGTAGATCATAAAAAATCCACTATTAAAAATTTTCATAAAAATGTTTTTTCAACTCCGACATATATTTTTTTCTTTGTTTTCCGCTCATTTTTCATATATATATTTCGTAAGTGCGCAAAAACCCCTATTGATGTTAAATATATTCAAGTAATGTAATATAATAACTTGAATCAAAAGTATATATCAGAAAATGATAAATATTATCAAATATATTTTTTGAAACGGCTACAGCGTTGTATTACGCCGTGATAGGATAGGAGGCCTCCCACAACCTCTAAATCTCCGAAACCCTAATGGTCAAAACGACGACAATAAATTTTTACCTACATAAAAATCTAGATGACCGCCAACATGAATATGCAATTTCAACTGCAGAATGGTAATAACCTCGCACAGAATGCCAGTTGAAAGCGGTGCGCTTTGTCTAGTAAGAGCCCTGTTTGCGTTGTTTTTGAGATAGGCTTTTAAAAACAGTTTTCCAAGTAGGTACGATTCACTCATTAAAGGATTCTGAGGCGATCACTGGGTCCTTGCTGAAGTCTGGTGTGGTTACGGTATAACACTTTAGTTATTGTAAGTAACTTCTAGATGTTTATGATGAAACTTTAAAACGATTAGATGTAGATACTAAGTTGTTGATTAGTGACTGCCAGTTTAGGATTAACTAAGTACACTCACGTAGGATACCCCACCTTTTTTCTATTACTTTCAAAGTAAGTTTTAAACGGAAAGCTGGTCTTATATTTCGGAAAAAATAGTCGTGTGGCTGTAACTTATGAACAGCAAAGGTAGTTAGGTACGGAACGGAAAGATAGGCAAACATGACGAATTCAAAAGTTGTCTGCTTTTTGGTCAAACTGAAGAAAGTTCCATCTTACACCTCCTTGACTCCACAATCTATTTTATAGTTAACTAATAAACAATTTGATAACGTTTAACGTGAAATGAAACAACAATAATCTTTTTCACTTTATTTTATGCACAACAGACAGACTAGTTATTCTACGTTAACACCCAGATACCGATGATGTATGATAATGTGATGAAATCACTAACCACTTAGGTAACATATGAGTTTAAAGGAATTGACTATCATAGTCTGGGTCACGCCGGGTAGCGAGTTACCCATTTTCGCCGTCAACAAACGCGCGCTTCCGTCGCCGCGCGATTCTTCTGCAGCGACTGGGGCGTTAAGAGGAGTGCCCACATCATGTGGGCACTCCTCTCCACTCCACATCATGTGGGCCACATGAGCTCCGCTTCTCAATTCTACTCGCTCCATATCATGGCTGGAACTTAGGCCGAGTGCGGTAAGTACCAACCTTATATTTAGACAATAATACGATTTCATAGAAACAACCTAGGTAATAATTAAAAAAAAAAGTAATATTTTATCATGTGTAATTGACGGATTAAATAGATTTTAAGTTTCATTTTTATTTCTCATGATTGTCTCGAAATAAGTTGATGCAATAGAACCTAAATATATCATAATGTGTACCTATTTAGATTTATAGAATTTTGACATTTAATAATAATTACCTTGAGTTTAGTACAATAGTACCTGCCTAGAGTGCTAGGTCTTATAATAACTTATAACTTAGGCATGTTAATATAACAATGTTTTTAAGAAGTTAGCATCAACCCTACCTTGTAAAGATTTTATCAAAATGATCAGCTTCCAAATAGATTTTACACTTAAGAATCCGTAAAAGGTACAGGTAGTTCTTTATCAAGAAAGACAATGACTTACAACTACTCAGACATAGAAAGTCTTATTGATTATTATAATTAACATTATCCCTGAAGATTGTTAAGATTATTAAATTTGAATATAATAGAATATGAGTAGGTAAACCTCGTTGTCTCGTTTGATTATTAACACACTTAATTTTCTGTTCTGTTAACATACACACAGTACCTATTCCACTGGCCAAGTGAAATTATGAATCAATCCGATTTATTTCTGATGATATGATGTTAAACAACGATGATATACTTATAGCAAGTGAATGTTGAAGAATTCTGATTGACTGCCTGATTTATTAGATGACGGACAGTTTCAGATAATTCGAAACATTTTAATACCACACAAGCCTCTGCTCATAAAACTCAATCACGAGACTAGGGCAAAGTACATTGGCCTGGGCTGCCTTCACCAGATCCTTGTCAGTAGTTCCCTCCCACTCCATAAGGAACATCAGCTCCCCGTCTCTATCCGTGGCACCCAGAATTTTAACTGGTTTCAAACCACGCTCAAAACCTGTTTTTTCATTATCATTTTCATCGTCATCTTTATCCCCCTCCTCTATCTCCTCTTCGTCTCCCTCCTCTTCCTCTCCTTCTACCTCTTCTACCTCCACCACCTGTTCTACCTCCTCCACCTCTTCTAGCTCCCCCCCTTCTACCTCCTTCCTTTCTTCTCCCTCCTCATTTTCCTTATTCTCTTTTTCTCCCTCCTCGTCTTCCTTATTCTCTTCTTCTCCCTCCTCGTCTTCCTTATTCTCTTCTTCTCCCTCCTCTTCTTCCTTATTCTCTTCTTCATCGTGCTCTTCTTCATCCTTCTCTTCTTCCAACTCCTCCCCTTCCTCATTTTCTTCTTCATCCTGCTCTTTGTCGTCCTTCTCATCTACCTGCCTGTTTTCTGCTTCTTCTTTCTCTTTCCTTTCATCTTCATCTTCGGATGAAGACAAGGACCAAAGAAGAATGTCGTCTTGGTTTTTTTTGGTACACTTTTTATTACGTGGTAATTCGTTTGGCCTCCTTCTCAATTCGTTTTCAAACGAGACCAAAATAAGTGGATCTTCAATTGCTTTTTCAAGTTCCCAGGTATTTTCCTCGGCAGGACGTCCTCTCCATTTTACCAAATACTCAATTTGGTCGTTTTTAAGTCGGCGTCCTACTATTTTCTCCATTACAGAGGAGCTCTGTCCGTTGTTGCTCACGGGCTCAGTATCTTCTGCAGATGTTTCAACAATATCGTTTCTTTTCTGATCAACCATTGTGTTATACTTTTACTTCTTTTTCAAATGCTTCGTAAAGTATTCAGGCCCAAGTGACACTTTGAGGACTGGAGAGGGCCGCTATTCTGGCATAAAAAGGATAATTTACTCTCGTGAGACCCGACAAAGCCAATTATTTTTATTATAATGCAATATAAATATTTTATATATTTTATTGGTTTACGTTTTTGGTTAATTCATATGGTTCATATCGAAATAAGCTTCTTTTGAGCCGTCTTGTCTGTGATGTGATGGTACGGCGCTGTATCATGTTTATCATGCAAACTCCAGTTTTCGCGACGTCTTTCCGGATCTGAGATGAGCTCTAAAGGCCTGAAAAAAAGAAGAAAACAGTGTCAGTATTCAAATCAAAACTTAGATAAACGAAAGGTTCAAAATAAAAACAAAACTTTTTATGGCCTATAGAATTTAATAATGTTATTGCAATCTACAGGGTAAAAAGTATTTATATGCCAAATTTCATTCAGATCCCTTCAGTGGTTTTTACGTGTGAGTAAAAAGTAACAAACATTCATCTATCCACTATAAAATAGGTACCTATTTTTTATTAATGCGTGAAATAATGTAATTTGGTCTAAGCTTCCTGGGCCAACGCGTTTGGGGTGTCAGACTCTTACTGACAACCCCATCCAATCTGCACCATTAGCAGAATCCCTGTATTAAAGTACATGGCCTTTATATATCTAATAGTCTGCTACTGTAAATAAACCCATTTCATTGTGTGCTACAGCACACGAACCCGCCATCCTTTCCATTTTCTCCGCCCAGTCTTGCGATGGTCATCGGTACATCCAGCTGGTCTGGTCCACCTTATCGCGGTGGCCACTATAAGACAGATTGGGCCGGCTCCATCGATATACCTCCTTCTGTTGTCACGGCTAGAGCATCGCTGTGTTACTGGTGCTATAAGCTATGTCGGTAACTTAATTTAGTCCTTCAAACTTCAGGCATAGCTCGCACGTCGCAACGCAACACGACTTACATTGGTTCAGCTCTGCTGTACTGAAAGTGTCCGAGTGCAAAATTAATAGAGCTTGAAATCATTTACCAATCCAGTAACTCCAATTGAACCTAAAATAATGTATGCAAAAATACGTAAAATATACAAAATAAGTGAAACAAAGTCGCATCTTTAGCAAAAAACTTGACTGCCTTACAATAAGTAGGAGTAAAAATACCGAACAGAATAGGTACAACATTTCAAGAGTTAAAATATACCAATCGCAATGGCGGTTTAAAGTAAAAAGTAACAAATCGAGATCTACGTGTAAATACTTCAAAATTTAGTGATATTTTTTTATAAAGTCTCCATCCACGACTATGGTATATGCTTGTGCGATCCCTCATCTTTTCCGTAATCGACGGTGGTGACGACCGGGTTCTACTGCAATCTAAATTCGGACTTTCTCAGCAAGTTTCATCATGTTATCCAAAAATTGCATAACTATTAATTTGCGTAGGTACTCGTAATTACGATTTTGTTTTTGTGTAAAGATCCGGGTTGAAATAGATGCTCATCCTACAGAATGCTCTTCTTGCACTCACAACCTTTTTCCTTCTACCATCTTCCTTCATTCTTCGACTTCTCTTTTGGAACTTACTCCTTATTTTCAGAACTGCTATTTCAGTAGTACTTGATGCATCGTATACAAAAAAAACAAAAATCTTCCACTTTATCGTTTAGGCTTTTTTATGAGTTTTAGGCAAAAAGCCGTGCGGGCAATGTAGGCATTTTCTGGCGCCACTAGACACCTGAAATACTGAAAATTTCAAAGAGCTTTTCTGGACTTTTACAGTTAAGGCGGGACACGGGGTGTCTGACACTCACACAGCGAAACACAACGGAGGTGTGGTTTTAATTCCGGTTTTTTGTAACGCTGTGGTATTGCTCCATTTTTGCCCCCAAAACGGCTCTACTACTGTAGCTGGTAGACTGCATTTGCTGCAATTTTGGCCTTCTGGTATTCTGGGTTGCCTCTTTAGTAGCTATGACATTTAATTTTGTTGATAGATATAAGTAAAAACCTGCCTACCAAAGTGGCAACCGACAAACGCGATTGACAAAGTATGGTGGGCAACACGAACCATGACAAGATTTTACCATTATTGTTGATAGGGTAAGTTAGCACATTGTCTATTTGCATCGTTTAATTTTATCATATCAACCTACATATATTGAAGTTAATGTAAGGATAACAAAAGGAATTTAACCGCAAACATTCCTTTTCCTTTACTACGACAAAACCTGCCACAGTTCGTGCAAGATATAATTAATTTTATAATTATACCAGTCTAATACAAATATGTCAACCTAAACCTCAAAAGCGGTTCAATTCCTTACCAATAAGATAGGAGATCTAGAGATTCATTTCAAGATCGCAGTCGCAGTTATAGAATCTCGCGAAGGTCATAAAAAAGCCAGGTATGACTGATTAATGATTGATTATTATTTCTGTACGCTATGGTGTCTACCTTAAGAACTATCAAACAAACGTAAGTACTCACTTGTAACTGATACTCGGAGCTTTAAAGATCTGCAGTAGCCGATGCTCGGGGCTGATGAACGCTGCAACCAGCTTGCAGCTGAATATCGTTGTTTATACTGCAAGTGTAAGACCAAGCATATCTTAGACCTTTTTTAAGACCAAAGCAACAAACGAATATTATTAAAAAGATGTATTTTAATTTAAATCGCATGTACGTAGTACAAAAACGGATCAACGACGAAATTAATCGAGTAAAAGTTTTATTTATTACTTATTTATTATCTACATATTAAAGCGTTAAGAACTTTTGTTGTAGGTATATAGGAGGACTTAATGTTTTCTATGTGTAGAAAATACTTACATTTTAAAAGGAAAAGATGTCGTCGTGATGTAGTTGGTATCTATACTTCGTATGCGATGCAACTAGTGAACCGGCAACCTCATGTATTTCCGCGATAAGGTGAAACCCAGTTTTATACTGTGCGTCGTTTACTCCATCACAGCATGCCATGTAAATATGCCTCTGATCTGTATAGAATTATTATATGTCGATGATACGACTTTATAAGATGACGCTGCGTTCACGTATCGATCGCGAAATTGTGCGCAATGCAGTGATGCAAAGTTAGCCGCAATTCAAAATAAGAATGATAGTCTATGATGATTGAAAATTTCCGGATATTTGAAATGAAATATAGTTCCCGAATAAGTATTACATTTATCACAAAACTAGTTCTGATTTTCAAATCGTATTTAAAACATATGCAAATCAACTCATGAAAAATTTACAGTTCTTTACTTTTTTAACTTCGTAGGGTATCCAGTTGGGTATGGAAACGGGTGGTTGTTGATGAAGTTTTTTAATGTTGCCCCTCAAGAGGATTTACTCCTGTGTCATGGATGTTATTACAAGTTTCATTCAAACTTGGAATCAGGTAAACGATGGTTACTTAGTTACTAGCTTTTGCCCGCGACTTTGTACGCGTTCTATTTGGTTTTCGTAAAAAAGAAGCAAATGTCTTTTTCCTCAGCGTTCAGTGGTTTTGATGTTACAGGCAGATTAACTTTCGTAATTTGGTTATACCTACATAGGTATATACGTGCTTATTATGAATTTCTAATTCCTATGCCACCTCGTGTGTGCTGCTCGCACACTATGTAGATGATGATATAGTGCAGTAGTGGAATATCACCCCGGCGAAACGCATTAGCACCTTAAAGCATTAAAGAAAGAAAAAACATTACACAACAAAACTATATTACGATCACATGACTGCAAAAAAATTTGACCTTACCTAATTCTATATGCCATATTAATTACTAGCTACTCTCGCGCGGTGTCACCCGCTGCTCGGCTCCATTTAATCGTTGCGTGATCTTTTATAGTCTATAGCACTCAGGAACATTGTAGCTATCTATCAGTGAAAGAATTTTGTTAATCCGGCCAGCGGTTCCAAAGATTACCCGCTACATACAAACTTACAATTTTTACCTCTTTATAATATTAGTATAGATGGTACAGATTTATAAGTAAAATCACAGGGCACCTGCTTTTAACTTGAAGGAATGGGCACTTGAAGGAATGGGCACTGAACGGCCACCAAGCTCCACCGCAAATATTTATATCGAGGACAATATTGTTCGTTGTGGGTGCAAACGCCTTTCTGCACCGCAGTCCTGCTCGAAGCAGGAGATAGAACGGTTTGATTTTCATTCAGTGGGCCACTTCCTCTCGCTTTCACCCAGGCCAAAATAAGTATATAATTACCTGATTTTCCTGATATAAATTAAATTTAAATGCTCTTAATCAACGACACGTAAATAATATCTAATAAGTACTTATATGGTATAATTTTTCGGAAAATAATTTAAATTCTTGACTTTTCTGACCAAGATCGAAGTTTTTATATCTACCTAGTATTAATGAGTTTATTTATTCAAATCATTCACAAAAATACAAAAGTTTCCTATTTTATTTGATTATAGGTAGTAGATGCAGATGGTACCTACACAAAAATCATAATATTGTGTGGTAACTTTTATATTTTTAATAAAACTGTGATTTTGTATTTTGGTGACCCCACTAAAAACCAGCGCCTCTAGCGGCGAAGAATTCCCCCCTCCCCTGTTCCTTCTCCTGCTCTGGGCCGAGGCCGCCGTGCCTCATTGCGCTTACCCCCTAACCCTAGCTGAACATCAGCCCTATATGGCCCCGTCTGTGGTGGTCTATTGCATCTTTGAGGCGCCCGCGGAACGCTACTACTACGCCGTACGCTCGGGTCTGGTTCTGGTTCTCATATGACTGTATATATATTTTAAACATTTGAAAAGTAATTCGGTGGTGCAGTAAGTAGGCGGGTGTCCTATTGGAATTGTATGTAAATGGCTAACTTTTATTGAATACATGTAAGGTCTTTCATCGAATACATTTCGGAGAATTCGCGGGGTACCAACACAACTTGATTCTCCCTAGTCTTTTTAATCACCACTGGTCAATCGACAACAGAACTTCACCGCCTCGTGGTGGATATCCGACTCACTTGCACGATTCATCTACACATTCGATCGTCTCTAGTTTTTTACCCGACTGCCAAAGAAGGAGGGTAATGTTTTTCGAGTGTATGTAAGTATGTATGTATGTCTTTTCCTTTGTGACCTCCTGTAGCCTAAACGGCTTGATGGATTTTGATGCATGAGGTATCGTTAGATTTGTCTTGATTACGGGAGTGTCATAGGATACATTTTATCCTAAAAGTCCCACGGGATAAAGACATAATAATATTTTTTCTAAATTTCCCTTTAAAAAAATATGTATGCGGTATCATTAGATTCATTTCAATCACGGGAGTAATTAATATAGGATACGTTTTTTCTCAAAATTCCCACGGGAACATGTTAATTCTGCGTCAACGCAAAGCAACTCATGCGTTAGCAAGCAAAAAGATAGGGCGTGGCCTGGCATGCGGCGCGCGGCGCGGTACAGTCCAGATTGGCGGTAAATTTATGTTGCGGAGTAACATCACTCGTAATCTAAAGCCAAATGTCGTCGAAATAATTTAAAATGGTACTTACATATACATAGTCTTCTACATCTACAACATTTTCGTTAAATAAAAACAGCTAAAAAGTTATAAATAAAAAAATTATTATTAAAAAAACAAAATACCCGACTGCACACTAAAAAAAGAGTAAAACAAGCCCCACAATACAAATTTACTGAATATAATTTATAAATGTTGATGGAAAGCATCGCAGGCGGGGACCACCTTGACCGCCACCAACGAAAATTCTGCTAAATGGTGCGCAACAGAAATGACTATAAATAAGCCTCTGTTGGTCCCCGCCTGCGATGCTTTCCATCAACATTTATAAATTATATTCAGTAAATTTGTATTGTGGGGCTTGTTTTACTCTTTTTTTAGTGTGCAGTCGGGTATTTTGTTTTTTTAATAATAATTTTTTTATTCGTAGAGTAGAATAACTCTAGATGGCACTACCATCAACTTTGCTTTGTCATCGTTGTTTCGTGAGACTTAATTTTCCGAGTTTTTGAATAATGAATGAATTGTATTATTTTTTAACACTTTTCAATAAGATTATCGATATAGAAAGATTTTTTAAAAGAAGAATTACGTCATCTAAGTAAGTACATCAACACCTGGGAACAAAGCTGAAATGATGAAAATGTAAACAAGAAATAATTTTGAGATTCTGTCGTTAAGTAATCCTATAATATAATAAATCCTATAGAAATGATGGCTTCTAACTCTCAAATAAGAAATATAGAACAGTTAGTACATTTTTTGACGACATGGTTGGCGAAGTGGCTGCTATGCAACGCGTCGCGGGTAACTTTTTGATTTATGCAATCTAGACCACACCACAATTATATATAATTTTTAGACTATTTTTTTTGTACTTGTTTGTTTACATAAATATATACAAACAAGTAGAAAACTTTGACAGGTTATTTGACAAAAGGCATACGCGATCATGCGACATCTAACGGGATAAAATTGCAGTTCTTCACTTCTTTGCTTATCATAGGGATCGCTTACCACCAGACGAGATTAGAGATCGTAGTATCCCTAAGCCGTCTATGGGCCTTTTTCTGGATATACCTAACATTAATAAAATTAGTACCATTTTTACCGAAAAAATAACTAACAACGGGTAAAATATTGTAATAATTAAATTTGGTTTCGACTTACAAACTTGTTTTAGCGCAAGTTTTTAGGTATCTACCTGTGTAATAAATGCGAAAACGTCAATGATCTCGTTTATAAAAGTTGAAATTATTAATTTATATTTTATTTTTACCCCCTGACCAATTTTAACCATCTCAATATCTATCCACCGCTTGTCTATAGACGAAACAGCAGCAAGCAAGCCAAAAGCATTGAGATTGAGATGTCAATTGAGATGTCAATGGCCAAAAGCCGGGCCATTGGAAAGATAATGACATTAATGACAAATTGTCAAATCAAAGAGTATGGGAATGTCAAATCATTGTGAAAGCGAATCCGCCCGCCAGAAATAATTTTATAGCTATAGTGAACAGCTTGTGTTAGAGCGGTGTAGTCGTTACTTCTAACAAATAAATATTAAACTGGCCCGCGATACATTAGTGTATGATCTCATATAAATGCATTCAACTGTAGCATCAGTGTTTAAATAATATATTAGAGCTTTTTGCTGCGGTTCCGATAAATTCGAATCATGTAAGTAGTAATTATTAAGAAAATATTATACATCTATTATAATAGTATTGATTTGATTGAACATTGAGTAAAAGCTTGTGATTTTTTTATTTTCCATTATTTTTGTGCAAGCATATTTCAATCATCATCCTGATTTAAATTTTATTAACAATAAATATTATTTCCGAAAAAAAGAATATTCCATCCCATAAACTAATTATTCGCTGAGCGAAATGTAAGTTTATCTCTTGTACTGTCGTGCAAAAATTTTACTGATACCCTCTGACAATTGCTGTTCGACGATATATTGCCCTGCTGCGAATTATATATTAAATGTGAATACGCAATTTAGTTCATAAATTCATCCACTTTGTTCCATCTCTTAGTGATATGTCCATCTTGGATTACAAATTTTAATTCAAACATTTTTGATTTGCTTTTTGACTTGCTAGCTTACTGAATGTTAAGGTTTAGACATCAACCACTTGTGGGATAATTATTGTACTCCTATACAATAGTCAGGATGTCTGAGTAAATAATTAATTGAAGTTTGAAAGTAAAGAATACTTTATATTTATTCAGTGATCTTATACTGCAATTGACACAATTATTAGCAAAATGTTCCTTTCACAATAACACAGATTCTACTAAATCCGAGGACTCATCCACATAATAATCAAATTATTGCTTCACACAACAGTTGATCTAAGTAAAATGTGCATTGTACAGTACATAAATCTGTAATACAATTAAGTACATTTCGGTGATTGTCTTTAGTTCGACTTGAAGCTAAGAAAATTAGGATCAGCAATGAACGCGCTCATCATGCAATTCATTTACCTCGAAATGACCGTATTCAAGTATGTTATTATGTGACGTATTTTCTTTTTGGACCTTTTAGTATGTTAATCTTTCAATTGTGGTTATCCAAGACAATAGAAGTATAATAGTTGCATGCTGCCATTTGCTAGCTGTTTGATAGATTAACAGGAAATCTAATAGAATTTTATTAATTAATTAACTTTTAGGCATCCTTACAAATAACATACAAATTCTGTATAGTTTAATCACTGCTGGACATTACTTCAAAATAAATTACCAGTTTTGCTGTAATTTTTAAAGAAAACCTTAACATCCTTTTTCATTTCCACCTGTTGCCAACTACACAAATTTTAATGAAGTTGTTTTTATTATTTTGATTTATTACATTTTGTCTGTAAAATGTACATAGATACCCACATTTTCCAAAAAATAATAATATCAGTAGTCACTTGTGAAGAAATATGTGAGAAAAACTTCTCAATAATGTGCCGCCACCCATTGTTTCCTGTGAAAAACATCAACACATTTCTACAGAAGTATATTTTTTCTACTCCTATTGAATAATACTGGCTGATGTTAAAATTTTGTATAGCAAATCAATAGAACATATAATAACTGCAAGGAGAATAAAAATACTATCTCTATTTTTTTTAATTACTTGGTTTTCTACTAGCGCTCAGTGCCACATGTTCTAAACAATTATTTATTGAAGCTAGTACTTATATACAGTAGCTAGGGTTATGAGTCAAGCACAATAATGAAGCCTGGCCTGGGGCAGGAGCTTAGTCATTTATAGTTTGTCTAAGCGAAAGAAGTCATTTGACAATTTTGCCCCATATAAAAGAAAGTACTTATAGTAAGATGTTAGTAATATAAATTTATTCACCACCAACTTTTTGACTATCAATGGATAACATAAATTATTTTTTGATTAATCACAGATAGAGAGAGATCAATAAAGCAGGAAAACAGAAGTGCGCTATTAAACAATAAAATGGAAATTTTTCCGGAAAACCTTTTTATTTACATTTATTTGCCTAACCACAAAATGGACAACATAGGCAAAAACTATCAATTCTGAATCCATCTGTCTGTCTGCTCGTGACAGCCCTTTTACCGAAACAAACTGTGTATGTATAATGAACCATTTAGGTACTATAAATGCTGATCCAGTGAGAAGCTAGAAGAAATGTTGATCTACCTTTTTGTCATGTACTTATAATGCGCTCCGCGTAGTGCAACCAGATGTACTTTGATCTGGCTCTGACGTATGTGTGACGTCCATAGTTTTTCTGTGTATTCCGTGTATCTTGGTATATTCCTTACATTTTTTGATCCGTTATCATACCAGTCTAAAATTTGATATTAGATTAGGTGTTTTACTTAATACCATATTTACTCAGATTGAATGACAATTGACGAAGAGCTATCAGACCCCACTTGGTTGATTCCTTGGTACTCGAAGGGTTCTCGCACACGAACTGAACTAGGTTTAGGAAATTACACGTTCAGGGAGAGGTGGGGCGGACGAGGGCTGAGTTCGAGGACCAACATATAATGTATCTAGCGGCTTTTTGAAAAATGGGTAGGGAGAAGGCACGGCGCCCTCTCCTACCGTCTGATACTGATGCTTACCTGATACTGATGTTTCAAAGCGCAACCAGACGACCGTAGATAAGGCCTACTTGTCCTGATGCCCCTGTCAAGCACAATAATAACTCGCAGCTGGAGTTAAAACGGTTTGGGCTATCACGGACTCTGGAATTGTGCTCAGTGTATAAAAAATGCTCCCTTCATAACTTGTGAAAATTGGGCTACATTGTAAGTGTTTGTGGCTTTCTTTGTTTTTATTTGCACCTCTGATTTTCACACGCCTGGGGGGTAAATGTCAATGTCTGTGAATTTAAAAGAATAACAAAGCCTACTAAAAAAAATACAATATAACGCATTTCCATACAAAAGTAAAGTTGAAAAAATGTCAGCAGCATTCCGCGACACGCGACTCGGCGACCGTCGCGCTGCTGTACAGCAGCTCATGCTGCTCATGAATATGGGCCTCTAGCATGGCTTGAAACTAGTCGAGTATCTCGTCAAATTATTACGTGAGTAAGCCGAAAACATAATAAGGTCTAGATATATTATCTGGGGCTTCTTTGTTTACTCCTTTTTATGATGTAAGTACAATAATATATTCTCGTAGATTTCAGTTAGTATTGGCGTTGTAAGCGTTAAGAAGTATTTATTTACGTCATCAAAACATCATTAGATACCTATGTTTAACTGAAGTGCGCTGGGAAACAAGCAAATGGCCCTGTCTATCAAATAATCACCGTCAGTATTGCGTTGCTAATTTAGTAATAAGGACGGCTCAAAATATAAATATAATTAGTATAAAAAAATCTGCTGTAGAATAAACTCCATAATACTTAGGCAGCGTACTTTGTCAGGCATAGTATTATGTTGCGTACACATTTTCATTGAAGCCAAAATAGCTGCTAATATGCTTCGAACAAAAGAAGAATCGCGCAAATCAGTCCGTAAAATTCGGTTAAAAAATAAACGGGCAAGTCGGTTAAAAAAAATACACCCCGAATTGAAAATTTATTTTTTTGGCAGATAGATGTAAGTAGTTTCTCCGAATATCCCAGTTAATTGTTTCATTATTTTAAAACGCCATTCATCCTTTTCCCGAGATTTTAATTTATTTTTCCATATTTTTGGACATCTTCTCTTCCCGTTCCAGCTGGGCTCGTACCATTACCATTGTTTTTAACCTTTTTAAAATGTTTTAGATCTTGTTTTGTCTGTTTTAGTTTTAGAAGCATTTCTTTTTGCTTTTTTTATTCAATGTTACTTTATTTTATACAAAGTTTTATTCGTAACTTTTTGTTCTATTTTAACTTTTTTACGTCTACTTTTCTCATGTGCATCGTGTGGCGTGCTTATTACAAAACTATATTATTGTTTCTTTAATTTTTCTTGAATTTTCGACAGTTTTTAATGCCATGTGCACTGGATATTTGTGATACATATTATATAAGTATGTACATAAAAAATGCCTACACTGAAAATCATCAAATATAACAAAAACAATATTTTCTTCAATAAAAAACAACACTAAATAACTATAAGTGCCTACCTACTAAAATGAATATGACGGTAAGTTAAACTAATGACGTATTACCAAGTTAACTTTCAACAAATGTTTAGTGTTACTTTTTTCTTTCTTGAATGGCAACCGAGTCTCCAATAGTGTTACTTTAATACTGTAGTTTCCTACTAGTCAAATTCAATACTTTTATCCAAACGTCAAAACGATACTTTTCTATGTAATTTGTATGAAAAACTGAGTTATGACGTCACAGTATTTTGGCGTCAAATAGCTTACTTATATATTTCTTAATAATTAGCTAAAAAAAATCTAAAACTTAGTGTAAGTATCGATCGATCGATAAATAAAAGTGTAGTTATTTTTCAATATTTTATTGTATTGAAACATCGAATTAATTTATTTTTGATTTGGAAACTACCCAATTTGAAGTCGGTTTTAGTTTGTTTTGTTTTTAAAAGACAATAAAAACAATAGAGCAAATATATTGAAAGAACTTCTTAATCGCAAATAGAAAGGCTTTGGTGAGGCTTTATTGAAATGTGTGCAATATTTTAACAAACAAAATGGCCTTTTTACGCTTAAAGCTCAAAAGAAGCTTCACGGTAAAAATTCAGTACAAGGTGGTTTGGCAAGGTGTGAGTAGTGTCCGAGACATAAACTTGTCAAAAATGCATGAAATCAACGGCACAAGTGTACTTGATGCACTCGTTGATTTCATGCATTTTTTTTCATATCAATACTATTACACTATAATTATTATAAAGATATATTTGTAAGTTTGTATGTGACGGGTAATCTTTGGAACAGCTGATCGGATTTCCCTGATAAATTCTTTCACTGATAGATAGCTACGATGTTCCTGAGTGATATAGGCTATAAAACATCATCCTACGACTAATAGGAGCCGAGCAGCGGGTGAAACCGTGCGACAGTGATGTTCAAAAAAGCTCGATGGACCCCGTTTTAGTTAGAAACGAACGTTCCAGCCTTGTATAGTTGTATCACATCTCAATACAGGTCGTCATTCCGTCCACTTCCTTATCTACTGGATTATCATTTGTGATCAGTTTTAGAAAGAAAAACTTATTCTATAGCCATAATATATCCAGTCATAATAATTAAAAGTCCTAAAACAACTCCTACCATTAGTAGTTAGGAATTTTTCCATGAAAATAGTCACTGAGTCTATTGATAACTGGCCTCGGCGTTTGAAGGACTCTAATGCACCCAATCGACATTACTTCTAATAATATAAGCTATATGTAATCAACTAACACGCAGTCACAATAACAAATGATACGTTCCATCAAAATAATATACATCTAAAAATATTGGTAAGTAGGTAGGTATACTTTGGGCTATAATACTTTTTGTAGAACTATTTAGCTTCCGATCGTAGTAATTTGAGACACAGTACAACAACAAAAAGTATACGAACGCCAGCATTCGCTTAGGGTTTGATAAATTAATTTATTGTAGAAAAAAGATCTCAATATGTTCTAGTGTTATAAACCAACCTTCCTATCTCAACCTTTTTACTCATAACACGCCTTGGTTACTGAGACTGCAGAGTGAAAGTGAGGTAGACACCGGTTACTGACAACTTTCACTAGAAGTTTGAACCAACGAATATACTCATATGTATATAAATATATTCAACACCTTAACGTATTAATTATTAACAGCCTATAGGCCTATTTACATGTTATTATATGTATGTCCCTATTTACTCAGTGTAGTATACAGAAGTATATAGGGTCCAAAAAAAAAAATCAACAAAAAAAACCTTGTGAAAGTATGGTGTGGTTGATTTTTTATTTAATTAGATACGTATTTATTAATGGAGAGGCGACTCAGCTACTTGTTTGTTTAACTAATTACTTTATCTAATTTTAAGACCCCAATTACTCAATGCTAACAATAATTATTGTGCTATTTCTATCTGAAATGACACACATTTTTAGTAGAGATAGATAATAACTGTGAGCATGAACTTTAGTAGCTACTTAGAAGTACTTATTTTACTGAGTTTAGATATTAACACTAGCTTTTTTAAAACAGTAATTAACTTGAAATTTCCGGTGACGAGGCAAATGTGGATATCTACATAATAATCAGACAAAAAAAAAATTTTTTTCTTTCACGACTACTAGTCCCTATAAAAAATGTAACACAGATGACTTATTACGTACTGAAATCAGTCCATTTTTATTTGTTTTTGATTGAGCACTAAACGAGTTTACATTTAATCGTATGATATGATATACAATCAAGTGATTGTAAACAAATCGGCGCCGGCGCCGGCGGTGTATGCACCTGCAATACCAGGGGGAGGGGATTGCCGTATTGCAAACATGAATGCATTGCCGGCCCTTTGAAGGCTTAAAGGATTTCAAGATTGGGGATAGCTATTTGGAGGGACGATTGAGCCTCTGCGAAAAACCTTGCTTGTGTTGTTTTTCACTGGTATTCGTTAAGAATATCATTAAAAAGATACAAATATGATAAATGTGCCATAGTCTCACACACAAATCATCAGCCTATAAGTGCTCACTGCTGAGAAAAGACCTCTTCTCACACGGAGAAGGTTTCAGCATTAATCAGCAAGCAAGCTATAGGTGGATTGGCGATTTCAAACTTTAGAAATTATAAGTCCAAGTTTCCTCACGATGTTATCTTTCACCGCTTGTCAATGGTGTCTCAATAATCATAGAAAGGACACATCACTGAGAAAAAGTCACATAATTATACGGTAGCTTACCGTGCGGTTTCGAAACCTGGCAAGTATCTCATGCATGAGAATCGGGCGCCCGGGCCACCACGACACATTGCCGTAGTCGTCTTTCTTTATATCGGACTATTCATTTTCCTCAGATCTGGAGATGACTCTGAGACAAGAGGCCCCGCCGCCGTTGGCATCGCCTCTGTTACACGATGCAGTCGCCGGGGACAGCTCGCCGCCCCTTGCTGATGAACAGTTCGAAGTTTGTTACCTAATTCGTTACAAAATTAATAAAAAATGGAATACATAACAACTCGTACTAGAGTGATCAATATTGTTAAAAAATAAATATGTTTGACTAATTTCTTAATTATATTTTCTTAACTGTTTCAGGATGAATTCGAAGATGCAACTGATGAATTGCCAGAGTAAGTACCTAATTTGTTTTATTGACTAATCAGCTGTATGATACTGCAATGTAAAACATCCTACAATAGGTATTAAACGACTTATTTTTGTTGTACCTAGTGCCACCCCGGACTTGCACACAGCATTCAATGACTGCGAGGTGGCGATACGAAAGTTCTTCAATAACGACTTGACCGGCGCCATGACCATTATGAAGCCATGGTGAGTAAAAGAAACGCATTCACTATTACAAATCTTCAAGACTGCCTCCTATTGAGGGAGTCGGACAATATAGTACATGAATCGTCACGATTCTAGCGCACCCGTATCTTTCGCTACAGCTGCAGTCTTTTCACAAGCGCTCCTCAGTTGATAGCTTGACGGGACATTTTACATTGTTGATCAACCTGTACTATGCACTAAGTACTAATGAAATAATTGTCATTTGTATAGTTTAGTCACATATGTACGTGTCTGTCCTGTCTGTCCTGTCTCTACAACTCAAAATATGAACATTTTTGTGTCCAGGCAACGCACGTCAGTGTACCACAGCCTCGGCGCCGCTATATTTGAGTTTATTCCTGCTATGCTGACATTCGACTCATCACAAATCAACAATGCACTGGCTGCACTCAAAATAGCTATTGCCATCTGTCATGAACAGAGGAAGAACTATACCTTCGTAGAAAGCATCGGAACTATTATTAAAAAGGTAGATATGATAAATTCTATCAATACTATAAATACAAGGGAAATAACATTAATAAGGACACGTTTGTTTAGTAACAATTTAGGTAATTTATATTTTACTATGAATTGATCTACAGCTAAATAAACGTATTTAATTTTAGCCATCTGTACACTTTAATTTTAATTGTTAGATTATTTTTGAACCAATCGTGATCTACTTACAACATGACCTGTTATTGAACCAATATTCAATTTCAGAGTGCATTTTGTATATTGTCTTAACATCAGCTTCGGTTAGTTAGGCAATGGTTTTATTGTTTTTTTTATATTATTATATATGTTTAACATTATTTAATACTAGCTGCTCGCCCCTGCTTCGTACGGGTTTCCAACCAGTTGCAATTTCCCAATTTCCCCCTCTACTTTTCTAAAATTATCTTTAATAAGACTATAATAAATAAAAAAAAATCTTGAATAACTTCCCCCGACAATAACAAACTCAACAAAAAAAGAATTGGCAAAATTAGTCAAGGCGTTTGTGAGTTATACGCTTATGAACGTATTTTGCGATTCATTTTTATATATAGAAGATTAAATCCCTTTCTTTATTGCAGTTTTTAATAACCTAGTTTCTTGGCAATGAATCCACATAGGTATAAATTATATAACATAAAAAAGCGAGCCCATACAACTCAAGTTAATAAATATAAGTATAAAATATAGGTACTTATCTATGTTCTAACAAAAACAACAGTGGTCATATCATCACGTATAAAGACGTTCCGTATAATTACCAAATCCATTATCTACAAAACGGTATTTTCCTATTTCTTTTGAAAACAAATATGCTATTTGTAACCTTACTATAATATGTATGTATATAGCCGGGTTCATGCCTTACTAATATAATTAACGGTAATCTCACCTACACCGACTAATAAGATTAGGGAATTTTAACGCAATGTTACAAAAATATTACCGATTATATTGATACAGTGTGTTAATCTACATAATTTGTTGTAAATAAGTATTACAATTTAAAGTAAATATGCTTAGTAGTTGATCTAAATGAAGAAATAGCAGTTTTACAATGAGAAACATGATTATAAAATGCTAATTGCGTTCTTCTGCAGCCTAATTACGCGGCATACACCGATATGGAAGCTCACGCTGAACTGTGTTATGCAGAAACACTAATGCTTCAAGCAGCCATGACTATAATGGAAGGAGAAGACCTAACAGGATTCATCAAAGGCACCATCAAGATTAAAAACTGTTATAACAGCTATCGGTAATCTCATTTCCTACATTTTATTATTACTACTTAAAAGGTACATTTTGCTAAATTTTAGACTTCATACGAATTTCGTGTGCTGCAGGGAATGCTCAAAGATATTGGATAAGAAACAATGGGAGACAGAAGAATCGAAGATCCAGTTCCAAAGTGGTGTGCGGCTGGGAGTCGCCACGTTTAACGTCATGATATCTCTTCTTCCACCAAAAATAATAAGCGTCTTAGAATTCGTGGGCTTCTCTGGGAATAAGGTGAGAAATTTTGAATCACTACGTGTTGAACTTCTCTAATGATAAATTAGCAAAACGTGATTTAAGACAACTTTTATTGGTTGATTTTAATTATTAGTCACGTGCTATAAAATCGTTGCTTGATTTTTTCTCACTTTACGTATATGTAGACATATTGGTGTCCTTGTTAGTCTCAGCATTTTTTTAACGACATTCTATTCTGATTTGAATACAAGTTCAGTGCCAACCAACGTGTTAGAGGCAAAAGATAAATTATTTTGCATTAAATTAAATTGCAGATTCAACAATATGGTCATTTGTATACAACCTTGTTGTATAATATATCCAAATTATGTATATTGTTTTGTTTAAGTGATACCTTTCAAAAGAGGTTCCTTGATTCAGTGTCTACATAGATTACATATATATTTATTTTATTTTAATAGATATTTAATTGACTGTATTTAGTTTTCAATTAGTATACTTACTTATTATTTGACAATGGAAGAAAAATACGAATTTTAACAACTATCGGCTTATTGTAGCTTCGAACGAGCGGATATAACTTTTCTATTAATTTTTATAGCTATAAATATTGTGTGTGTGTCCAGTGTTCCCTTGAAATTTGTTTTTTAAACTCATACCGTAATTTATTGCATTTACAAACACATTCAAACTTTTGATAAAAAAAAATGTTAGTGTAAATAAGAATCGTAAATCAATAAATTAAAATCGAAATGATTTATTTTACTATAACTTAATTGTTTCGAACGAGTAATGTTACACGCCATTAACAAACTGAGCGTACTATATTACAATCCAATTAAAAACCATTATATCATTGATATGTTATTTAAGAAGGATTCAAGAAGGACTGTTTCATATTTCATCCTTTTTCATTTTAACCATCTGAACGTATGGGTTACTTATAACCCAACCACTTAAACGCGAACCAATCTTATGATAAAATTCGTGAACAAGTCAATCAAATTTTATCATTTTGGCCTTTAAGAGCTTTAATGAACTTATTGAAATTTACTCCATACCGTTAATTATTAATCTAACCTGCCTAAGCCTGTAAGAATGCAGCGTACGTATAATTATGAAACAACTTTCTTCTGACTCCATACTATTGAGGAGTTGTATTCTCCATCATCAACTCAACGCGAGTCTGCGGCTCGACCAGAAACAGACCCAATCACCCGGAACGCCTCAAAGAGCAACATCACCACAAATACCACAAATAGAATAGGCCCATTGGGGCCGATGCCTAACCGTGGTTGTTGCAATGATAAGCCGAAGCCCGGCCCTGAGCAGGAGAAGAAACTGGATGGGCTTTAGTCAGAGAGAATCTGACACTCGCTCTTCTGGGCGGAAGAAGTAATCAGAAGCCTATAACATAGTGATGCATCACTTAGTACAGAAGTTATCTCCTTAAAGTCCTGAAGTCGAGATAGTGCCCTTTATAAGTATTCTTATTCTTATTCTTATTCTATTCTAACTGACCCGCCTACATTGTCATATTGCTCTAACTTCTATTGAAACTAGTTTAGCCTAAGACTAACTGGTTTGTCCTGTAATCGGGTTTGTTAAGTAATATACATAATATACATCATTTATAACTATCTTAACAACCATCACATTGATTAATATGGCTTTAAAACGTCGGTACCCTCATTATTAATGTCACAGATTATATATCAGTACATAATCTACATACTTGAAATGTTTTTTATCATTAATCTTAGGGGCTTTTGCTCTAAAACATGTCAGCCCGTTAGGACATTTTACTTGAAATATTAAATTATGAAGTAATACACATTTCGAGAAATGATAAATACCTAATCAAAACTTATGGGACAATATTCTAAAGCACCTGGGAATCAAACGAATGATTTATTTAAAAAAGTAAAACACATTTTATTAACCGACTTCAAAAAAAGAAGGAGATTCTCAATTAGATTGTATTTTTTTTTATCTTTGTTTTTGTGTATGTGTATAGGACAAGAGTATAATTTTCACACATGGGTGACGGGTAGTAATGAAGTTAGGCTGTAGATACTTACTATAGAATTTGTGATAAATCATTCTGTTTCATGATTAGGTAGGTAGTTTGAGACTTCGTGTAGAATTATGTGATTAGCTGTAATTCGTATGTATGACAGCAAGTAATGGTTTCCTATATCATTAGAAGCAACGGGGAATTATGAACCAGTACTAGCTCAGTTACGTAAATATGTGTGCACCTACCTAAAGACACCGTCTAGATTTTTTACCCAAATTACTCGATGTCTTTATATAAAAAAGTAGGTCTTAAGTTGTATGACCTTGACTAATAACCTAATGCTGCGGTCAAATATTCAAATATATTTTTAAAACTTCTTTTTTAAGAATTCTAACTGCCACATAATTCGGAATTTGAATTTGTAATTTAGTTATTATTACCTTTCAATAAAATGTTATAATAACAGTCCCGTATTTTATTTTTCTTTAACATGCCAGATGGATCGGAAACAATATATTATATTCGTAAAAGTTAATTACTTAACAGCGAAAGCGGTATGCCCAATATAGTGCATGTGCAAAGGACTTAAGTGTAAACATTGACATTACCCTCAATGGTCGGTATAAAGTTGCCAGAATGAGTCAAAGAGGTTACATGGCCACTGCCGTCTCATTTCTTTTCAGAAATGTATTGTCGCCAAACACTAAGGCGATGTTTGTACAGAATTTTACCGTTCCCTATGATAAATTTTGGCAAGTGTTACTATGACCTTTACCCAGATATCCTCAATAAACTTGAACGTCTTTAAATAACTGCATTTATTTTGTTTCCAACCTACATACCAAAATGTTATAAACTGGCCTGTACACCACATTCAACCATCATTGTTAAAATTGTCGCCGGTCAGCAATGAGTACTCACAACTTTATTTTCTCTTATTGACTCTCCCTCTTCCCCTAATAAAATAATTTAAAATTTCACATTACTTAAATACTAAACCCCTCCTACAGTCGACTTTTTCCACTATTCCGTGACTTTTTCACTGTCCTGTCTATCAGACTTCATATAAGTTATTTCTGTGTAGATTCTCTTTCCCTTCCTTTAGATTTCAGAGCTGTTACCAGCCACCTATTTTATTGAATAGGAGGCAAACGAGCAGACAGATCACCTGTTGTGATCAGTGCCGCCCATGGACACTTGCAACACCTAAGGAGTTAAAGGCGCGATGTCGGCCTTTTTAACAGAAATTCGCACGTTTCTTGAAGGTCGTATAGGTTCGGAAATAACGCGGCCGAAAGATCATTCCAAAGTTTTGCTGTGAGAGACAGAAATTTTCGCAAAAATCACCTGCTTGTGTGTCAAGAGCAAGGTACATGACGTTTGCACATGATCAAAATTATGGCAGTTTCACCAATTCTTTCATAATATTTCACTCTAATATAGAGGGACCTGACCTTTTTTTTATCTTAAGTGGACTTGCAGGAATATTTTAAGAATATAATTAGCGTAGGTAGTCGGTTCAGCCGTTCTTGAGTTTTAGGCTTTATCACGACTAACGAACATCATACATCTGAGACATTATTCAAACCTTGCAATATAAAATTCAAAAATTGACATTTGACATGTTAATGTTCCTAAACAAACAGGATCATTGATAAAACACATATTATATTATTATTAAAATGATATGCGTGTATGTATAACTGGTTGGTGATTAAAACTGGTTTGTAACGTTACAGAGTCTTGGACTTGCGGAACTCGAGGCGGGTTCTCGTGCACCGGGGATGCGGTCGGTGTTATGCGACCTTACGCTACTGGGATACCACCTCGTCATTTGCCACTTCATTGGAGCTATCGGGGACCTGCCCGCCTGTGAGCGAATACTACACAAGCAACTCAAGGTTACCTTCTTTAATCTTGATCAGGGTTAATGATTTAATTATAACAAATACATAAATAAGGTTAAGTCCACCTAAACAATATTTATATATTTTTTTATACCATCCTGTAGTGTCCCACTGCTGGGCAAAGGCCTTCCCATCTCGCTTCCACACCTCCCAATCCTTCGAACGTGTCCACCAGTCTCGACGATAAACGTCTAGATCGTCACGCCATTTTATCCGGGGCATACCCCGCCTGCGGCCTCCAGCCTGAGGTGTCCACCCAAACAAGCTTGCAGAAAATCTGACAGACAGCAAAAGAGTTGCATGGATGCTAAAAAGAAAGATACCCATGATCTGATTGATTAGATTAACTAAATTTGAATAAGAATACACGATATAATGTCCATTTGACATGTTTCGCGCTAATCTATAAATAATAAACCATATCGCTGAAGAATTAAGAAAAGGTTCTTTAAATTAGTGCTAATCTATAGGTAAATAATAAACCTTAAGTCCTATAAACTTTAAAACATTCAAGTTTTTTTACATGATATTCCAAAAACTCTACTATCCGTGTGATGTCAAGCCAAATTTATAATTTCAGGTGTTTCCAGAGAGCGTTTGGTTCCTCATGTTTAAAGGCCGTATTGAATTAATACGAGGACAATTCGACACAGCGATTGATACTTACAATCGTGCTGTTAGTAGCCAAAGGGATTGGCGACAATTCCACCACGTGTGCTTCTGGGAGATAATGTGGGTGAATAGGTGAGTTACTGAAATTATTTTTTACAAAATTAATTAACACAGAAGTAGGTATTCCATTAATGATAGTACATCACCCTGTTAGGGAGCGGTTAACTTACAACCTGCTTCATATTTTACTGTTGTTCCCTCAAAGATACTCTGCTATCAAATCAGAAGTTCCCAAAGAATTTTGTGACCGTAGATTTGAAAAAGAAATTAAAGGCCCTCCCAACAACGTGTTATAATAAATTAAAAAATAAGGAAGTGGTATTTAATCTGGAGTAGAAGAAACAGTGTTAAGTAGTATGACCACTCCCTCACGCCTTACTTAAGACAGGAAAAGTCATTTCATGATTTTCCCCTTACAAAATAAAAACATTATACTATGGAATCATAAATTTAAAATTCTTAATCTCATTTAAAATTGTTTTCCCATGTAGCCCACGTTGGGATAGACTATTAAATGATCGTTTGGAATTTTACATCGTGATGACCCGGTGGCTAAGGCGCCCGCTTCTCATGCTTGAAGGTGCGGCTTCGAAACCTGGCTTGACCTTTTCCCAGTATATGTACTCGTACTTTTAATGATTATTTAGACATTACAGGCATATGGTGAAGGAAAACATCGTGAGGAAACCTGGAGTTATAATTTCTAATTATAAGTTACTAGCTACTCTCACGCGGTTTCACCCGCTGCTTGGCTCTATTTGATCGTAGCGTGATGTTTTATAGCCTATAGCACTCAGGAGAGAGACTATTCTCGGAAAAACTGTAAACTGGATGAGTGACCATAATCTCGAAATAAATTTTACCAAAACCAAATTAATAGCGTTCCACCCCTGGCAGAAAAAACAAATAAATATAGATTTTACGTTTAATCAACATAAATTAGAAACAGTTAACAATTTCACACTCCTAGGTTTAACAATAGACACTCATATAAACTGGAAAACACATATACAGACAGTAAAATCAAAAATTTCAAAGTTTTCATATGCTCTCCGCGAAATAAAAAAGACTACAAACCTACAAACCGCACTAGCCACATACTACGCGTATGCTCATGCTTGGTTTAATTATGGCATCATCTTATGGGGAAATAGCACAGATGCTCCCTCCCTATTTACCCTCCAAAAAAAGCTAATACGAATAATTACCAATATAGAACCAACAGATAGCTGCAAGCCTCACTTTCAGAAACACAAGATTCTCACCTTAGTTGGTATTTATGTCTTGGAATTATGTAAACTCGTCCGTAAATATCCAGATTCTTACAGCACACGGGGAGACATACAAACAAATTATTCGTTGCGCCATAAAAATAGACTAAATTTGCCCCCCTCCCGCCTTAAATTACATTCATCTAGTCCCTATTCAATGTCAATAAAAATATATAATAAACTACCTGAAGACATAAAACAGCAAGAAAAAACCAGTATATTTCTAAATAAACTAAAGCAATACTTAATTAAAAAAAGCTATTACACAGTACAAGAATATCTTACAGATAAATAAATATTAATAGGTAAAACACAATTATGAATAACAGATTATCTTAATAAGTAAAATGACATAAACAATACTTAATAATTAAATTACAAAATGACATAAAAAATACTCACTGATCAAAATGACATAATATACAATACTTAATAATTGAATTACATAATAATAAAATAATAATATATATTATAATTGTACATACTAAATAAGCGATACTAAATATAATTAAATAAATAATAAATGTACAGATAGACCTGCATATACATTATTAATAGAATAAGTAAATAAATGGAAACATATAAATACATAAAAATATTAATAGAAGTGAATGAATTAAAATATAAAAATATAGTTATTAGGGTGGAAAATTATATGTAGCTGTGTTAATGAAGCGCTCTTTCTCTCTTTTACATTTTTTTTGTTTAAAACAAAAAATTGCTGTGCCCGACAGGGTCCGTAATTGTATCTAATATTTTTTTTTTTTTTTACTACCACCTGTATTTGACATTATGGATTGCAATAAATTATTTGATTTGATTTGATTTGATTTGGAACATTGTAGCTATCTATCAGTGAAAGAATTTTGGAAATCCGACTAGCGGTTCCAAAAATTACCTCCTACAGGTACTCGGAATTTTAATTCCATTCCAGATTTGACAATTTCAGTGTTGCAACGTTATGACACGTAATAAATAAAGACGTTGCGAAATTATTCGATGTGGAAATCGAATATTTCTGAATCGATTCCTCTCGTTTATAAATTTAATCTCGTAAACTAAGTTTAGCAGGAAATAAAATATTTTTGAACCGATAATTTAGTTTTGACAATTAATTAGCGATCTGAGACTTTTCTTTTGTAATTGTGTATGAAATTAATAAAAATGTGATCATGAAGGAACATGACAAATAAAACAGAAATTTTATAAAAGGTCGGCGTCATTGCTTTCGCTATCGCTGTTACTTTCTGTAACATTTATTATGAATTGTGTCTGTGATTTTTATTGTCAATTAAAATATCTAGCTTATTCATTTTTTCCTCTTCTTTGACAACATGGGATACGCATTTAGACCATTCGGTAGCCGTAATTTTTTGAATGCCTTCCTGAAACTGATTCACTGATTGTTTATCGATTTTTGTGTTCATCACTACACTGTTATATGTGGTATCATTATTTCACAAAATGACAATAGCTCATGTCAAATCAGGAATCGAATTAAAATTCTGACTATACATACAAACTTACCACCTTACAAATTTAACCTCTTTATAATATTAGTATAGATAGGCTGATGATGTTGTAATTTATTAGTTTGAAGATGGACTGGCGCGAGTCTGCGCTGTACGCCAGCAGGCTTCTAGAAGAGAGCACGTGGTCGAGGACTATATACTCGTACTCGAAGGCGGCCATGTTGCTTCAGTTGGATGACATCACCGTCGCTGAGAAGAAACAGTGTTCTGAACTGATGCGGTAAGTATACACTTTAATTTATAAATTCTACATATTATAGTCCCTAATGTTGTTTTACAATTTGCTTATAACATTTTACAGTATTGTTGGTCCACTTTTCGTAAAGGTTTTAATATCTTTAAAAATAATTGTTGGGTAGTATCAATCAGTTTTTCAAATCAAAAAGCCGGCCAGTAGAGGATCCTCATTGCTTGGTACCCGTCAAAATGGTTTGACATAAGCTAAACTTAAAATTAGCTCCATCTATTGAGCGAAAACAAACAGTTGTTGGTTCATTACTTATCAGCCTCTGGCCTAACTATAATAGTCGTCCTCGGCTCCTTAAGACCCTCGCCTAGCCTCAATGCGCCTCTGCGGTAGTCACCAACTTCACACATTTACCACAATGTACTATTATCACATTTTTTTTAAATAGCAAATATTAAGTGCGATGTTTATAAACATTCAGGAATGCCAGTTACTACAAGCAACGTATCGCGGGCAAGTCCCTGCCAATGGAGAAGTTCGTAATAAAGCGAGGCGCGCGCTACCAGGCCCAAGGCGGCCGACTTGTACTGCCAGCCATCGAGCTCCTCTGTCTCTGGAACATGTTCCAAATCCTCGCAAAGAACGAAAGAGACGCACAGAATGTCCTCAAGGTAATAATATAACATTGCATGACATGTTTGTATTATTTAAAACTCATTTTACTTTTAAAGTGTTGTGTATCGTGACCCTAGTCTGCGAAACAAAACGCCGATTTTACATTTGCACTAGTTATAGTTATTATAAAATGCAAATTTATTGTAATTTTAAGTTTTATATCGTTTATATAGTGTTGTATATGTTTATAGTAGCCTTCGATACCTGAAATAATTAAATAAATAAAATGCAATACAATTTGACCATAAAACCGTTTTCGAGCCCTAGAGAAATCATCCTATCATTAACTCATTTTATTTTTGTCAAACTTTCAAAAAATTTTAGCTGTACTATCAGTAATTCTTGCAAAATGTATTCTATTTCACAGTTAATAGAGACTACAATCGAGCGTGTTGAAAACGAAAATCGTGAATGGATGGCTGGCTATGAAGCAGATAACCGCGCTTTACTGCGCTTCTTGAAGGGGAGCTGCCTGGCCGCCATGAACCTGCCACGCTTAGCTCTCGATACCTTTGACGCCGTCTTCCAGTACGTACCTTTATCACTTACTAGCCTGTGTATATATGGGTCACTGGTCATTTATTAGTGACCGATAACGCGGTAGATTCCAACTACTCAAATTCAATACTTTTAACCAAATGTCAAAAACTATACTTTTCTATGAAATTTGTATGAAACACTGAGTTA